GTCCTTGTTTCCCCTTCCACTTACAGTCATCATTACGAAAAAAATTCAGAAATTGCCTGAACAACATGAATACTAGGGCCTATATAATTGTTTCATGATGGTTAAATTATTTTGGTCTTTCGTACAATTACAAACGGAATATGTAGCGCTATCTATTGATAGATATTGATGTTTAGGTAAAAAGATAGTTCGTTTTACAAGATAACATTTATCATCGAATTACAATTTAAAAATTAATGGTAGATTGACATATTTGAGCCACTTGTTTTTTAAACTGAAAAAATAAAAATTAACAGCTGATACACGGGACAGGTGTGGTCATGTTGTAGGTGGTAGTGGTGAAAATGGGATACATAAAATTATTAACTTTTTTCCTTATTTTGGAAAAGGATAGACCATTGATAATGAAAAACAATTTGGAGCTAAATTAGGTTAAAAATTATTTAAAAATTTTTTTTTTTATAATATTCAGTTAAAAATGTTTGTAGAGACGTAAATGTTAACAAATATTTTATTCTGCCGATTTCGTGAAATCAACAAATTCGCGATATTCGCGAACACATATTTTATTTTTTTGTACCTTATTCAGCGAGAAATAATATTAGAATTGTTATTTTGTAATGAATTAATTATAATAAGTAATACAGTTGGTCCATAATGAATAAATAATAAATAATATACGTCCAGTAAGTCATTTACGAGGAATAATATTTATTAGTTAGATAATTTACTTAATACAATAATGTTATGATTGAAAATGTGACAATATGAAACTTTACAGTGATAAATTATAATATTTATAACAATAAAGTATGTTCGAAGAATACATTTTACTTTGTTGATATTTTTACAGCAGAGGTTAACACCGAAGACTTATAATTATAAATTAGAGGTATGTTCATTTTTCTGGTTCTGTAAAAAATAAAAAATGAAATAGTTAATAAAAATAAATAAATATAGGTGTTTACATATGTAAAATGGGGTTTTTGAAAGTGTTATTTTACAAGAAAATTTAAAAACAGCAATGGAATTTATAGAAGTATATTTAACAAATTGAAAGAAAATAATATCGTTTTAATACGTTTTTCGAAACGTCATAGTAATTTAAAAACGTTGAAATAATTAAAATAGTCAAATATTTTGAATAATATACAAGTAGGTATATCGTATAAAATGTGTGCTTACTTTGTTTATATATATCACATCATATAGAAATACGATTTTTCTATCGGCGAAGTAAAGTGACGTATGGGTTGTAAGTTATTGGGTAAGTGAGGGGGTAAGACGGGTAGGTGTAGACCGGTGCGTAAGGCTGGTAAATGAATTGAGCAGAAGTGACAGCGATTAAAGCCAAAGCGGCGACGATCAATAACTGAAAACAGAAAAATGTATTTAGTTATTTTAAAATTAAAATTACATAATTTTTATAAAATAGGTAAAGTATTAGTACATTGTATTTAATGTTATATGTCATTATATGTCAGGTTCACACATATATTAATTTTGGAAATTTAGATAGTTTTATTTTAAATAGTAGAAAACTCGAAAATTATAATAATTTTTTTATATTCACAAATAATGTATTTTATAAAAGTAGCCTAGAAATAATAAATTTTAAAAAAATAATTGAGATTTAAAGACCCGCCATGATTAGTATAAAATATAATATATGCACGATCGTTATAAATTAGAAACAATTTCGCACTTTTAAACGGAAAAATAGAAACACAATTTATTAATTATTTAATTTTTATGTCATATTCAGAAAAAAAAATTGTTATGTTTTAATTTATGATAATTTACATTGATTAAGTTGCCTTAAATACAATCAGTCGATTTGCCAAATATTAGTCTACAGAAAATAAATGCATATACATACATGATCTTTGTAAACTACACAATATTAACGATTCGAATTAATTACAAACATTTTCTGCTCAATAATTTTGTTTCGAAATAAATTTATAAACTTGCTACCGTGGATTTTATGGGAAAAAAAAATGAAAAACTAAATACATTATTGAACCGAACAAAAGTTATTGCATCTCCGTCATCGATTTATTAATGAAAATAATAATATAGACATTGATAGCAAAGAGATAGGCTGTTTTAAAATTAGAAATGAAGTTAATTTTAAATTATATTAATAACACTGTGTCTACATAAACTGTGAATATTTTAGTGGCGATTCGCGGTCGAAATGTTTAACAAAATAAGAAATTTGTATCTTTAAAAGAAAATAAAAATTATGAATTACGTTTATCATATGGTACTCACCATTAACTTGTACATGATGATTTTTGAGTGTAAGTTGCGAAGAACTTGACGAAATAAATAGGCGTGTATATACGAGGTGTATGTGTCTCGATACGTTGACGATAACTGGTGTCGTCTCCGGAGATTCGATCGGTATTTATATTGTTTCGTTAAGCGACAGAATACATTATTCGTTTGCCATCGTCCCACCTTAACGCCGTACGATTATAGGATTTTGGCGATTTTTTTTCTTTCATCCCGTTCTCTATAAGGACACCCTTAATTAATTATTCTTTTTATTTTGCGTTTAGTAAACATTTTATTATTTTTCATGTTTTTTTTTTTTTATATATATAATTTGTTTACTACCGAAAACCCGTTTTACAAAAAAAAAACTTCAAAGTCACCGTTAAGCTCAGAAGATGAACCCGAATCATGCGTTATAAATATTGTTTTCGATAAACCGGTCGACATCTTCGTTAAGAAACGCCTAGGCGCACAAGTATAAACGAGGAGGCTAATATTTATACTGACATTTTATAATGTCTGAGGAAACTGGAGAACCCTGACCGACGGCATATAGTACGATCAATTTATTGGGAAATCATTTGTTCGCTATGCAAATATAATCACTCATTTTAAATGTCAAGTATACGCAAATATCTTTCGTTTTACACGTGATTTTTTTTTTATGGAGATCAAACGACCGTCACCATCGTCTACGGTATACGCACATTCGTTTCTAGGTTTTAGTGTGTTTATGTGACGTGACATGTATGAACGTATTTAGTCATTTAAGACCACGCCCTGGCTCGGATTGAAATATCGAGCTACTGAGAAAACCTCGTATGGGCTGCGCAAAATTACTCTTGTTTTTAATTTAATGTACTTATGTCAATTTTGTGTATTTTGTATCATTTTGGGCCGGCGAGAATCCTAAACCTCGGTATACCGTTACATTTTCTATCCAACGCTGCCTCCCCCCTTGTCAGTAAACCACTAACCCTTTATTCAATTACATTATTTTATGTGCGACGACAAATTACGCAAAATTATTTAAGAAATTTAAAAATGTGAGTTAAAAAGTAAAATTATATGACAAAAACCTACCAAACATCACATAATGTTGTTAAATTAGTATGAACGTTCTTATCTAGTAATTAACTTTAGTGGATAATAATGAATAATTCGCAAGGTTTTTAACATTATTTACTAAGAATTCACTTTGATTCCAAACAATATTAATCAATGATGTTAATTGCAATTCAAATAGAATTTTATGTTAATTATAGTATATTTTTTAGTTTATAATAAAAAAAATATATTATTTAAATTTATATATGATAATTATTTTTTTTCACATAATAAAGAAATGTGTCATTTAAAATTACATTATTTTCCAACTACACGATAGGTACATTTATCCATTTTACACTTTGTCCTACACTGACATACTTGATAGCCTTGTGTGCCTATAAGATTATTACAGTCTACAGCTTCTCGAAATGTTATTTCTTTTTCTACCGATAATTCGTGATGAGTTTTGAGATCCAACAAAATTTCTTTGAAATTTCTTGTACTCGTGTGTAATACAACCGTTTTCGGTAACTAATTAAAATATTAAATACATCAAAATGCCCTACGGTAATAGGCCCCACTAAGCCTATTAATACTGCAGCTGTAATACTATCTATAGCCGTTAACATTTTCCACTGTGTGTAGAAATTTTCGATAGTCATATTAAACAAATAATAAATAACGATATAAACTGGTTTGTTAGGTAACTACCGTCATTTTCTAAAAAAATACGTTATTTTGGTTTATATCATTATTTACTGTAAAAATGTAACATATTTATAATGCATTTTACTGTCGGGAGATGGTTTTCTCAATTTATTTTACCAATTCCCAGCTCTTCTCCTAAATATCCTTTTTCCCAAAAATGTATTTACTCAATGCAATATTTTATGAAAATAATACATTCGATAGTTTAGGGAAATTGTTTTTCGGTAACTATTAAATCAAAGAAAACTAGGTTGAATTTATAAGAATTTGGAAAAAGTATAATTATGAAAATTTGACTGGAAAAAATGAATCGGGAAAACTGTCATACAAAACATTTTATAATATAAAGAATAGATAGATAGTATAATTACCAATTGCCATTAAAAATTGTGTATGTATGCGAAGTTGTCTTCTTTACCTAAATCGATATGGTTTAAAACTATATCAGACGATGTAAATTTAAATGCATATAATAGCGAATATGGTTGAACTAATTGCAAGTCGGCCAAAGTAGAGAGACTAGCGGACAATTTTGAAAAATCCCAAAAAAATACAATTGAATCAATTAGCAATTAGGAAAACTCGATTTGCAATTATTTAGAAGTATTCTAACGTATTCCGACGTTGATGTTGTAGGTGGGTAGTAAGAAAGGTGGAATATATAAAGTTATTTAATTTATACATGGCCTGACCAACGATAAACTATTGGTAACAAGAAACGATTTGGAGCAAAGTTCGGTTAAAAGTATTTTAAACTTTGTTTTGTAATATAATGCAGTTTAAAATATTCGTAGAGACTTAAAATGTTGACGAAAAATGTATTTTTACTTTTTCTAGGCGTGGTAAATCTTTCAGAATACTAATTGAACTACAGATTATTTTAATTTTGCTAGTTTTTTAAGTAATTTTTGTTTGATAGGTACTCTGAAGATAATTTGTTGGACTTAAACGAAATTCATGACAATTTAATGTGAAGTTCATGATAAGTTGAATTTAATGATAAAAAAAACGAATTTAGTTTAATATATGTAGTATCTTTTCTTTTTTATAAGAGTTTTATAATCAAATTCTGACGACAATCGTAAATATTACGGTTTTTTAAAATATGTTTTATTGAACTTCGATCCGAATCGTTTATCGTTAACTCCACGTTGGCCACAAGTATAAAATAAATAACTTTATGTATCCCACCTTCATCACTACCTATTTACCCATCTACAGCAGTGGCCAGTGGCAGTAAGTAGTTGCCACATTCATCCACAGTATCAGCTTTCTTTATTTTTCATTATTATTGTTATTTACAAATAACAAAAAAAGAATAGTTAATAGAATTTTTTGAATGTTATTTTTTTTTATTCGCAACAAAAAAATATGATAGTAAATCACAATATTGACGTAGAAAATAAAGTACATAGAACCGATACGTGTAAAAACATATTATAAACGCATGTAATGAGTATACACATGCAAATTGCAATGTTCTCTTGAAAATTGTTTGAAATGTTTCCATATTTCAAATCTAACAGACAAACAAAATATACTTGAGAACTCATCCGATACTGCCCAGACGTATACTTACGATTGAGGGTATAAAATATGAGTAATAGATACTAGCAATCTGTTGTTCGCCCGAAATACTTCGGTTAAACACAAAACGGTTCCAATCAACTCTCACTTGTATTCACTCTCTGAGATTGCTGAATAAATGTTACGCCAAATTTGTGAATTTGTCTTCATTTCAAGACATCGGCAGAAAAATTGCTTTTTTCATGAAATAAACAACGCCGTTGCCGAATTCGTGAAATCGGCAACTTGTCTACAGATTTCACAATATCAGCAAATTTTTATTTTGCCGATTGCATGAATTAGGCAACTTTTTTTCTGACGAAAGCACGAATTCAGCAATACATTCTATATTCTGAATGGAGCGAAGAAGCCTATTTTGTTGTTACATTATTAATATGAACATTGAATAACCAGAATTTAAAATTATTTCGACAATCATAAAAATTGTATTTTCGGCATGATATTGTCTTTACTTAACCGTCTATAATAATAAGGCAGTTCCCCTTATAACTTAAGCTTAGATCATTGTATATCATCTGAGAACTTAAGTATAAAATATTTTATCTTATTGATATTACCGGTTTTCTATCGCTTAAATAAAACAAAATTAATACCTACGATCTATATTACATATTGTTAAACGTTTAGTCGGTTCGTTCATTTTACGCGATAGACGGTGCATTCAAATATTTGTTATCAGTACACCTTTTATTATAAATAACATCGATTATCATATCAAATCAATCATATAATTTTCAACTTTTAAAATTAATATAATAATAATTAACATTTGATTAACATCAATTTTCTTAATTCAATGTATCAATTCTGTTTGAATTTCAGTACACATTATGATATGTCAAATCTCAAAATAATTTTTTTTGTTTTATTGGTAATATATAATTATATTATTTTACTTTACCGATTTCACGTTTTCGGCAACTGTGTTGCTTATTTCATGAAATGGGCAATTTTTCTGCCGATTTCGTGGAATCAGAAAATTCGCAAATTCAGCGTAACATATATATCAGATTCGTATCTAATATACGGATCATCTTCTCTTATTTATGATTCAGAGTTTATTAGAAAAATAAAAATACCAACATCAGCAATGTTGTGTGTGCATATATCCGTTTATTTAGAATATTGAAGCCTATTATTTTATATTTTATTTTTTTAACAAATAAGTTATCAATCATCATAAATCGTAATGAAAATGCATTAAATGTAAACATTTACCGAATCCTATGCGAGAGGGTATCTGTGGGTTTAATTGTTTTCGATTATCTAGATCGATAAAACTGATATTATATACTATCGATGTACAATTTTTTTCTAATTCATCCATCAGCGTTCGTTTTCGTAGTATAAAATAATAATTTTGTTCTAAATCAGATGCCAGGTGCTATAACTTAACAAGGCCGCCCGAATTGTCCACCTCTTCTTCAACTATTTAGGCCAAGCCCAGTTTCTTATCAAATATTATCAGCGACTATGTTACCACGTTCATATCGGCGACATTATAAGGTTTAGCGACTGGCACCTGATTTAGAACTCCCCTTTATACCCTACTTATATTGAATAGCATATATGCATTAATTTAAATTTGTGTACCTTAAAAAATTTCAGGGGGAGAGNATGTTTCCATGTTTCAAATCTAACAGACAAACAAAATATACTTGAAAACTCATCCGATACTGCCCAGGCGTATACTTACGATTGAGGGTATAAAATATGAGTAATAGATACTAGGAATCTGTTGTTCGCCCGAAATACTTCGGTAAAACACAAAACGGTTCCAATCAACTCTCGCTTGTATTCACTCTCTGAGATTGCTGACTAAATGTTACGCCAAATTTGTGAATTTGTCTTCATTCCAAGACATCAGCAGAAAAATTGCATATTTCATGAAATAAACAACGCCGTTGCCGGATACGTGAAATCGACAACTAGTCTACTGATTTCACGAAATCAGCAATATATTTTATATTCTGAATGGAGCGAAGAAGCCTATATCGTTGTTACATTATAAATATGGGCATTGAATAACCAGAATTTAAAATTATTTCGACAATCATAGAAATTGTATTTTCGGCATGTTATTGTCTTTACTTCACCGTGTATAATAATAAGGCAGTTCCCCTTGTAACTTAAGCTTAGATCATTGTATATCATCTGAGAACTTAAGTATAAAATATTTTATCTTATTTATATTACCGGTTTTCTATCGTTTAATAAAACAAAATTAATACCTACGATCTATATTACATATTGTAAAACGTTTAGTCGGTTCGTTCATTATACGCGATAGACGGTGCATTCAAATATTTGTTATAAGTACCCTTTTTTTATAAATAACATCGATTATCATATCAAATCAATCAAATAATTTTCAACTTTTAAAATTAATATATTAATAATTAACATTTGATTAACTTCAATTTTCTTAATTCAATGTATCAATTCTGTTTGAATTTCGGTATACATTATGATATGTCAAATCTCAAAATAATTTTTTTTGTTTTATTGGTAATATATAATTATATTATTTTACTTTACCGATTTCACGTTTTCGGCAACTGTGTTGCTTATTTCATGAAATGGGCAATTTTTCTGCGATTTCGTGGAATCAGAAAATTCGCAAATTCAGCGTAACATATATATCAGATTCGTATCTAATATACGGATCATCTTCTCTTATTTATGATTCAGAGTTTATTAGAAAAATAAAAATACCAACATCAGCAATGTTGTGTGTGCATATATCCGTTTATTTAGAATATTGAAGCCTATTATTTTATATTTTATTTTTTTAACAAATATGTTATCAATCATCATAAATCGTAATGAAAATACACTAAATGTAAACATTTACCGAATCCTATGCGAGAGGGTATCTGTGGGTTTAATTGTTTTCGATTATCTAGATCGATAAAACTGATATTATATACTATCGATGTACAATTTTTTTCTAATTCATCCATCAGCGTTCGTTTTCGTAGTATAAAATAATAATTTTGTTCTAAATCAGATGCCAGGTGTTATAACTTAACAAAGCCGCCCGAATTGTCCACCTCTTCTTCTACTATTTAGGCCAAGCCCAGTTTCTTATCAGTTATTATCAGCGACTATGTTACCACGTTCAAATCGGCGACATTATAAGGTATAGCATCTGGCACCTGATTTAGAACTCCCCTTTATACCCTACTTATATTGAATAGCATATATGCATTAATTTAAATTTGTGTACCTTAAAAAATTTCAGGGGGAGAGGGGTTCGAACTCCTGGTTTNGGTTAAATTATTTTGGTCTTTCGTACAATTACAAACGGAATATGTAGCGCTATCTATTGATAGATATTGATATTTAGATAAAAAGATAGTTCATTTTACACATTAATGTTTATCATCAAGGTAAAAATTAAAAATGAATGGTAATTTAACATATTTGAGTCACTTGTATTTGTAACTGTCAGAAATAAAAAAACAACAGCTGATACACGGAACAGGTGTGGTCATGATGTAGGTAGTAGTGGTGAAAATGGGATACATAAAATTATTAACTTTTTTCCTTATTTTGGAAAAGGATAGACCATTGATAATGAAAAACAATTTGGAGCTAAATTAGGTTAAAAATTATTTAAAAATTTTTTTTTTTATAATATTCAGTTAAAAATGTTTGTAGAGACGTAAATGTTAACAAATATTTTATCCTGCCGATTTCGTGAAATCAACAAATTCGCGAATTTGGCGTAACATTTATACCAACTCTGTATCTAATATAGGGATCATCTTCTGTTGTTTATGGTTTTATAATTCAGAGTCTATTACAACAACCAAAAAGAAAACACATATTTTATTCTTTTGTAAATTATTCAGCGAGAAATAATCGTAGAATTGTTATTTTGTAATGAATTAATTATAATAGGTACTACAGTTGGTCCATAATGAATAAATAATAAATAATATACGTCCAGTAAGTCATTTACGAAGAATAATATTTATTAGTTAGATAATTTACTTAATACAATGATTTTATGTTTGAAAATGTGACAATATGAAACTTTACAGTAAAAAATTATAATATTTATAACAAAAAAGTATGTTCGAAGAATACATTTTACTTTGTTGATATTTTTACAGCAGAGGTTACCTCCGAATGCTTATAATTATAAATTAGAGGTATGTTCATTTTTCTGGTTCTGTAAAAAATAAAAATGAAATAGTTAATAAAAATAAATAAATATAGGTGTTTACATATGTAAAATGGGGTTTTTGAAAGTGTTATTTTACAAGAAAATTTAAAAACAGCAATGGAATTTATAGAAGTATATTTAACAAATTGAATGAAAATAATACCGTTTAAATACGTTTTTCGAAACGTCATAGTTTTTTAAAAACGTTGAAATAATTGAAATAGTCAAATATTTTGAATAATATACAAGTAGGTATATCGTATAAAATGTGTGCTTACTTTGTTTATATATATCACATCATATAGAAATACGATTTTTCTATCGGCGAAGTAAAGTGACGTATGGGTTGTAAGTTATTGGGTAAGTGAGGGGGTAAGACGGGTAGGTGTAGACTGGTGCGTAAGGCCGGTAAATGAATTGAGCAGAAGCGACAGCGATTAAAGCCAAAGCGGCGACGATCAATAACTGAAAACAGAAAAATGTATTTAATTATTTTAAAATTAGAATTATATAATTTTTATAAAATAGGTAAAGTATTAGTACATTGTATTTAATTTTATATGTCATTATATGTCGGGTTCACACATATATTAATTTTGGAAATTTAGCTAGTTTTATTTTAAATAGTAGAAAACTCGAAAATAATAATAATATTTTTTATATTCAAAATTTATTTTTTTTATATAATAGGCCTAGAAATAAAAAATGTTAACAAAAAATGTAATCTTTAAAGACCCGCCAAGATTAGTATAAAGTATAATGTATGCACGATCGTTATACTTTAGATACAATTTCATACTTTTAAAACGGAAAAATAGAAACACAATTCATTCATTAATTAATTGTTAAGACACATTCAGAAAAAAAAATTTTTTTACGTTTTAATTTACGATAGTTTACATTGATTAAGTTGCCTAAAATACAATCAGTCGATTCGCCAAGTATTTTTCTACAGAAAATAATTGTATGTACATACATTATTTTTGTAAAATACACGAAATTTACGATTCGAAATGAGTACAAACATTTTCTGCTCCAAAATTTTGTTTCGAAATAAATTTATAAACTTGCTACCGTGAAATTTATAAACTTGCTACCGTGGATTTTATGGGGACAAAAATGAAAAACTAAATACATTATTGAACCGAACAATAGTTATTGCATCTCCGTCATCGATTTATTAATGAAAATAATAATATAGACATTGATAGCAAAGAGATATGCTGTTTTAAAATTAGAAATGAAGTTAATTTTAAGTTATATTAATAACACTGTGTCTACATAAACTGTGAATATTTTGGTGGCGATTCGCGGTCGAAATGTTTAACAAAATAAGAAATAATTTGTATCTTTAAAAGAAAAAAAAAATTAGGAATTACATTTATCATATCGTACTCACCATTAACTTGTACATGATGATTTTTGAGTGTAAGTTGCGGAGAACTTGACGAAATAAATAGGCGTGTATATACGAGGTGTATGTGTCTCGATATGTTGACGATTACTGGTGTCGTCTCCGGAGATTTGATCGGTATTTATATCGTTTCGTTTAGTAACAGAAGACATTATTCGTTTGCCATCGTCCCACCTTAACGCCGTACGATTATAGGATTTTGGCGAATTTTTCTTTCGTCCCGTTCTCTATAAGGACACCGTAATTAGTCATGCTTTTTATTTTGCGTTTAGTAAACATTTTATTATTTTCCATGGTTTTTTTTTTTTTTATTTGTTTACTACCGAAAACCCGTTTTACAAAAAAAAACTTCAAAGCCACCGTTAAGGACAGAAGATGACTCCGAATCTTGCGTTATAAATATTGTTTTCGATAAACCGGTCGACATCTTCGTTAACAAANACAAGTATAAACGAGGAGGTTAATATTTATACTGACATTTTATAATGTCTGAGGAAACTGGAGAACCCTGACCGACGACATATAGTACGCCAAATTTATTGGGAAATCTTTTGTTCGCTGTGCAAATATAATCACTCATTTTAAATGTCAAGTGTTAAACACAGTCGTATGTGTTTGAAGAAGTTTTGCTCCCATCTCATTTTGGTCGCAGGGTACAACTACCCTATGCATATTTCAAAATTCGTCTTTCTGAAGTAAAAATAAAATGACATCATAAAAATATATTGTTATTGTTAACTATCATCTTATATTCGAAAAGAATAAAAATCATTAACAAATAACGGTTAAACAGTTGTAGTTCACATTTTTTTCGGTAGGTATAAACTATACCTGATACCTATATGACGGTACAAAAAATATAGAAAGTATTGTAATCCTAATTGATAAAATACATTGATTACATATTAATTTTTTGCCATTTTGTTTATAATTATTTCTCTGGTATTGTTTTTTTTTTTTTTTTTAATGCACCGACCTCATTCCCGGGATTTTTAAATAAAATCGAAATCCTAATAGTATTTCTGATTTAATTATTATGTTTCTGAAATAGTTTATTACAAATGCACGTGCAGTAAACGACCTCTACATTTTGATTAAGGTACCTACCTTGTTATAATAACAATATGCAAGTGGACCCTCATTGAATTGCTAAGTTAATAGGCAGGTACTCAGATAAAACCTCTGACGATAATTATATAGTCGAATTAAGACACACTAGGTATGTACTTAAACCCGACAAGTTATCAAACGTATTACTACATTCATTATAGATAGTATTTCAATTTACAACCAGCGATGTTGCCTACTATTTAGCGTTTTAATATTATTATAATTCATAATAATATTCATAATAATAGTCGCATAAAAATATAAAAATACAAGAAAAACAATAAAAAGAGCTGACAATTCATGATGGGTATATGGAAAGTTGGTAAGGTAGAATATTATATTAAAGGAAAGTCGTTTAATTTATATTCGTACCCAACACGACCATTAATAGATGTTAATAAAAAACGATTCTGAGCTAAATTCGGTGTTAAACGTATTTTGAAACTCCGTGATTTTTACGATTTTCAGAAAATTATTTTTTTGTTTTTACTCCCCTAGACGCGATTTGTGTCAAATCGTGAGAACATATTTTTAATGTTATTTATTTTTATTTTTAGGTGGGCACGTGATTTTATGTTAGTATACCGTCTCTATATAGTACCTGCACACACATATGTAAATATTTTTTATTATTTTAAAAATTAAGTCATTTTTGTTTGACGATTTTTTTTTTCTTGTTGATCACTTATTGCACATGCTAGTACAGCGAATCGTGCGTTTTTATGAATTATTGTTGATTTCCGATAAACCGTTTCAATCGTTTACAAAAATAACAATCGTAGGTACAACACGAAACACCGCGAAATACTCGACGTAAACACTATAAGTTATATTTTTATCAAACCGAACACCGACAATTTATATTGCTTTTTAATAGGAATTGGTACTCGAAAAAGACTGCACAAACCGGCAATGTAAAACATATTTTGCATACCATGTCGTAAAGTCGTAGAGCGTACAGTGTACATAGCTACATATATTATAATATTGAATATTCAGTAATATTGTACAAAAGTATAACGTAAGAGCCATAGAGAATCGCGTGACTTTATAATATTGAATAAGTAAACTGTTTTAAGTACCTACCAAGGTACCTCTCGAAAATCCATAACACTTTGCGCATTTATAACCTTAAAGCTCGGAAAAACATTGTGTAATATTTTTTTTGTCCGTTTAAACGAATATTCAAGCTGAATAATTTTGTAAGTATCTATTTACCTATAGTACCTACGTCCTACATATAAAAAAAACAAACCGCTATTGACTGTGTCCTACTGTGTTTTCGACTATAAACGGAGCGTCGAAAGTATCGGTTTTACCATTGATTATAAATTATTACTATTTGTAATCAGTGGTTTTAGTTAAATTTATTTGGAAGGATGTAGCTGAGTTTCTATTACATCGGTAGATACTGAAAGTATACAGACCTCTCGGAAAAATAAAAGTTTTAGTCTAAGATTAAGGTAATTTTACTTTCCACCGTGAATGGAATAATATTAAATAGCTCTGATAAATGGCAGGAAATAGATGAATTAAAATTGAGTGATTTAGATTACGAGGAATATGAAGATTGTGAACAAATATTAGTTTGCAATAACAAAAATAATAGGATTGATTTATTATTGGACGTATTAAGGGTAGATCATTTAAATGCAGAAGAAAAAGAATCTATATACGAAATTTGTTTTAAATACGCAGGTTTATTTTTTTTGGGAAGGTGATAAGTTGTTATTGACAAAATCAATTAAACATACAATACCAGTTCCAGAGGGAATTGCGTCGATAAATGTAAAACCTTATAGGTTGNCGAAAATAATAGGATTGATTTATTATTTGACGTATTAGGGGAAGATCATTTAAATGCAGAAGAAAAAAAATCTATATACGAAATTTGTTTTAAATAAGCAGGTTAATTTTTTTTTTGGAAGGTGATAAGTTGTCAACGACAAAATCACTTAAACATACAATACCAGTTCCAGAGGGAATTGCGCCGATAAATGTAAAACCGTATAGATTGCCCAGGGTACAAAAATAAAAAAATAGAGAAGCAAATAAAAGAGTTGGAAGACAGTAAAACTATTGTAAAAAGTAGTTCCACATGGAATGCACCGTTATTCGTAGTACCAAAAAAAGATGATGCATCTGGAATTAAAAAATATAGAGTATGCGTAGATTTTAGAAAATTAAACGAAGTAACAGTAGGGAATGTATTTCCATTACCTCAGATAACAGAAATTTTAGATGAACTAGGGAAATGTAAGTATTTTACGACAATCGATCTAGCATCAGGCTATCATCAAATCGAATTAGACGAAAAAGACACAGAAAAAACAGGATTTTCAACAGGAGTAAATCATTATAAATTTCTAAGATTACCATTTGGATTAAAAGGAGGACCTAGTACTTTTCAAAGGTTAATGAATAATGTATTAACGAGATTACAAGGGGTAGATGGTTTTGTTTATTTGGACGATATAATAGTATTTGCACCTGATTTAAAAGTGTATAACGAAAGGTTAGAAAAGGTCATGTGTAGACTTCGTGAACATAATCTAAGAGTTCAGCCAGCTAAATGTGAATTTTTAAAAAAAGAGGTAACATATCTAGGACACATTATAACAGAAAATGGAGTCCGTCCTGACGAGAGGAAAATAGAAAGTGTCGTAAATTTTCCATTACCAAAAATTCAGAGAGAGATAAAAGGGTTTTTAGGTTTAACAGGATTTTATAGGAAATTTATTCAAAATTACAGTCAGATATCAGACACAATAATAACTATGAAAGATCGTACTAAGTTGGAAGATCTGAAATTAGGAAATTTTTCACAAAATTAATATAAAAATTTAATAGATGTAACACGGTCGTTAGACGAGGTAAATGATTTAATAGGTATAGAAATTAGATATAAAGAAAAAGAAATTGTAAAAACGTTATATTATTATTCATATTACATAATTGTGGTGATGGCAATAATTTGTTTATATTTATTGTATAAATAATAATATACGTGTAATCGATAGACGAGACTTAGTACCGTTAAGCACTAGAATTTAAGTAAATGATAAATATTATATGAAAAATTGTAAGAGCGAAAGATCATTCGTATTGGAAGCATGATCCTTCGTCTGGTAGGGGAGGTGTTAAGACCACCCGGTCTAGGTGTAATAAAACGTAGTTATTAGTATTCTATTTGTATTCAGAAGACCTCAGTTACATTTTATACATTATCAGTTGTGTCGTAAATAATTAATTATTAGTGGAGTTGTAATAAGGAAAAGTAGCACAGATATGTACTTAGAATAGTAATTGTCTTAATTAGAGGCTCGTTTTCGGTATATAGAGAGCACGTGAGGAACACTAGTCAACCAGTCATAACCAAATGTTAGACAAGTACTTATGTATATGTCATGTCTGTGCAAAAAGTAAACTTTAAGTCTAGAACAATTGTGTTTATTTTCTTATATTAATATCCAAATCCTTAAAACTCGTTTTGAGTCTACTCGGCTCATAACAAAAGGATTAAAGTCTACAACATGGATCACTGTTTTAGGTGGAAAATTGGTTTTACACAGGCAACATTAATTATTGTTATACTCTATTTCACATTAGTTTAGAAAATCTCGCGCACTCATAAAAACCACCGGAATGATCGGACCGCTATAATTAGCTGTGGCTGTCGGAATCTATCGTTTTTTGTCGCGGTTGAACGACCGCTGCAGCCCGTGGACGTATTAACAGCGTGTCACGGATTAGTTCGTTTAGGTAAGTAAGGTATACGCGGAATGTGGGGTGTTTTGATAATACAGCTCACTACGTATCTTTGTTGTTTAGACGGGTCGGTTAACAACAATGCTCACCGTCGCAACGCACGTGCTCCACCTGCGCGAACAATGACGCGTTTACGTTGCACATTTTTCATAACTTATATGGAATAGAGTATAACAGTGTAAGCAACGATAAAACATTGCAATTAATAATTTTGGGTGAGCGCAGAAAAAAATGTATTAGTTTTGTAAAACTCATAACATTTCCTTTACTCTATTTTAATCAAGGCATTAAAATAAAGTATTAGATCTCATAAATTATATTACTTGTTACCCCACGACAAATGATCGGTGGTTATGGACGTAAATAGGGGGAGGCTTAGTTCCACCATGCCATAAGCCTACTTTAAGCCTTTTCTAAGATATTTTAATGTATAGGTTATCTTTATTATGATAAATTATATAATTTATAATCAACGATAATAGCTATAAGTATAATAATAGTAATATTATGTAACTAGGTTTCCACTGAATTTTCGTTTTAACGTTCCAACTAGTGATACGTAAAACCGCGGGACCGACTAGTTTTGACTTTATTGTCAATCAATAGCTTAAAAAAACATGGGAGAGGTTTATAGATTGAACTGATATTTTATTCGTCGATTGTTTTGAAAACTATCGAATGAATTGATAGATAGTTTTCTTTCAGTAGTAGTACCGACTAGTTTTTACTAGCGATAGTTTGAAAAAAAAACCTAGACATTTTTACGATTAAATTGTTATTGTCAATAGAATGAACTACTTGATAGTCCGATAGTTTCAATAGTATGGACTATAATTTCGATAGTGACAGTTTCTAGATACAACAGAGTAAATTGATAATGTAAAACAATCGTAGTAGTTCGATACGTATAACCATTTGGGTGCCAATGGTCATTTCGGGCTCAAGCTCTATGCATTTAAGGACCCTATTTACGTGCATACATTAATTATCGTGATATTGATGATACGGAAATTACAGTAAACACCAATAATATAGAAACTACCGGTATACATTAATAATGGTAATTCCAACTACCAGAATTTTATTCTAGTACCGGTCCAAGCAAAAGAGGTGGCGGCAGAGTTTTTTGACCAAGGCATACGAAAATTGATCCCTCACTACATAACATGCATTAAAAGGGCTGATGATTAAATGGAAAAATAGTTCATGTGTATGTTTTGGGATGAAAAAGATAATGGAATACTTGAATTGAGCTCCGACCTAATGTCCAGGATAAGTAGGATTGATATCACTGGATTCTGGGACTTCATCGAAATACATCTGTATTTGTAGATTCTCTATAACTTTCTTTGTTCCGATGTGACCGATGTTTTCTTAAAATATTTTTTTTCGAATTTGGCGATTGTGTAATAAATCCAAAATAAAAGCTTTTGAAGGAAGGAGGAGGATGTTGGTTAGAGAAAACTATTCTTTCATGTTTATGATAATATTGAACACGTAGTGATTTTTATTATGAAAAATTGTCAATATGTTCTTAGTGATTTACTATATCAAAAAGTTCCCGATTAACCTGAACTTGCTCCTTCGTCCACATTCTCGAGAAAAACTTTCACTCAGCACATCTGCAGTTTTTCAGTCGCAATTTGTTGGTAAAAGTCATGTGAAACAACGTTGCATTCCTCTACTGTAAAAGATTGTGTCAACCAAATAGAAGGAAAATTCGTTCCAAACCAACCAACCCACCCTAAACAAAGCTTTTCTTTTGAGTTTATTACAAAATCGCCAAATGCGAAGAAAATATTTTAACAAAACATCGGTCACATAAAAAACAAAGAAAGTTATAGAGAATATACAAATACAAATGTCCTCCGAAGAAGTCACAGAATCCAGTGATATCAATCCTACTGCTTTTGGACACGACACTGCGTTGGCGAGCTATTCGAGTATTCCGGGAACTTTTTGATCCCACTGTGTAACTATGTAAAAGTTTTATTATTAAATACATTATTTCAAATGTACAAGGGGCATTTGTGAAAGGACAAAACCATAATAAATTTACTCTCTGAACTAATGTCTGTTTTACATAACTGATGTGTCAAAGATTTGGTATAAGGGTATAAATAAATAAGGGATTCTATTGCCGGGTTAACTTTTAATAATAAATTATTGTGAAAACGGTCAGGATCGCAAAAAAAAAAAAAAAAAATACCCTTCCGGTAATGATATGGAATCAAATAAAAAATTATCATTAAAATATAGGTAAAATAGTTCTCAAGGTTTTTACTAACATACACACTAATGATGAGGGCGCAGATTGGAAGATGAATCTTCTAAAGGAACTGCCACCACAACAATGTTATTTATAAACAAACATTGTAATCTCGTTACTTACTTTGAAAGGTCTTTAGGGATATCAAAACCCCAATATTTCCTGTGAAAACAGGAAATTTGGGCATACGAATAGTTAGAAAGGAGGTTGAAATTTAAAACTCTCAAAATGCATGATATTATTCTGATATTTACATCACGCATACAAAAAAATTTAACTTCATTTGAAGGGGGCCTGTAAGGATATACAGAGCTGGAAAAACACCAATCTTCTACAACAATACAGTAAAATTCATATTGATAANCTAACAAACGACTATCAAAGTACAAAGATTAAACTATCGATGGCTTTAATTATTGGAAATTCATGCGAAAACTATACCGTTCGGCATGTCACTTGTTAACTAGATCATATGGACAGACTTTGTTGGCGGACAAAACAGTTGAACTTATTGCGGACTAACTAGACCACCAATTCACAAAAAATTCTAATCTTGAAATGCTAGAGGTCATCACTTTCATCCAAAGACTCAAAACACTATTATTACAAAATCAAATATTTTCACCCTAGATAATGTAAGACTTCCTAAACATAATTCTTCAGGCACAGCCTCGAGAATGAACACAGCACTAAAATACCTCCAAAAATGCCAAATTATGGCCTTTACTAACATTTTTAATGATTTTATTCCTATTTATTTTTCTACTACCTACCAAAAAACATGACGAAAATCATGAATTATATAAACATGTCAATTTCGATCAAAACTTTATGAACTGGTCATACTCAAAGAACTATAGATGGAAGTAGCAAATAAGATAAGAAACAAGGAGTACGCATTTGAGCTAGAACATTCAACTACTCTTAATCTGATCAAAGTGGTGGACCAAATAAGCATAAAACAAAACAATAAATAATAAACAACACGCAGTGGCCGTCTTATTTGACAACAGAAAAACTTTCACTCTAAGGAACCATGTGTAACAAAAGGATAATAATCTGTGGCTAGTTCAATGGCTACACAAACTATTTATACCAATCAATATCATAAAATTATCAGAATTGTTTAAAAATAAATGCCTCATCATGGTTTCCATTGTGTAATCGACGTGTGCGTGTCAACAATATTCGCGTTTGATGATCGTAGTGCTCTGGAATCAATGTATTTCTTGTATTGCGTGCATCGCATTGCGATTTTATTCTGAACGAATTTAAATTATATTTGTATAAATTAATTTATTCAATCGAAAAATATCGAAAATGACGAAATCTAGATTCACTACAAATGACCATGAGCTGTTATTTTAAAAAGTGAGGAAAACTAGTGTGTTTTATAAAATCCGCACAACAGTCGCAGTTTGAAAACCGTACCATGAGCCACGTCTCTCGGGCAGACGCTAATACATAAACGATACTTTTTAAAGTGGGCTCTTGATCATCAAATGCTACGACCCAAAATTTCATAAGAAATAAATATTCACTTTACTGGAAATAGCGCAATAACCATATCATATTAAATGAGTATATAAAGAACATGTAACAATAGAAGTAGAACCCTCAGAATTCAAATCATTTCACAAATCTATCACACGGTGAATTTCCGTGTACCATTTTAATTATTACTCAAAATTTACTCACGTGATTTCTTCCATATGGAATCATTTACTGAGTCATTAGATTTATTTTTCACTAATTTTTTTTTATTTCTTGTAGCATTCAATTTCTTTGCAATTCGATCATTCTCTGTAACCATAAACAAATATATTAATAAGAACTCAAAAACATATTTAAGGGAGACAATCACAACTTAATTGCCCAGTTTTTACTTGTAAATATGTTATATGAAAAAAAATTAAAAATGATCGTGTTAAAGGATTTTTCAAAAGTAGTGCTAGATTTAAATTGTTTCAACAAAAAATTTTTTTTTAATATCTCAATTTTCAATGTCTCAAATCTACAAACTATCTGTAGTTTATATTTTAAAAGTAAAATTTATCTCTTTTAACTTTTTTATTAGTGAATAATGATGAAATGAAAAGAAAATACAGTAAAATACCATTACTTCTTAAGTTTTAAATTTATTTAAATATAATCATAACTGATAAAAAAAAATGTGTGTTTTGTTTAATGTTGTATAATTTATTATGCTCCCCTCTCCTGATGATATGCATAGTTACAGAATAATTAAAATATATCCTCGCCCATCCGTGAAAAAAATTCTAATTTCACTATTGGTAATGGCGAGTTTAATAAAACCAATAAATTGGTGTCCCAAAGAGTTAAGGTTTATCCTTGAGTTAGTCCTTTTTGATACAGATACCGGTTAAGAGTTAGTATCTGCATACAAAAATGATTGATTTGTTTAGTACATGCTATACTCCAAACAATACATGGAGTCAGTGTATCGGGAACTGTGAAACATTCGCTGTTTTTATGAATTTAAACCTATTGGACTCATTAAGAAAAAGTATTGCATTCAATGGCTAAACATAACCATAATTAAGAAGAAATGCAGACATCTCTAGTCGAAAGATAAAACCGCTTCTACAAACTTTAACAAAAATGGCGATTCAAATTTTGAAATACTTTTGATTGGACCTTTTGCGAATGATATTTAAAAAAATTTAATAGTACAATTTAAAATTTGATAAATATTTTGATTATAGGATAGAAATTGAAAACATCGATCTTTTTATACTCTTTCATTTTAGCAATATTATAATTAAAAGAATTAAAATAATATCAAAATATAAGATAATTGTTTCAATTTGAGAACTTGAACAGCCCCAGTACTTTCAAATCTCAAAATTAGACTCGAATATAATTCTACATAACTTACATCATGTAAGATATGCAAACATCATATTCATTTCAAGCAAAATTAATCCAAGATAATACAATACTATCATACAGTAATAACAAAAGGTTTTTAGTTCCAACATTTTAATGTGACTGAAAACATGGCTCGGATTAGTTAAAGAAGTTAACTATGAGTTTAAATTATTTTTACAAAAAATAGACTGAAAGAAACATTTGGCATATTCTACGATGATGTCAGAATTCAGTTAAACTTTTGTGAAGGTAAAGAAAATTTATTACGAACAAAAATAATAGGTTCTGAGTTATTGAAATGCCAACATCTCCAATATGATAAAAATAATCCATTATACTAACAAATTTAATGGCAATTTCGGGAGTGATTATGAAATGAACCATTTAAAAAAAGTAAATTAACTCCAACACAACCTACTAAATCCCCTTTTGAAATACTGGGCAAGGTTTCTTTTGGTAAAACAAAAATGAACAAAAATTTTTAATCATGANTTTGTCCGTTTTTAAAATTTATTATTTCCTAATTACTAGGAAAACAGCAGATGTCAAAAAAAAACTAAGGTTACTTTTTGTGTATTGAGATACACAAACTAGTAGCAAAATACTAAAAAAAAAAAAAAACTCAAGATTTTTGTATTTCAGGACCCTATTTACGTGCATACATTAATTATTGTGATATTGATGATACGGAAATTACAGTAAATACCAATAATATAGAAACTAACGGTGGTATTAACTACCAGGATACTTTAATAATGTTATTTCCAAGTACCAGTATTTTATCTAGTGCCATTTCTAGCAAAAGCGGTGGCGTCAGAGTTCTTTGACCAAAGCAAACAAAAATTGTTCCCTCACCACATCATAACATGCTTTGAAAGGGGTGGGGACTACATGGAAAAATAGTTCATGTGTAAGTAGTGAGATCAAAAAGTTCCCCGAATACATGAATTGTGCTCCAACGAAGTGTCTAGGATAAGTAGGATTGTTATCACTGGATTCTGGGACTTCTTCGAAATACATCTGTATTTGTAGATTCTCTATAACTTTCATTGTTCCGATGTAACCTATGTTTTCTTAAATTATTTTTTTCGAATTTGGCGATTATGTAATAAATCCAAAATAAAAGGTTTTGAAGAGGGAGGCAGGAGGATGTATGTTAGAGAAGACTATTGTTTCATGTTTATCAGCAGATGTCAAAAAAATAACCTCAATACACAAACTAGTTCCAAAATACTGCAAAATAAGCTAGTCTTTTTAGATTATGGCGAAATTTCTATTATTTGAAATATTCACACAAAATGAAAAATAAAAAACTCATAATACAAGTTAATTAAAAATGATTTCTTATTTAAAAATTAAATACTTATAAAATAGATCATTATCGTACTTGACTTATTATAAGCTGAACTACATTTTGAATCATTGGAATCTTCTCGTGCTAAAACATTGTGTTCCAATAGTTCACAGCTAGAGGAACTAGAGTTGTTTTTCTCATAATCAATATTGATATCTATTAATAATTTATAAAAATAACAAAGTAATTATTAAAAATGTATCAAATTTTTGATAGTATCTCATCTATAAAACCTTAAATGTTACCATTACTATCAAAACTATCTAAAGTATCAGGTTTACCTTGTAGCTTTAAGGTAGGTCTTAAATTTTCAGTTAATGAAACTGAAGCTGTAGTTTTTAATTGACGACGACTTGTGTTTATGATATTATCGTTATTTATTTCATAACCTATAAACAAATAAGCATACATTTTAAAATGNAAAAAAAAACACAATTATGCTACCATATCTAATATGCAATATTAACATTGTTGACTGCCATAGCCATTCCTACATAGATGCTACAATGTCTTGTGACACACACATGGGTCAAAGTTGATATGCAGTTTATTTTCTAAGACTCATATGTGTGTTACATAATACATTTTTAACGTATACTACTGATGGGTCATGTTGTTAGTATTTTTACTATCAATTCTTTATCAACAAAATTGTATAAATATTTTCACACTGATAAAAAAAGAAATAAACAAAATCATCAACTACCTCAAAACACTTTGCAAACATTGTGTTACTCACAGAAGGGTCTCATGGCAGTCAACCTGTCAAGACATTTTTACGATAAAATTGTTATTGTCAATAGAATGAACTACTTGATAGTCCAATAGTTTCAATAGTATGGACTATAATTTCGATAGTGACAGTTTCTAGATACAACAGAGTAAATTGATAATGTAAAACTATCGTAGTAGTTCGATACGTATAACCATTTGGGTGCCAATGGTCCTTTCTGGCTCAAGCTCTATGCATTTAAGGACCCTATTTACATGCATACATTAATTATCGTGATATTGATAATACGGAAATTACAGTAAATACCAATAATATAAAAACTACCGGTATACATTAATAATGGTAATTCCAACTACCAGTATTTTATTCTAGTACCAGTCCTAGCAAAAGAGGTGGCGGCAGAGTTATTTGACCAAGGCATACGAAAATTGATCCCTCACCACATTACATGCATTGAAAGGGCTGATGATTAAATGGAAAAATAGTTCATCTGTATGTAGTGGGATCAAAAAGATAATGGAATACTTGAATTGAGCTCCGACCGAATGTCCAGGATAAGTAGAATTGATATCACTGGATTCTGGGACTTCATCGAAATACATCTGNCGATGTTTTCTTAAAATATTTTTTTTCGAATTTGGTGATTGTGTAATAAATCCAAAATAAAAGCTTTTGAAGGAAGGAGGAGGATGTTGGTTAGAGAGGACTAATCTTTCATGTTTATGATAATATTGAACACATAGTGATTTTTATTATGAAAAATTGTCATTATGTTCTCAGTGATTTACTATATCAAAAAGTTCCAGATTAACCTGAACTTGCACCTTCGTCCACATTCTCGAGAAAAACTTTCACTCAGCACATCCGCAGTTTTTCAGTCAAAATTTGTTAGGAAAAGTCATGTGAAACAACGATACATTCCTCTACCAAACAAGATTGTGTCAACAAAACCAAACCAACCAACCTCTCCTAAACAAAGCTTTTCTTTTGAGTTTATTATAAAATCATCAAATGCGAAGAAAATATTTTAAGAAAACATCGGTCACATAAAAAACATAGAAAGTTATAGAGAATATACAAATACAAATGTGCTCCGAAGAAGTTACAGAGTCTAGTGATATCAATCCTACTGTTTTTGGACATGACACTGCGTTGGCGAGCTATTCGAGTATACCGGGTACTTTTTGATCCCACTGTGTAACTATGTAAAAGTTTTTTATTAAATACATTATTTCAAATGTACAAGGGGCATTTGTCAGAGAACAAAACCATAATAAATTTACTCTCTGAACTAATGTCTGTTTTACATAACTGACGTGTCATAGATTTGGTATAAGGGTATAAATAAATAAGGGATTTTTATTGCCGGGTTAACTTTTAATAATAAATTATTGTGAAAACGGTCAGGATCGCAAAAAAAAAAAAAAACACCTTCCGGTAATGATATGGAATCAAATAAAAAATTATCATTAAAATATAGGGCGCAGATTGGAAGTTGAATCTTCTAAAGGAAATGCCACAACAACAATGTTATTTATATACAAACATTGTAATCTCGTTACTTACTTAGAAAGGTCTTTAGGAATATCAAAACCTCAATATTTCCTGTGAAAACAGGAAATTTGGGCATACGAAAAGTTAGAAAAGAGGTTGAAAATTAAAACTCTCAAAAAGCATATTATTTTGATATTTACATCACGCATTCAAAAAGTTTAACTTCATTTGAAGGTGTCCTGTAAGGATATACAGAGCTGGAAAAACACCAATCTTCTACAACAATGCAGTAAAATTCATATTGATAATTTAAATTTAAATACATTTTATCACTTAAATCCACAATATTTTATAGCTAACAAACGACTATCAAAGTACAGAGATTAAACTATCGATGGCTTTAATTATTGGAAATTCATGCGAAAACTATACCGTTCGGCATGTCACTTGTTAACTAGATCATATGGACAGACCTTGTAAGCAGACAAAAAAGTTATAAATGATACTTTTTAGAGTGGGCTCTTGATCATCAAATGCTACGACCCAAAATTTCATTAGGAATAAATATTTGCTTTACTGGAAATAGCGCAATAACCATATCATATTAAATGAGTATAAAAAAAAGAACATGTAACAATAGAAGTAGAACCCTCAGAATTCAAATCACTTTACAAATCTATCACACGGTGAATTTCCGTGTACCATTTTAATTATTACTCAAAATTTACTCACGTGATTTCTTCCTCATGGAATCATTTTCTGAGTCATTAGATTTATTTTTCACCAATTTTTTTTTATTTTTTGTAGCATTCAATTTCTTTGCAATTCGATCATTCTCTGTAACCATAAACAAATATATTAATAAGAACTCAAAAACATATTTAAGGGAGACAATCACAACTTAATTGCCCAGTTTTTACTTGTAAATATGTTATATGAAAAAAAATTAAAAATGATCGTGTTAAAGGATTTTTCAAAAGTAGTGCTAGATTTAAATTGTTTCAACAAAAAATTTTTTTTTAATATCTCAATTTTCAATGTCTCAAATCTACAAACTATCTGTAGTTTATATTTTAAAAGTAAAATTTATCTCTTTTAACTTTTTTATTAGTGAATAATGATGAAATGAAAAGAAAATACAGTAAAATACCATTACTTCTTAAGTTTTAAATTTATTTAAATATAATCATANTTGTTTAATGTTGTATAATTTATTATGCTCCCCTCTCCTGATGATATGCATAGTTACAGAATAATTAAAATATATCCTCGCCCATCCGTGAAAAAAATTCTAATTTCACTATTGGTAATGGCGAGTTTAATAAAACCAATAAATTGGTGTCCCAAAGAGTTAAGGTTTATCCTTGAGTTAGTCCTTTTTGATACAGATACCGGTTAAGAGTTAGTATCTGCATACAAAAATGATTGATTTGTTTAGTACATGCTATACTCCAAACAATACATGGAGTCAGTGTATCGGGAACTGTGAAACATTCGCTGTTTTTATGAATTTAAACCTATTGGACTCATTGGGAAATAGTATAGCATTTAATGGCTAAACATAACCATAATTAAGAAGAAATACAGACATCTCTAGTCGAAAGATAAAACCGCTTCTACAAACTTTAACAAAAATGGCGATTCAAATTTTGAAATACTTTTGAATGGACCTTTTGCGAATGATATTTAAAAACATTTAATAGTACAACTTAAAATTTGATAAATTTTTTGATTATAAGATATAGATGATAAGATGATAAGAAGTTATAGTTAATGAGTTTAAATTTTTTTTACAAAAAATAGACTCAATGAAACTTTTGGCATATTCTACAATGATGTCAGTTTTCAGTTGGAATTTTCTGAAGGTCTTTGTGAATTGATCATGTATACATTTTAATATAAACTGTGTAACACATTCACAGTTAAGTCACAAACACAGGGTGTAGCAGATTCACGCATGTTCTAAAATGCTCCGTCCTGTCATGCCTCTCAATCGTAATTTTAAATCTGTGGATCACAAAAAATTGAGCTTCACTATTTTGGGTTACATACTTTACATACATCTCAATGTGCAGCTGGCCTAACAGTTGAGTCGCAAAAACCATTTTAAAACCTATTTATTGTATGGTCTCTCAAATTATTGATTTTCCTGGTTAAAACTTAACAGATTTTCTAATACTGATTTCTCAATTACATACACTTTACCCAAATTTTTATACTATGACCCGTATTCATAATTTTTATATTCCTCTATAATCTTCACTTTTGTCTTTAATATGAGTAAGCAACACAAAACTCTACTTATCCAGCATTTTATTTATTGATCGGATATAAATGTATAATACATTAAAATTTTCAACAAAATAAACTCTACGGAATGTCTATCTCAAAATTGTGTGAAAATAATAAAATTAAGTTATTTTTTAAATATTTTTAGTAAAAAAAATGTTAATACAATTATAAATATTTGTAGTCTTCATCCTCTCAGTAATATAAAAAAGAACCCGAAATTGATTATCTTTATTATTATCTCCGAAGATATTCAAGGGGTATACTTTATAGGACAGCCTATATATTTTAATTTAACAATGACCTATTTTTGGTCTTTTAATTTTCCCCGAGATGGCAGCACCTTTTACATTATTACATTAATACACTTTATGTTCCATGATAATTCAACTCTCTGAAAAAGCAATGAACAAATACATAGAATACGCATTATGTATAATTACTCTCATATATATAGCAGACATTCCATTATGATTTTACACATTTTTAACCAACTTATGATAAAAATATTACCTTTTTTTCGTTGGTAACTTTGACAACGTTGATAACATAACAACTATAAAATATATATATATCTGCCATAGACATATACATGATTGAAATATACAAGGTTATTGCAGAAAGCATTTTAATATCTAAATAATAATTTATTACACTATATGTGTCATATATTTTATTATAATGTTTTGAAATAATTAAATTAAATGTTATAAAATATCACTTGCTGACAATAAATGACAAAACACATTATGGTATTCTTATAACATGATATTCAACTCAACCTAACCTAATGCAGGTATTATAAATAATTTAACTATATGATAAAATAATGACAACCATATAGTTTTGTAATACAGACATTGAGTATATTTTAAATTATTTTATTATTAACAGGTCAAAAAACAAATATTGCCGCCAATTCTGAACTCATAATAGCCAATAAAAACATTACACTGCCATTTTATTTTCTGTGCATCAAAAAATGATTAAGTGGAGAAGTATCTGCAATAACCTTGTATATTTCAATTATGGACTTATACATCTAGACAGAACATTTAATAATCAGTATAATAAGGTGTTCCCGAAGGTAAAACTTCGTTCTAAGGACTGAAAGCTGCAATTGACTAAAAATGGGGGAAAAAATTCAAATTTTTGAACTATGATAAAGATGCTAGTGATTGCTACTATACCAATAAATTTCATTAATAGTGTTTAATACCAACTATAAAAATAAATTTTAAATTATCTTCAATTTTAAGTTGTTACAATAACTGATAGCATGAAAATGCTGTAGTATACACTGGTTAACTTTTTTTTTTAATTTTTTTAACTATCATTTACTTTTATTTTTAACTTACCTAATTTATCTTGTTCTTGGCGCATTATATCTAAAAATAAATAATACTTTGATTAAAATTTGTTAATTTATTGATATGTATTGATATGAGTATCAAATTACCTATTAAATATTAATTACCTATCAAATATTAATTAAATATGTTTAAATCATGAAATAAAGTATTGACTCCAAAAATCACAAGTCTTCAATCTTCATGTTATTATTCATAATTCATAACAAAAATACAGAATACCACAAGAATGGAGTGTTTTAATTGATTATCCTAGAAATGAACAGTTGCTCTCTCTCATACCACAGTCTATATTTCAGTCTATACCTAACCTTGATTCGTCCAGACTGACCACACCCATTAGTCCTCAATATGAATGTTTCATTTAAATACACGAGATATTATAACTGCCTTGAGTACACAAATTCTATGTATGTAATAGGAGTATTACTTCTATAAACTAAGCCACTGTTGTGCTCTACGCCTCAATTAGAATTATAAATCTCATAGAATTAATAATATTTATGGGACCAAAAAAGTATTATCTACATAATATCCCTACCAGAAATCAGAACACAAAATGTTACGATTTTTACAATTTTCATTAACAAAACTAAAACATAAAAAGTTTTTTAATCTTTTTTAAAAAAACAGGGATTACAATTTTGTTTTATTTTTGTACAGTGCCATATAAACAACTTATGATAAATGTATATCAAATTATGAAATTTATGAGAAGCTAAAAAATTAAATGTAAATAAAAAATAAAAATCTCTAACATTTGAAATGGCATTACAAATAGCTCAAAATAACTAGAATGTTTTGAAAAGTGTACCACATCTAGAAAAAGCTTAATAATTACAACAAGAAAGAAAATACCAAGTCTTAATTATTTTTAACTGAATAACATAAAAAAAAAAAAAAAAAAATCAAAAATTACAATCCTTGTTTTGTTTAATAGTGTAATTAAAAATCATTGTAAAAATTAATGGATTTCTTGATTCACTTAGAATCTAAAAACTTTGAAAAACAAATAATCAAAAACAATACTTCACAATTGTTACAGATGATTTGAAAGTGTGTACTCAGAATACTTTCAAATGAATTATATTCATAATCAATGAAACACAACTATTTCTTTTTAACTTCTTTTAATATAATAACAAGTACATAGTACCAATTATAACTGAAAAGTTAATAAAATCAATTATACAAATCGTACACTTGATATTAGACAAATGTAATCCACACCAGTAAAAAAACAAATTGTAATAATACAAATTTGAAATATAATAAAACAAAATCTCAACAAATTATAGAATTAATCATAAGTGAAGATTAACATCACACAAACTATAATTATATTTATCAAGATAAAATCTATATATCAAGATCAATTTTATTTTTTTTGTGTGTGCATTTGTGCTTTTTTAGTTTTAGTTTTGCCTGAAGACAAATAATATTATTTTACTATTACTTTTATTATCTAAATAATTTATAAGCACAAAAATAAAAATTTTAATAAACCTTACCCTTAGTAGTGTTTCGTGCAATAATCCTTTTTTCCCTGTTACTTAATAAGCTGGTTGTTTTTTCTTTTTTATTTTTTGGCACTGAAAGCATGATAAATATTATTTAAAATGTGTATACAATGAATAGTATAATAATCATTAATTAATAATCAATAGTCAATAATTAAATAAACCTTACCCTCTTTATTCTTTTTAGAAGCACTTTTTTTTATTTTTTTAGCAATATTATTTTCTGAAAACAAATAATATTATTAATAAATTATTATAATATAAATATGTTAGATTTCAATAAATTATTATAATTAGTTAAATAATTAAATAAACCTTACCCTCTTTATTATTTTTAGAAGCATTTGTTTTTATTTTTTTAGCAATATTTTCTGAAAACAAATAATATTATTTATTAATTATTATAATATAAATATGTTAGATTTAAATAAATTATTATAATTAATTAAATAATTAAATAAATCTTACCCTCTTTGTTATTTTTAGAAGCATTTTTTTTTATTTTTTTAGCAATATTATTTTCTGAAAACAAATAATGTTATTTATAAATTATTATAATATAAATATGTTAGATTTCAATAAATTATTAAAATTATTTAAATAATTAAATAAAACTTACCCTCTTTATTATTTTTAGGAGCATTTATTTTTATTTTTTTAGCAATATTATTTTCTGAAAACAAATAATATTATTTATTATTAATTATTATAATATAATAATATAAATATGTTATATTTCAATAAATTATTATAATTCTTAAAATAATAAACAACTTTACCAGGTTCTAAAGATCTTTTATTTGAAGTTTTTGATGCAGCGGCCATCATTGCCATTTGGAGTTCTGAAAAAAAATATATAATATATATACATATATAACTAAATTATTTAAATATAATTTAAATTTATTTTTTGATTAATTATAAAAGTAGAGCTGGGAATTTTAATGCCCAAGAAAACCCCAAAAATGATTTTACGCTACAACAATAATGTACTTCAAATATTTTATTTTTATATATTTAGATAAAAATAATATTTTAAGATAAATTTGTAAAAATGTTTACAGACAAAACTAGTTATCTTTAACTTACTTATCATTATTTAATTTGAATTCTATTGTATCTGGAAATCTAGCGAATCTAAATATACCATGTTAATACCACTATACTGTTATGTAATACTTTTGGCATTAATATTGTCTGACAATATAATACAAGTACCTCCATAATAGTTTGTATGTAAAAATTATGTTAAAAATCCTAATACAATTTCACTCAAATTCTTCAAATTTTTCAAATTGTAAACTACTCTACAAAAATTAAGAAAATGACTAAAATCAATAATTGTCAAAATATGTAAAATAAAATGTCTTATTCTCATTTAAAACTATGTGTAACAAATACAATACAAGCAATGCACAACAAGCTTTAGAATACAATTCAAAGTGCATTGTTTTCTCAGAAGAAAGAATGAGAGAGTTTGTGGAAATAATGGTTTTATTGTTTTTAATTAATAAATAAAATGGAATACAGTAAAACCTCTCTATAACGGACCCTTTATTAAACGGAATCCTCTTTATAACGGAAAATGTCAGTAATCCCAGGGCAAATAATATATAAAATTGAACTCTCCAAGACGAAACCTCTACTTAACGGAAACGGACAATTTTCATAATCAAATTAGTGAAAATACTCTCTGTTAAACGGAAAATAAAATTATTTAAGAAAAATTATAGGTTTTTCTGAAAAATCATTTGACACTTCACGATTGGTATATTTTTTTGTTTATTAAATACCTTCTAATGATCGTGTAGAAAAGATTAGATAACCTACGTACGTAATTTTGTAAATATGAACAACACAGTCGTATTTTTTCTGTTGAATTGTTCATATCGTTTAGTAAACGTGAAGTGCTCACCGTCTACATTGTCGTTGTGATTTCGTTTTGTACATACATATTTTCATTTTTACTTACTATGTCATATACAGCTCTGACATTGTCCGATAAAGTTAAACTAATTGAGTTGAAGGAAACACAAAAACCAAGTATGAAGGAACTTATTAATAGATTTAAATGTGGAAAAACTCAATTTTTTACGAAGCGATAAAAAATAAAGAAAAGATTATGGATGAATGGGTAAATAGCGAAAACTCGGGAAAGAGTAAAAGATTGAAAATTCCTTCATTTAAACAAATTGACCAAAATTTGTATGAGTGGTTTATCAGCGTTCGGTCAAAAAATTTACCAATTTCCGGTCCAATTTTACAAACAAAAGAAGCTATGAAATTGGCAGAAAAAATGAATGTCAAAGATTTCAAGGCATCAAATGGTTGGTTGGAAAAATTTAAAAAAAGGCATTATATTGTTTGGAAACAAATCAGTAGTGAGTCAAATGACGTTAATCAAGAAACAGTGAAGGAGTGGAAGCGAAAAATCTCGAAACTCATTGCTGGATATGAAGCAAAAGGTTTTTTTTTTAAAAGTAGTCCTACCGAATCACTATGTTTTTTTAATTCTTAGTTTTAGTTCTTCAGTATTATACATAAACACATTTAAATATTAAGTCATACATTATAATCTTACTGTATTAATTTACGAAGTACATATTTGCCTAAAATATAATTTTTTAACACATACATACATGCATACAATCTTGAAACTTAATTTTTTTTACTACCTCTCTATGACGGAAAACTCTATAACAGAAAAATGTTTGGTCCCAAACGATTCCGTAATAGAGAGGTTTTACTGTATTCAGTTATTTTTGTAATATTATTATCTTAAGTATTACAACATTTTAAAACATGTTGAAACTGAACTTCCCTCAGAATCTTATTTTGTTAGTAATGTTTTATTGTTGTTTACAGACATAAATTAAATAATTTTATAAATCCTACATTCCCAAGTTCCCACCTACTACAGTGATGCATTCATCGACAGTAACAGCTCCTTATTTTTAAAATTAAACTTAAATATGGCCATGCAAAACTATGGAAAACCTTATTTTCAATCAGTGTAACATCTGTTTCAGGGACTTTAGGTTCAATTAGTACTAAATACTTAAAAATATTTGTTCAAATTATTAAAACAAATAAAATGTATACAAGTTTGTGTTAAATTTAGTTAAAAATTATAAAAAATTAACATCTGAAATGATAAACTTTAAAACAATAATTCAAAATCAAAATACTCCAGAGGTCCAAAAAACTATTAAAATCTTACTTTGTAAGTGACCACCAACAGGGATATCCTCCACAAAATAAAGTTCATCCGATTTTTTCTTGTTGTATTTATATAAATCTTTTACTTTTGGTTTTTGAACATCATCTGTCCCTAAAAAGTAAATAAAAAATATTATCACCAATTGTGACAGAAGCACACTCATGAGCAGAGCTCAGAAGTTGATGCATGAATAAACATTTTGTGGTTCATAGAAAAATACATAAGTGAAATACATAAAAAAAAGATATGCTTCGCAAACATAGTAAGGTGCTTCGTTCACCATGGAACTTTAAACAGTCGAACTGTATTTCAGCTGAAAAGATGTTAGCTGTTGTAACCAATTTGTATTTCAGCCAAAACCTTTCTTAGTCTATTGGTATTTTATAAAAATATAAATTGCCCACACTTTATTAATAAATAAAGTAATCCAATCGGCAACTGGTCGCCAATCTATATTTTTTATTACAAATAGGCATAAAAAGGATAGCCCAACCTGACAGTTAAGCTATCTTATTTAGTTACAAAACTCATCTACTGCAGCTTTGAAAAAATGGTATACACTGGATAAATTAACACATGAATTCATAGATAGGCTGCAGAAAAAATGACAGTAAAAAATAAAAAACCTAAATTATTAAAATAAAAAGACTGCGCAAAAAAAAACAAGCTCTATAATATCTCTCCAATATCTATCTATAAATGCTAAAAATTAATATCAGGTAGGACAAACATATCCACATATTGTTCTATATACAATATAATATATAATATATACCTGTTATAAAAAAAAATATTATTACATTATTATATTATAATTAATAATATTATTTACTTATTTAGTATCTAAAACTATAGTTATCTAAAATAATAGTAACAGAACGCACTGCTATCTAGTTTTAAATAGTTTGAATAATGGACACACGTGGCAGCCAAAGACTGGCGCGGCAGTCGACCAAGCTGTCATTTCCCCTTCCTTATAACCAGATGCAACAGTAGGCCTGACTCAAGTGTATAAATTTGCATTTATACATAGCAAAAATATAAATATTTTTCACTTATAATATTGTTATTTATTACTATTAACTAATTATGTTATTTTTAATATTTTTATCTATTATATTATAATTATAATTTATAAATCTAAAGCTACATAAAAAAAAACAATTTTATTTTTACAATTTTACTGATATTTTCAGATTTTGATTAACAATTTTACTTCTGTCACAAATGAAACAACTAGGTATTTTTTAACGATATTTTAAAATAAATATTAATAATATAACTTTGTAAATGGTGCACAAATTCAAACCATAGATCTATAAAATATTATGTTATTTTATATATCTATGCCATAGAGTAACAATATTTTAAAACTGCCATCTAGCGATATATAGCATAATCAATGGACATTTTATTAAGGTCAATGACCACTAGTTTGGCATCACTCTGATAATACAGTTTAATAGGTAACACCGCCTCTATATAACTCTATGGTAGAAACATATCACAGTGATGTAGCCCCCCTTGACACCAGTATACTAATTTTACAATAATACGCTAATACAAATTATTGTACACTTACTGTACACATGTCACATAATCAACGGTTTTACAGTTTTGCTATTATTTATTTACTATTTAATAATAAATAATTAAATATTCAGTCATTTAATATTCGCGTTCGGAAATTGGAATAATTGATAAATTAATATTATTAATAATTAACAAGAATATTCAGAATATAGGTCATGGCTTTTTTTCATTGTGCTTTTATGTTATGTATAATAATTTACAGTCACTCGGTCAAAGCGCCCTCTATCTTTCCACGCCTGACGTGTAATCATTTCGTGTCTATTAGTATAAGGTCTATGCATTTGGGCAAGGCCATTAACACCATCTAGTGTACTCTTTACAAGCTACAAGTCAATATTTATTGTAGAATAAATATATAATTTATCTCAGAAAAACATTGATAGAATAATGTTTAGCTAGAACCAGATTTCGGTAGAATATACTTATAAAGGTGGTAACACTGTTATCTCATATCATCTATTTAGCCACTGTACCATAGATTTGTGCTTTCTATATTGCATCCACTAATTATTTACATAGATAATAAAAAATGGATTAGCTATCCTTGCCTTGTCAGTAATCCAAGATTAATTAGTAAACTGAGGAGTTTTGTTTTTCCATATTATCTATGTTTTTTTTTTCGTTTAATGAAAAAGAGGTTCTATTGTACTAAAATAATTTATTATATTTCAACAATTAATTTATGATTAATCAATTTAGCATAAAAAAAAACGTGAGCTATAAATGTATGCTATTTATACCTAAATGTGGCTCACGCGTACTCTAATGAATTAACAAATATAATTCTATGTTTAACTTGTAAGGTATTATTAATATTGTGCAATTGTGCATTAATAAAACATAAAAAATGTAAACTAATATTAAATTATAAATTAATTTACAAATGTAACATCAAAAGTATCACTCATAAAAATCGCATTTAAGTGATAACAAAACAATAATTAAATGCCTTAGTTAATCTCCCTTTATTGCTATTCCGGGAACATCACCTCACTTATAATTGTTATAGAAGTTGCCTATCCATTTCTTTATTATCTATGATTAATTAATAGCAGAGCCCTAATCACAAATATATATATAAAATACTCAAATATATCGTCAGCTACCATTTGCAGCTAAGTCAATGTTTACAAACTGATATTATTAATTCAAGTGATAAAGAAAAAGTAAAAATGTTTAAAAATTTTATTTTTAATTATTGCCTGATACTTTAAACATAGAATAAGCTAAAATAAGTGAAAGAATAATATTAAATACCTACATCGTGTCAGTACTTAAGTTTGATTTAATTTGTTTTTATATGAATTGCATGTAACCAGTGGGTAGGCCCAGGCCTACCCATTTTTCTCTGAAATTAACACAATTAATACGTGAAGAACTTTTCTACTAGAAATATTTCTCAGATTTTCAATGACAGCATATTTTCTGTAAGGAAATCTGAATAGGGTGGTACTTTAAAGTCATAATAGTACACTCAGTTTGCTAGAAGAGCGCAACTAAATGGCGCCCAAAACTCGTTCAATAATACGCACTCCCACCTCTATTCTAGTGCAAGCGCTTCGCGTCGTCGAGACGACTGTGCAATGGCATTTAGATATCGATAGCCATGTGGTGGGGGACGCACACAAGAGTTGCGGTCTTACAGCGAACGGAGTATTCATGTAGCAATAAATTAAATTTATAAAATTAAAAATAATAATATAATTATTAAAATTAAAATTTTTTCATTATCACTAGAATATTGATAACAAATTTTAAATATTAAGCTATTTGTACATGGCTACCAGGCTTCCTTAAATTTGCAGTCAGGCATCTAGTAATATACAGTCTGTCCCAGGAAGATATACCCCTTGAATATTTCCAATTATAATAAAAATAACCAAATTCTGTTTTTTTATATTAGCCACAGGAAAGAATGGCACACTACAAATATTTATATTTGAATACATTTTTTTTTTATGAAAAAAATTTAAAAAAAACCATTCTGTTAAAATTATTTTTCTGAACATTTTAATGTATCACACATTTATATCCGATGAATAGTTTCTAAGTAACAGCCATTTCAAACTCTGCTAATCTGTGAGAAAACCAATGTTATCGCGTAACACAGTATGGATAAAATCAGTTTTCACACAGATTAGTGGAATTTAAAATGGTTGTCTAAAATACTTAGGAACTATTCATCGGAAATAAATGTGTGATGCATTACAATTTTCAGGAAAATAATTTTTACAGAATGGCCAACTTAAAATTTTCCGAATATAATAAAATAAAATACATTTTTTTAATTTCTTTAATTAAAAAAATATTAATAATTAAAGTATAAATATTTGTTGTCCTCTTCCCTGCGTGTAATATAAAAAAAATCGAGCGTTTAGAGACAGCCAAGAGCCAATTTCTTATCAATTATAATATAATATTTTTTATCAAATAACCTGCACACGAGTTTGTGTACATTATTTTACTCGCATGTACATGTTACGACTACACAATAGAAACTAATACGTGTAAACATATTCATGTTATGAAAATTAACATGTCAAATGACAATGATATTAACGTCAAAAATGATTATACTAATCCAATGGATACAGAAGAAATTTATATGAAAATATCTGATATGCAGCAAATTATTTCTCCATCTGCAGTTAGCATTGCAAACAAAATTCAGCAATTGAGGGGCTAGGTAAAAGAAATGCATTTTCACGGAAATGCCCTTTTTGCTTAAAATTTTTTTTTGAACTCGGCGACCTCTACACTATAAGTATATACAATTTTAATTTGAAATTTTAATTAATGATTGATTAATAATTTAAAACTTAGTGGACACAAAGAAAAACAAAACAAAGATATAATTATTTTTTTTTTAAGATTCGATCTTTCATGTGACACAAATTTTATAACTATGTGAGCAGATCCAAAAAGTGTCACACATTTGAAACTTTAATTTCGTTTATCTCAAAACACTTTTTCTGGAAAATGCCCTTCTTGTACCTCAAGAGCCCTTCAATTGCACAGCTTGTTTGTGTCACAAGCAGATAAATTAAATGATGAAAAGCTACATAAAATTAATTTATCTTTAGACTCAAATTTAAAAATACTATTTAAACAAGAATCTAACATTCTTGATTCATTAAATGAAAATGCAAGGCAATAAAAATGATTAGAACAAGTTGCGATCTTTTTTAACTAAAAAACTTCGTTTAAAAATACCAGAAGAACAACGATTATATAAACCAACATAAGAAAACAAATAATAGATGACCTGAACGATGGGTTTTCTTATGCATATGGAAAATAAGACATAAATTATGCTAACTACATTTATATACTTATTATTATTATTTTGAAAACAATATACTTTTTTTTTTTTGTATGTTTGTAAAATTTTCTGTGGTTTGTATTTTTATGTTGATAACATTTTGTCATGCATAATAATTATAATATTTGATAAGAAATATTACAATTATAATTGATAAAGAATTTAATCGTGGGCTGTCTCTAGACGCCTAAAAAAAAAATTCGATTATCTTTATTGTCTCCAGAGATATTCAAGGAGTATATCTTCGTGAGACTGTCTTTATATATCTGATCCTAATCACGGACTAACATACTATACATAACCTAACCTATTGGAGTGGAAATGAGATGGTTACCACAGAACTCTTAGTGTCCAGGATAGGTATATAAGGATAAATCATACATGAAATAATCTGGCGCCATCTATACTTCAATGAAAACCTATTTGCCAAATGTATTTCTGTCCTCAGCCATCACGAGCTAAGGTGACGGTATTGATCGTTCATCGTATCATTAATCGTGTTTCCATCCAATAATTATACAGAGTGATCAATCTATCAGATATCTTAATCTATCAAACACTCATTATCTCGGAATATATTAACTTTTTTTACATTTACAAAATAAATATTTTGTAGAAAATTTAAGAAACAAGCAGCTCTGCAATTTTACATTTATTTTATTTTTTGTCACCTTAATTTTTGGGGGTGAAAGTACTATCTACTTTTGATTTTCAAATGGCAACCTATACTTAAAATTTCATAAATAGATTGAATGGTAGTTAAATTAAATTTTGGTGTTTAAATTTGTCAATTCCGTCAATCCGTTGAGATTTTCCACTTTTAATTTTTGGTTGGGGGCACTAATTTGTGTGGCAGCACACGCGCAGCGTTTAATGAATGAACTAATGTACGTAATATTATATATAATATTATGTTTAGAAGGGAATAGTATGCCTATGGTACGCCAGGCTGCGCTATATTAGCTCACGTATGTTTCCCTTTTTTACTCGTTCTCTTCCACGGGCATTAAGCAGCCCGGTCCTCCGTCTGCCATGTTGTTCCAGTCCAGTATGTTAGTCGTCCGTGATCCTAACGCTACTAAAATATTATGTAATCAATAACATCAATCTATGTTGAGCAAAATACACACTCTAAACCAGTGCGCTCTATTTGTATTTGGTAAAACTAATTTTCTAACAAAATACGTTCATAATAAATTATTTTTCGGCAAATTTATTTTTCGTTAACAATATTGTTGGACAAAAAGCTTTTTAAGCATTTTATTTTCGTCTGTTATATTTTTTCATATAAATTATTTCACGACAAATACTTTTCTGTATTCTATTCGGAATAAGAACAGTAGTTGGCGGCCGAATTATGCGTATGGGCGTGGCCTTCCCTAAGCACGGAGAGCACTGGCACTGCCATCTCGAAGAGCGAATATTATAAGAATAGGCGTGGCTATGACCGTCAGCGACTAGTTTTCGACTAATTGAAAATTCTGAAATTGAATATATTCTTCTTATTCCGAATAGAGTATAGTAAAATAATTTTTCTACTTGAACAATTTTCGACTGTAATATTTCCATATAAATTATTTTTTTAACTAAAATACTTTTCTAGACATTTTTCTGTTTGAATAATTTTCGTGGACATTCTCTGGGGAATTATTTTCTAACGAAATATTTTCGAATAAAATATCGATCACCACCTCAATCTGATACTGATCTATGATATTGTGATTTCAATTTGTATCTTAGAGAATTGATAGTGTGATATTTACTGGTTACCATAAATGATCCATGTTCCATGGACAATATTTAAAATTTTGAATAAAATTTTGGCGTTTAACATTTACTGATTAATTTAAATTGCAACTAGAGACTAAAATATTATCAGCGAGAATATTTTCTGGCTCGGACATCATTTTTGAAAGAATAATTTTCGGTTTAAATACAGTCAGCTTAAATAATCTTGAATTTTTTTTTTAAGTCATCTGGCTATAATGGTTATATGAATTAATTATTGTTATTGTTTAATATTTATCATGTACATAGGCGCCCGGAGGGGGACAAGCTGGGCCATTTGCCCCTCCTGACTTTTTCAAAATATTTTTTAAATTTAATGTTTTAAGATAAATTATTAAAACCATTAAAAAAACATTAGATTAGATGATTTGCAGTCGATTGATAATTGTATTTTTAGATCGGGTCTTTCCATAGCAAAATAACTTCCCATATAATATTCTCTATCATAACATATCTACCTACCTAATTCTATCTAAAGTGATTACTGATTAGTAATTGTTTACCCATATAATATTATTAATATTGTATTATCGTGATCACAAGTTCGATACTCATTAATTGGTGTGTTTTGTAAATCTGTCGGTCTATCAAAGATAATTTGGCGATTATTCAAATTTTTTAGAAAATGGATTTGAGAAGATAATTTAAACAAAAACCACGTTTAGAACTTGAACACGACAATGCTAAAATAAACAAAAATAGATCAGTCAACTTCTTTTGATGAAACATCTACTTTATTACGTATCTACTATAAGGTACCTTATAAAGACGTCTTTATAAATATATTTAACAATTAAATTTAAACCATAATAGTACATAAAAATTATACAGATATTATTTTCAGATCTGCATCAATATAATTGGGTGGAAATTATATTTTTAAGTTTAAATTGAATAATTAATTTTTTTAAGATTTTGCAAACATTGATTTTTATGATATTGGGAATTTTATAAATCATGGAAAATTGTCGGACGAGATCATTTATAAAGCATCAAAACAAGTATGGGTAGTCGATAAATCGTACGATTTTAAAAAAGACTCTGATACTGGAAATCATTTATTTTGTCTCAAGTGGTTAGTAGATTATCTTTTTACTACAAAATTAAAAGAAGTTTTATGTCGTTATTGTGTATTATTCAAGCCTCAACTGGATCGAGGAGTGCAAGGTTGATTCATTATTAACGAATTAACAAAATATAAAGATTTCCATGGATCTGTGAAACTTCATCTTCAATCTAAATAGCACCGTAACTCAACAAATAGAGCAAACAATTTTTGTAATATTTTAGAAAATAATAAAAAAAAGTGTTTTTCAACTTATGAGTTCTGCTCAACAACAAACAATAGAGTCAAATAGAGTGAAACTAATACCAATAGTCAAAACAATAGTTTTTTGTGGTATAGACAACATGCCTTTAAGAAGAAAAACTGACGAGACTGCTATCTTCAATAGCTTATTAAAATTTAGAGTAGATGCAGGAGACACCATTTTAAATGACTATTTGCAAAATTCTCCAGCAAATGCAATTCATGTTTCACATAGGATTCAAAATGAACTTATAAATATATGTAATCAAGTGTTACTAGAACATATAATTAAGAATGTAAAGGAAAGCCAGTTCTTTTTAGCTATAGCTGATAAATCATGTGATATATCCAGTATAGAGCAGCTTTCATTGGGAGTACGATTCATGCATAAAATGTCAACCGGTGAATTCTGTGTAAGGGAAGAATTTTTTGGCTTTGCACCATTGCAATGTCTGGATATTAAAACTTTATCTGAACAAAATCTGTCCACTCTCATAAAATTTGGGCTTGATCTATCAAAAATGGTCGGTCAAGCCTATAACGGCTCTTCTACTATGGTAGGAAAAATAAGTGGAGTTAGAAAACGAATTGAAGATAAATATCCGAACGCAAACTTTTTTCATTGTAATTCTCATATGTTGAATTTAGTTATGAATGATTTGAGTGATGTTTCCGAAATTCATAACACGGTTGGAACAATAAAAGATTCAATCAATTTTTTCCGAGAAAGTTCTCTAAGAAGAAAATAAATTCCAAACATTCCTCTATTTTGCGAAACGCGCTGAATAGCCAAATACAAAAGTAAAAGGATATTTAAAGAAAATATTAACATAATATTGGAAGCATTGCAAAAACTATCGGAAAGCAATGTAAACCGCAATACAAAAAGCTGTGCTTTTCAACTATATAATTTGTATAATAATTCTATTAGTATTCTATTTTTCAATTATTACAAGAATATATGAGCAAGCTCAATGAACATCAATATAGATCACTTACTGAAAAAATTTCAAAAAAGTATAGGTCTTTTCTAGACAATTTTGCAGCTGAATCAATAATTTGGTATGATTACCACAATAGCTCAAAAATTCAAAAATCAAAAAATGTACTAGATATACTAAATGAATCAGAACAATTTTACCCATCCGTATTTTTGGCAATTTATATTGGCCTTAGCTTCCCGGCAACTACTTGTATTGCTGAGCGATCCTTTAGCACTTACTTTTAGCATGGAGGATTAAAACCTGGTTACGCTCTACCATGACCAACGAAAGACTCAATGCTTTATGCATGAAGAATGTACATAAATCTACGATTAATGACCTAATTAGAAATAACAAATTTTATGATGAAATTGTTGATCGTTTCGAAAGAGATGCGAGACAATTAAAATTTCTTTTTGAAAATTAATTTTCTAAATTAACTTTACCTATACCTATACCTGTAAGTTGTAACATAATAAAATATATTGTATACGAGTATAGTAAAAAAAGTTGTTGTTTTAAAAATACCTAGTAAACTATAATAGTTCTCTTCAAATACTAAAATTGCCCCTCCCCCCTAGAAAAATTTCTGCGGGCTCCTATGATCATGCACGTTGTATTAATGTTATTATTATAACTATTTGCTGTTTCGCTTACAACGGTGTCTACTATTTTTCTTTGAATATACAAGTTGCAAGCACAAAACTATGACTACCTTCTCACTACATTGGTGACCTTCAATTCACAAAAATATTACCTTGAAATGGTTATATCAATACAATGAACTGCCATAATGATTCACTGCCCACCGGAAACAGTTTTTATTCAAAATGATATATATTTCTGAAATTGTCTTGTGATATGCTTTAATTTAGTTTCCATCACGGTATCCTGACCTGGTAAAAGGCCCATGTTAGAACAATTTTTGGTTCAAAAATATGCCTTACAGAAATATGCTCATGTCTTGTAGAATGATCAGATTACAAAATTTATTTGTTGTTGGATAGAGGAAATCTTCTTACATAATACATTGAGCTTTGTTTTTCAATAATTTTATCTCAAACTTCATAATATGTTTTTTTTTCTAAAAAGGTCAATTTAAAATTGTTTTATTAACTTTTGTACTCCTTTATTTTAAACCAGAGTACAAAACAGTCTATAAAATATAGTTGTTTACCAATCTTAAAAATTAAAAGGAAATATTATATTAATTAGTAATAGAGTAATAGATTAATATTGGTAAGATAACTAGCAATAGAAATGGGAAAGTATTATTTTAAAGGAAGTCATTAAAATGTTAAAAATTATATTTCCTCGCAACATACCTAAATATAGAACACATATAGAGATGGCCAAAATAAAATGTCAAATAGTGAATTTTTGTTACTAATCGCCATTTATTGAGAATTTAATCCTATTATTTACCGTATAGGGTATTCCCTATTGCAGATGACTATTATATAATATAATCAAAGTTGTTTTCGGCTGAAATACGATTCGGCTGCAATTTTTTAGCTAAAATATAGTTTAATTGAAATACACTTCAACAACTGTTATTTTGTTCGGCTATAAAATGTTTAGATGAAGTACATTTCAGCTGTTTCACGATTCACCCAATATATGTTAAGCTAATAAATATTTTGACTTAATTATGATTTGGTTCCAAAAATGTTTGGCTATTTTATGGAATACCCAGAGGCTCAGTACTTTCACACTTGCTTTTCATTCATCTATACAACTAACATGAGTCAATAAATGGTAATAATAGCCAAATCAAAAATGACCACAGATAAAATAACAATATACCAAAATAGACAAATACAAAAATGACCAGAAAAGAATAATGTTTACATTTCATCTCATTAATCTTCATCCTAAATATTTAGGGATGGCTACCCTCATCCTAAACTTAAAGAACTACCTGATCTCCCACATTATCCTTACATACACCCTCCATTCTGTTTAATTATTATTCTCCATTGAATCCAACCACCTCTTTTCTCCAACACAAACACAGATAAAAAAATTTAACCAATATATTCCATAATACACTCGGAATATAAATATTATTTAAATAAAATTTTTCATCTGACCATACTTTCCACTAGACATACTTATTTCTGGTCATTTTTGTAACAAGCCATAATTTCCTCGCCATTTTATAATACAGAAAATTGTTTCTATTAGCCATTATTACTGTACAACTGGCATAGTACAGATTAAGCTGAAGAAATGTATGCGGAGGATAAAGCATGTTCCAACTCTTTTACTACAATAAGGTCATAAAAATAGAGACCCAATTAAACTCCAAAATTATTTCAGGAATTGCTTTTGCTACATTTCCCTACAGCTGATATCATAGTACACTTTCATAAAATACTAAAATTAAGCATTTCTATTTGAGACCTTGAATTTCAAACGGAACTACTACCAAAGTAAGAAAATTACACTTTATTGCATCTAAATATTCATAAAAAATAATATTAAAAAATATAATAAAACGTTACCAAATAATATTCAAAATAAGTACGACAAAACATGATGCTTAAGGAAATATACAAAAAAGTTTAAACAATTATCTTCATAAAGTACCATTATGTTCTATCTGTAGTCTTTTGTAAAATTTAAAATAGATTCGAAATTGAGCAAAATTTTTGTTGAAAAAATGTGGAGATGGTAAATTAAGTCTGAAAGCGGTAACCAATAAAAATCTATGCTGGACCCGTTCCAATTCATATTTATTCCTTAGCAAGGATGCCAGATGATAGAACTATACTCAATAGTTGAACAGACCAGAGCACAATACAAATAATTAGCTCTTGCTTGGTTTTACGCCTAATAAAACCAAAACCTTTAGTTTTCTATCAATGACAACATCTATATGATAATTTAAGATGAGAGAATAATTATTAATTATAATAAATACTATAATACGAACTTTTTTTTTTTTTTGGAGTTGGCTTCAATTTACGGGCATTTTCTGTTTTTTTAGATCGGACGGAAAGGTTTTTTGATGATTTAGACGATCTCTGAAAATTATTAATTTTTTAATGTAAATATGTGTTACTAATAATAAAAAACACAATTTAATCCAGACAACAAATTAGGATTTTTAAAAAAGTGTGTAATGTGTATAAAATAATTAAGTTAGTTTAATAAATATATTAAACTTTATTTCAAATTAATTTTGCAAAATGTCTAAAATACAAAAATAGCCTGTATGGATAATATGAAATTAGTACAATTATACATACATACTGTAATACATTTTAAGCACACCTGTAGACAAGTAAAACTTGACATTGTATGTAATGACAATACAATACAAACACAGTAAAAATAATGAAGTATAAATTCATTTTTTGAAGCAATTGAATTTCATTTAATGAGATTACTGTTTTTTAATTAGCAAAGTAAGCAAGATGAAGATGCATTAATCTATCAAAATATGAGTAAATATATAGTTATTATTTATTTGTCAAAAATTTACATTTTTATTCTAAGAAATTTATAATAAATATTTGATATTATTAACAATTAATATTATAACATTAAAATACTCGAAATTTATGATTGTTTTAAATTTAGATGAATATCACAAATATTTTTTTTGGTTTTAGATTTTTTAAGATGTCTGGTAAATAAATATAGTTAATTCTTTCCACTTACTTTCACTATTCTACGTACTCTTCTTCCTTTTGGAAAGCCTAAATTGTAGTTTCCACCAAATCCATTAGAAAAAAAAAATCGGTCATCAACTCTTTGAAGTTTCAAGTATGGCTTTTGCTCAACAATTCTTTTTTGTGCTTCAGTCTAAAGATTTCCAATAATTAAATAATTATAATAAATGTTTGTAATGTACTATTAATAAAAACAATTTAGTAGATCAACTGTGTTTTCATGGATAGTTAATGATGTGGAAAGGTTATACACATAAAAAACCACAGTATCAAATTATAAATCCTAAATGTGTATTATCAATTATAAACATAACACAATTTTGTAAAGTTTAAAATCTACCCTATAAAAAACCTATAAATACACCTTTAAGCTACCAATTATAGTATATTACACTAATAATTAATAAAATTGGTTTACATATTAAATTTTATCCCTATTAAAAATTGTTGAACTAATAAAATCATTGTTTAAACATTCTCAATAGAGAATTTAACAATAACATGAATAAAATGTACAAAATATATATATATACAATAAAATAATGAAATTCCTGTTTTATCTCCAAAGGTTCAAATTATATTGTCAGGCAATCAACAAGTTTAATTATAAAAACATTAAGTCTTCTTCTTTGCCTCCATCCCAACTTATTTTGGGTCTACTACTCTCTTCTACTCAACCCAATCTCTCAAATTCCCCTCGCATACACCAGCCATCATATCATTCTCAATCACATTCACCAACTCTTTTTTAGTCTTCTTTTACCTCTCTTTCGTCCTACAACTATTTTCATTATAATTCTTACTGATACTAATTAGTCTGTCATCATGACATGCCCATACCATCTTATCTATTTTCTCTCATTTTGTCCACTATCAAAGTCACACTTACAGTACCTCTTTTATACTCCTACCTTATCCTATTTTTTCTTGCCGCACTACTCATCCACCTAAGCATTCCTGATGTTCTATTCTTCTATTTACCCCCTAATACTCCGATCCATAAAACAAAGTCGATCTTACAACACTCTTTTAGAACTTACCTTTAAGTCTCATTGGAATCCTGTCATTTAATTATAAAAACATAAAATGAAATAATATTAACTAATATTACTTAAATGTGGAACTGTAACTAAGTATTAGAGACAACCCAATAATTTTGCTGAGATTATTTTTATAACTTTAAAATTTGTACTTTTATCACAAAAAATATAAATAGTTTAAACTTCTTTGCTCACTATTTTATTTATTTCTTATTAAATTTAATAATTTTTCTATTCTTGAAGTGGTATACTTACTAAAATTTCTTTTCTTAATTGGACTTCAGTTTTTTTTTTGCGACTAAAAAAAAATATATTTTATAATACAAATATGAAAAAAATAAAATTTAATTAATTGTTTACTTTCTATCTCTGTTTATTTTTGTCACTCGCTTAATTGACTCTTTTGTGTATTCCATTAGTCTTGATTCCGCGACAGTCATATCCCAACTAAACAATTTTAAAACTAATAAGAACTAGTTCTCATTACATTTAATATATTTTAGACATAAAGACTAACGATTTTGAAAATTTCCAATAGTGTATGCGGTAATACTGCTCACTGAGATAAATTCCAACTTTATTTATTTTTGCTCTGTAGAATATGCTATTCCACTCACACCAAACTTCTTGCCCTTAAAAAGAAACAAAAATAATAATATTTATTACCTTATCAAATACAGATTGTGTATACTCATTTACACAATTTAAACAGATTTCATTAAGTTATTTAACAAAGTGCATATTTCTAGGTGCATTTGAATATAAATTAAAAAAAATATACATTATCAATTTCCTGTGGTAAGAGATGTCATCATAATAAACAAAGTGAAAGCCTTTTGTGAGTTTACATTTTAGTACTAACAACTATTTTAGTTTGTTTTATAATAAAAAACTGAAGTTCATAAAACTCTACAAATATACACCAAAGTATATACCTATAGGTATATAAACAGTCTTAAATTAAGATTTTTCTTTATTCGTTTTAATGACATATAATTAAAGAACTACTAATTGTTTAATTACTGTCCTTTAAACATTTATTCACCTTCCTATTCGGGGCAAATTTATTGTTTAAAAAAAAAAAATACTAACAATAAGGATTATATAATTTGATTGATAACCAATTAAATACCTACCTACTTCATTAAAACATTTGATATGATTGTAAAAATCTACTTTTAATATAAATGGTTAATAAGTTCAAAAAAAAAAAGGTTATTTTATTTAATGAAATACATTATAATATAGTACAATTTTTTGTATTTCAAATTATTAAATATGCAATATGATTATGTAGGTTTTTTTTAATGTTTCAAAACTTTAAAAGTATTATTCAATATATGATTATTTAATTTTAATTTTTAATCTAGAAATTAAGTTACTAGGTTACTTATCTGTACATGGTGATTTTTTTATCATTAACCAGCAATTATCTCGGAGAATTTTAAGAGGATGCTCATGCTGTTTCAGTCTAACTAACAGGCAATATAGTAAAATCTACCTAAAGCAGACTGTGTAAAACTCGCTTAATTTTGGTTTTAGAGTAAAATATCACCTGCTATAAAATTAAAAGAAGATAATATTCCAGAGGGCAAGTTGATGCGTTATTCATTATTCTAATTATTATCCAGGATATAATGTTCAATACATCATTTAGAAATTTAAAACTAATTCATTGTTTTAAATGACTAACATTGCAAAAATTAATTTTAAAAAGAAACTCATAGTCTTGCTCTCTTTTAATTTTCATAATAGGTGCTTTTATTATAAAACCAAAATTAAGCAAGTTGTACACAGTCTGTGTAAGGCTGATTTTACTATATTGCCCATGAGTTTGACTAAAACAGTGCATGTAGGTATAGTTTCTTCTTAAGTGAATTTGATTTCTGTTTTCTTTTAATCATTATAGAATTGTTTAAGCTTTATTTTAAAACTATTTTTAATTTTTTATCTTTATTCCATATACCTTAAATAATTATATACTTTTGTTTTTCAAATATGAACCCACCCCTTTTCTGAACACAAAATCGAATTGAGAAAATATTTTTCTAAACATTTGAATAATTACGCATAACACTAATATCAGATTTATTGTTTATGAGTTAAGTATAACCATTTAAAGTTTTAACTAAAGGAGTGTAATAAGTTGCATAACTTTTTAATTGATAGTTATTTTCATAATGAATAAAAAAAACTGAAATTGAATTCACTTTAAATCCTCAAAGGAAATTGTTGGTTTATAGTAAAAATAAATCACTCTGTAACTAGGTTACTATTTCTTTATAGTAATACCTACATATTAAAATAAATAAAAAAAAGATCATACTTAGTCAAATCTCAAATCTTGGGAAAAAATCCCAGTTCTTGTAATCCTTAATTAATTAAATTTACAAACTCTTCTCGAACTACAATATAATATAAAAGAACTCATGCTAACCTATTTATCTATTTATGTAAAAATGCTTACCATATTTTTCTTAACCTTAACCCTTATGAAATACCTGTTCATTAAGAGGTTGCTTATGCTTAACCTAACTGATAAACCAAAACTCAAGTTGCTCTGAGAATTAGTATCACACAAATTCAATGTAAAGGTAGGTATATATCAATAATTTATTATGTTGGAATAATTTTATCTTTCCAATTATTTGAATTATTTAAATATGGTACAACTATTATAACATATAAGTAACAAAAATTATAAAACAAAAATGTATAGTATAATTTTAATAATATTTTAATCAGTCAATTGTTTCCAATCTTTAATCTATTAAAGCATAACTATTTTATGCGAACAAAATAACTACTAAAAATTTAAATAAGCATTTATTAGATAAAGAATTATGGTCTGAACTTTAGAGTACAAATTAATTGAATAGAAATTAAATTTTTAGTGATTGAATAATATTCCAAATCAACTAATCGCATAATTTTTAAGATCATTCATGCCTATGTCCAAATCGATTCATTAAATAAGTAGTTCTGTCCAAATTGCAATGCGATGGAAGCATGGCGGAATAAACGTATTCAATAAATTTATTTTGCCATGGGCGGAAGTATTTAGGTGACCGAAAACGTTCCGACAATCGATGATTAAACTGAATGCCGAATGGATCTAAAATATCCAACGAAATCAATTAGATATAAATTAAGAGACATTGCGCGGTAAAAAAAATTATTTCTGGTGGCCAGTCCAATAGAAATCAACAAAGGCCAAATGGGCGGACATGGTAGGTACGGTACACCGCTACAGATGCGCGGTGGTGGCGACAACGACGTCGGCGACATTTGCGAAAACAACGGCGAACGCGGTAAAACGGATTACGCTAACGGCAACAATGCCATCGAAACGGCCATTATGAATATATGGGTGTTTACCTATATTAAACCTGGTTGAATCTTCAGAATCTGTATCAGATTCCACGGCCACGGGCAATGTTTGACTTCTTCGCGACATTATTTTGTGTTTGGAAACAACAACGAAATATGCAACTATCGACGAGTGTTAGACTCGTCGATATTATACGGCAGCGCGTAAAGGCAGCGTAGGGAGGTAAACGCGATGGACAACCGACGTGAAATTCGAACGCACTACGAACATCCAATAACTGTACGAGATTTACAAAACTGAAATTAATAACAATAAACAAAGGCGACCGGGGACGCTACGGAAAATCAAAATTCGATGTCCGCCGTACGCGTTTCCGACGCAGTGTGCCAGTGTCGCACTCAGATTCGATCTTTCGACGCGGTTTCAACGTACTATGGTTGCACCCGCGCGCTATCTGTTATCTTCTCCTCCACCGTCGCCGTTATAATTTATAAGTGCGCAGCCGCAGCGAACATTTAGCCGTGCAATACAAATTGCTAACATAATAATAGGTATATTATATTGTTAAAATCAAATAAAAAGTAATCGATTCAATACCGCTGTACTAATTGGCGTCATCTAAACCCCGTTGTACAACTAAAGCAATATTGTATACCGACATCTTATTGCGTGGTTATGGATTTCGAACAAAATCTATGATAATTTTGTCATGTAATATAGGTAATATTATACCTATTCAATTAGGTAGGTAGGTAGGTAATACATTATTGTGGTTAAATTATTTTATTAGCCATGATGTCAATTAGGCGGTCATTTCCTCAACGTAAACACGTCTTAGCCAGTTGATCGTTCGGACAAAATATTAGCGAATTGATGACGATAAACATATTTTTTTGCGATAATCATAAGCATCACATCGAATTAAACCCGCGGTCAAATAAGCGCATATGCCTATTAACTCGACAAGGAATGTTAAAACGGGATCTGAATAATCTGATTTTCTTTGCATTATATTTGTACTATATGGGGTATACACTACACACTGTTTCCCGTTTCCACCCACAGCGTAGGTACTATTGATTTTATGTCGACTGCAGTACACAAAATGTTATTTCAAATGCGTAGGTACTTAGAGGGTGGCCCGCGCATGCGATATCGACAGTATACGGTTTTCGTACGGAATTAAAATATTCTATGTCAACATAATAATATCATAACATTATTATTTAATATTTGAATGTTTGACTGGCACGTCAAACGAACGGAAATCACTATTGTTGGGAAATATGGGGTTTTTTTTATTGCCAAATAAATCGCCTATATACCAAAATTATATTATATTCTACCACCTATGGGATATTATAATATGGAAACATTGATTTTGATGATAATAAACAGCTAGTAGCGGAGTACATAAACTCAAATTTTGGTGGGGGAAGAGAGGTTATAATTAATAAATTGGATAAACGATAAACTGAAAAACTTATAGATTACAATTTACAATTAACAATAGTAGGTAGATAAGATATAATCATAATAAAATTACAATGTTCGTTCCATGATATCGACAAGATTTTCTGGGAAATGTCCATACTGTCATACGATAATGTTTAACAGTATTATTTATAATCTCAATTATTGGAATACCTACTTGGGTATAATATTTTATTATATTATTGTTATTTGTTTTCCGTTATTATTGGCCAAAACAAAAATACGATTCGGATAAAATTGATATTTCCCAAAAATGTCGTAGGAGAAGGGGTCCCATTAGTACACCACTAACAGTAACTATTTTACCAATATTTCAAATTGTTTATTATTTTATTTACAAATGGTATATATTATAAGATATATAGGATACCTATATAAGATATCATTTCAAAAGAATTTAAAGTTTGAAAAATAGAGTAATTTTATAGTTTTTAACTTTTTTGATATATATAAATATATATATATATATATTTATATACTACAATTATGCTACAGTTTTTCACTTACTTTATAAATGTATAGTACCTTAATTGAAAATTATAATATTTTCTCTAAAAAATGTATACCTAACCTAATCAAAAAAATTGTGTTAACAAAAAACTAAATAAAAACCATGTCTATTGAAACGTTAAAAATCGTCTAAAAATTGAACACACGTCTAAAATAAAGCTATTATAAGTATTCTGTGAAAATTGCATATCTTTACGAATACTTTTAACCGAATAACAACGAAACAACAAAATTGAAAATAATAAGGTTTTTCCCGGTTTTGCTAAATAATTCATTAAACTACACAAAATACAATAAAACGGATTTCTTATTCACAACCTAGACAATATTTTTATTTCAGAAAAGGTGGTAGGTGTATTTGAAATTTCGAGCAATATTTTGAGTAGAATAAAAAATAATGCAATTATTAGTGTCGATGTCGTAAATTTGTCCGTTCTTTTGTCTTAAACTGTCTTAGTTCAATTTTTCTTAATTATTATAAAAACCCATTGGTAAATCACAAAGTGACTTTCCAATGTACAAACTAGATCCAGGATGAAACAATAATTGTTCTTAGATTTTTCACTTTTTGATTGGAGCAAGTTTTATAATAGAACTGTTATTTACTGAAACAAGAAAATTAAAAAAAAAATAACACATACATGGTAAAACCAATACATTCTTCGCTCTACTTAGAATGTAAATAAATATAAAATGCAAGAATCATAGCCCAAGGCTCTATTTTAAAAAAAAAATACTGCGGTGCTAAAATACATTAAAGTATAAGTTCCCCTTAACTGTTAACTACACCAATACTAAATAATCTGACATCTCTTCCAATAAAGTATACTTTGCATTTTATACATAAATTATAAGTTTATAAAACTAGTAAATATTACTACAAAACTTTAAAAAACGACTTTTATATTATTTCAATATTATATACATATAATATTTATTACAAAAATGAATATTTATTTGTGAAGGCTTGGGTACTGTGGCATCTTATTAAATTACATACCAAATAGTAAAGCATAGCTAGGATTTTTTAATGGAGGGGAGTTTAGGTCTTAACTCTGTGGGTATATATAAAACATATTTTTAATTTTGTTATACTTTATTTAAAAAGTCAAAAATTGTAATTTTAATTACATTACATTTACCGTAGTTTTCTTGTTTTGGTTACTTATTTATCTAGGATATCATCAGGGTTTATCATTATACCACTATGTATATTCATCATTGTCAAACCAATCTATCTATCTTCACACGTGGTGTTTCACAAATATGTTTTTAAACTCTTTAACGATGATCGTTTACTGCTAAAAATTGTAATTGGGAGGGTTACTAAAATCTGTAGAAGTTTCACAATAGACGGGAAAATTGATGTATTACATTTCTGAAGAGCGTCGATAGCATTTTTTAATAAATCATTTGAAATGAATAATGACTTATTTCCAAAGCCTCCATTTGGTTGTCACATTTTAATTCCACTCATAGCTGCTTACACACAGTAATCTAAATACCTTAATACATTTGATACATTTCTAATAGCTGCTTAATTATTTTTTGTAAAATATAATGGATACATCCCTTGATGGTAAAATATGGTAAAAAAAAGTTAATATTTTCAATTATAGATCTGCCAGATAAAAATAATTGCTCATTCAATTGATTGAATAAGTATGATGAAATTAGATCGGTCTACCAATCTTGATGGAAATAACAATTTTAAACAATTATAGGTTGATGAAAAACATACACGTGCTATTCGAGTATCGATTTTATATAATGTTAAATATGCAACGAAGTTAACGATTATTTTAATAGATGACTATATTTTAAGAGATGTGCATTGCAAGCGGCAGCTACGATACAGTGAAAATATTTTCATCCCACCTTCTCAAGGTTTTAACCTTACTTGCCTATAGCTAAAAAAAAATCAATGAGAGGGGCGGTTAAAACACCCAAACGCCCTCTTTGGCTACGCCATTGATAACAAATAATATGTGCGCAATAACTTTATGGCGTCTTCGAATTAATACACTTGAAATTTATCATGATTTATATTAGAATAAAAAAAAAATTCTCAAAGTCGGTCATAGTAAAATTAATAATAAATAATAATATACCTATTATAGGTACCTAGTTATTTTTTTTTTATAGTATTATATATTTAAATTCAATTTTTGTATTCATATATTTTAGAATGGTCCTTATTTTTGAACTTTTGAATTTTTGTTTCAGAACCTCCTATTTTATTCATTACTATAAGAAAGTAATTTAGGTTAAATTTGTTGATGATTACTTACCCCTTCCCGTGCTGCAAGAAAGTTCAAAATTTGAAAAAGAGAGTAGATTTATAGTTTTTCGAATTTAACTGTAAATATATAGCACTTATTTTATAAATGTATAAAGCCTTATTTGTAAATTATAATATTTTCTTTAAGAAATGTATTTACACAATTTCTTGTAAATCCATTATTTTTCAAGTAAAAAAATTTTAAACATATTTATTTTAATTTGAAAAATTGCCTATTTTACAGTTATTTAAATAAACTTGTCGAAAAATTAAGATACAATGAATTGTTTTATAAAAAATTGTAAATTATCAAAGATCTCATAGAATTAATCGTTTCATTTTTAGTCATGCTTATGTATACTAATTAGTATTTTCAAAATACAATTTTTTTTTTGTGCGGCCATTTTCGATACTTTTGGATAACCTAAAACACACAAAGAAAAAATTTTAATCAGTTATAAAATATATAAACATCTGAAGTAATACCTTATTAGGTACTTATAATAATATTGTTTCTGGTTTTCATTCCTCATTTTTTGTAACCAATCAAATAAATATATTGTCGGTTCCCTATGAATACAAAAATACTAAAATACATATAAATTAACCAAATTTTAAATTAAACATAAAAATAATACTAAATTAAAATTTAATTGTATATACATCAAAATACTAAAAGGTACACTTACAAATGTTGGTACGTCGAACGAATTCGCGTAAACTAATACATATAGACAATAATTAATATAATAGCATCATTAGCATCATAGTTATCTCTACGTACCGATAATATTTTAAGTAATAAATTCTAAATAGAAATAGAGAACAGATAAATCGAAAAATCGTAGACAGAATGTCAGTTAAAAATAAAATAACACCAGGGACCTTATCGTTATAATATTAATGAATAGCATTATGATCAGTAAAATATAACGTTTCAACATAATTTAGAACCTGTTATACTGTTTGATAAAATGCTATAATCAATAACCATGCAAGCGTAGATACGAAGGGGTGAAGAGTTTAAAGTTAGTAAAGAGGCTGGTGAAAATTATTATAAGTATACATGTATATTGTGTAATAATAATAATACTATATTTAAAGTTATCTTTAATAGGATAATATCAAAACTTGCATGAAATAAACATTAAATTATTCTTATTACATATATTATTATTCTGTATTAGATATAATATTCAAAGTTTCTTCAAAAGTAAAAGAAAACTACCATTTGTAATTTGAAAAGTTGTAGGTGAGAAGTTGAGAAGATAGGATATAGAGGGACATTCAATGTATATTTGTACGCAATGATATATTTTTGATACCTAACGAAAAACAATTCTGAGTGAAGTTCGGTTATAAATGTTTAAAAGGCCGTAATGTTTATGATTTTTGTCATAATTTTATATTGAAATTCTTATAAAAAAAATATAATTATTACATTAAACTCAACTTTTTTTGTTGACCACTATGTACAACTTAAAATGGACCTCCTGTTAAATTGTCAAACATTTATTTTTGGTCTAACAATTTTATCCACAGAATACCTACCAAATTAATATTACGTAAAAAACTCTCAAAATTAAAATGTCCGATAGCTTAAAAATGGATCAAATGTTTTGAAAATATTACCATGTCTATAGAAAGCAAATATAAATAACTGTCAAAATTTTAAGTCACTATGAATATTTTTCACTGAATTACAATAAAAAAAAAAACGGACATACTTCGCACGTGGGTGGATCACTGTTGTAGGTGAGAAGTCAGTAAGATAGAGGGGTATTTTAATGTATATCTGTAAGCGACGATTAAACATTGCTATTGAAAAACGATTTTGAGCAGATTTCGGTTAACAATGTTGCTTTAACAACAATATATATGTGTTACATTATGGTAAAATAATTAATATATAATGTAATTACATCATATATGTTCTTTAATAATATTTTTTTAATATTGTCTCTATTTTCCCGTTTTTACTTTTTTTTTCAAATTTTTCAATAATAATAAAATAAAAATCGTATTTTTTTAAGTTTTTTACCAAATCATCAAAAATGAATTGAAATATAAATATTCAGTCCTAATCCTTGTGAGTAATTTATAAAAAAAAAACAGAATTTGATTATCTTTATAATATCTAGAGGTATTACAATAGGTATACTGTCTTTGAGAGAAACCTTGTGTACATACATTTTATACAATATGTCTAATTTAATAAATACAAATATATAAATTATATGTCAGTATACTATCAGTATTATATTTTTAAAATGTATAATTTGAAACATCCAAAAAAAATTGGGTCAGCTGGTATTGAACGTGGAGCCCTTTCATGACCAACCGGCGTTACAACTACTGTGCTACACGCTTAAACACGAAATATTTGAAAACTGTACCGAATTACTTAATTAAACAAACTATTGAAAAACTAAAATTTCAAATCCCTATAAAAACTAATTATTTGACATCGTTATTTAAAAAAAAAATCACGTGGCAGTTACTGCACTTATACCGAAGGTAGATTACCTAATACCTAATATCTAAAATCGTGATCGTGCCTTCAATAAGAGTCAATGTGCATTTTGATAATCGTTGATTGATCAAATATTATAGGTTCTTTGGCTTGTGATTGTGTGAGTCGTGAATCGTGATAACATGCATTCATTGATATTATATTATTAATAAATAGGTTATAAAATTCGAAAGTTTTTTTTTTAAAAAACAATTTTAATATATATCCAAGTATGAAAGTCGTTTATACTTGGAAATACATCTATTCTTATAATCCACGATTTAAGGCAAAAACCTCGATTAAAGATTTATCTTAATACATCTTAATTAAGGTATATCATTAATCGTGGCTAAAACACATTAGCTATTATCAGTAATAGTCCATAGAGTGGTGGTGACGCCATAGAGTATTAGAATACCTAACTATCTAAGTAGGTAGGCACATAGATTATATGTACATAGAATACAATATGCTTTATACATAATATGATTAAAGTTATATATTTAATCGTGATACATAGTTCAGGGTACGGTCTTACACTACATACCCTATCTACTACAACACCACCTACTTTTTCTAGAAATTAACTCCGAATAAACATTTTATTCAATATTTAATTCTTTCAAAATGAATCGGTTATGTGTTTTTGGAATAAGTGGAAATTATAAAGTTAGTAAGTACTATTAGTAGTTTCTAGTTTTATACCAATTTATTCATTTTCCTATTTACAATTTTTCAAAGAAAAAATTCACATTAGAAATATAATTCTATGGGTGTAGTTATGGGAATTGGAAGTTTAGTTCAATCATACATAATAGCCCCCTCAGTATTTTAGGCCAGCTATCTTACTTTAAAAATATAATTCATTAAGTATCTAATATTTGATACGATGTTCAACACTAATATTAATCCAACTTAGAATTCAAGTGGAAATATTGATTGTCAAAAACTGTATTCAAAATGATATTGAATATAATGTCAAAAAATTGTATTCCAAAAACATAGGTACCTACTCATTTACACTTTTTCAAATTTACATAAACTTTTGAAATTATAGCTCTGACCGTTTTTGGTTCTTGGGGATTCTAAATATTGAAAGTGATCAAAACAATCAAGATGAATGGAAACGAAATAAATGTACGAGTATTTTCAATGTATACTATGAAATTAAAAAAAATGGATTTTAGGACTAATCTAACATTGGAACTCGGAACACATAGGAAAATGTTCTTTAGGAAATTGTGTAGAATAATAGATAAAACTGATAAGACTATTGGATAAAATTAATTTTGTTAATTGATGTAATGTTAATTATTAACGTTAGCCATTTTACATATTATTTTTGATACAAAATTTGTACATTGTAAAATTTACTATCGTACCCTAGGCCGAGGTGGATTAATTCACCTTGCTATGGGCGGTACTTTACTGATAAAGTAAAATAATATGATAGTATTCATGATAGTATTAATTAGAAGATATTAAATTAATGCGATGCACCGAAGCTAAAATATATAAACTTGATAGCTTAATAATAATAACTAAATATTTTACTTTTAAACATTAAAAGACCATGTACGGAAATACGTTTTTCCAAGTTGCTAGTTATTGTCGATCCACTTTGTGTAATATAATTCTTAAGAGAAATGCTGGCCACAGTAAATGGTCCAACATAAAACACACCAAAGGAGCAAACGATCTACAAAAATCACTATTGTTCAATAGATTTAATCGCCAAATAAAGTTGGCAATCAGAGGTAAGGATAAAAACCTAGTTTTATTCACAAAAATGTATTATTTCTTTAGAACTATTGTGGTAAATATTATGTTTATGTTTATGATTATCTAGATTTATATTTTTGTTTTTTTCAACTAGTTATTATGCATACTACATAATATATCTACTACTTATCTTCTAATTATTAATTTAAATAGTATGTTATAACATGTTAAATAAATTTGTGTATGAATTTATTTAAACAAGTCACTCCATATCGACCTATTTAAGATTTTGGTATAAGTGTAGTTTAGCTCCTAAGTGATTTTTTTTCCAAAATGTGTGTTTTTGCATACCTTATTTGATGGTACTTTCTAAAAAAGTAGCTCAAACTTTAAATGGAAGTTATGGTTAAAAAACTTCAAAAAGTTCGATTTTTCTAAAATTATGTTTTTGAGTTTAAAATACCAACAATTTATATTTTGAATATTTTTTTTTTAAGTAATGGTAGTAATTATATGCTTAACATTTTGGTGGAATCAGAATTCACCTATCAAACTTACTTTTTATGTCATTGTTAATAAACCGCGTAAAACCTAATTATAATGTTATTTCAACCAATTGAATATTAAAGTAACTCAAAATTGATTTTTTGGACATTAGTTTCATTCAGTGTGAATGAAGTTTTTGGTGAAATTGGTACTAACTCATATTTTTTGGTTTGGAAAAAATAGTGGAAAAATGTCTCTTTTCTTATAAATACATAAACATCACGTTTGGAAAAATATAGTTTATGTAATACTATTTTTTTTTTTTTTTTTTACTTACTGAGGCCAAAATAATTTTAAAAAAAAATTTCCAATGGGCGGAGAGCTAAGGGGCATGGTGCAATTTATACAACGGTTCTAATGTCTAATTATTGTTATACATAAAAAAAAATTGAATAAAGTTTTAAAATTTACTTTTTTTTAATGTTAATTCTTGGAACAATCTCAAGATCTCCATACAAATCTGTTAATGCAATTAACTTTCAAACATAGCTTGAGAGGATGTCTATGAATGCAGTTTAATGTGTCATGTTTGGCAATTTCCATCCAAGACTGCAATTTTTCAATTAATGTCAAAGAAACAGCCCCTTGACTTTTTCGCTCAAATAGCTCATTAATATCAAAAAAGTAATAGTTAGTTCTCATTTTACCAAATACTTCTTCAAGTTATTACACACCAAATGAAAAAAAAAAAATCAATTTTGAGTTACTTTAATATGCAATCGGTTGAAATAACATTATAATTAGGTTTTACGTGGTTTATTAACAATAACATAAAAAGTAAGTTCAATAGGTGAATTCTGATTCCACAAAATGTTAAGCATATAATTATTACCATTACTTAAAAAAAAAAATTCAAAATATAAATTGTTGGTATTTTAAACTCAAAAACATGATTTTAGAAAAATCAAGAATTTTGAAGTTTTTTGACTATAACTTCCAAATGAAGTTTGTACTACTTTTTTTGAAAGTACCATCAAATTAAGCATGTGAAAACACATATTTTGGAAAAAAAAAAATACAAAAAATTGTTTGGGTGCTAAACTGCATTTTGTAGGGAATGTCATGACGTTTTTGTATTATTCAAAATATACAGTTTGATTTAAAAGATACAAGAACCTTTTTTTTTTCTTTTTTAATAGTTCATAATTCAAAAAACACCTACGACATTTCCTCTAAAATATTGTTCTCTATAAATTTAATAATAGGTACTTTTACTCTAAAATCAAAATTAAACTAGTTTTACTTATTCCGCATAAGGATTGTTTTACCCAGTATTTGAACTAAGATGTCAGTAGATGTGGGTATAACATCATCTTAAGAGAGATCTTTTGAAAAGTAATACAATTATTTTAACAGTTCATACATAGGCACACCTTTACAAGCTATTGTAGACAAGATTCAACCTTTTTATTTTTTAGATCAGAATGATCCAAATCCTGAAACAAATTTGAAGTTAGCATCAGTGATTGAAATGGCCAAAAAAAATAGTATGCCAAAAGATACCATCTTGAACGCACTAAAAAAACATGTACGGAAATTATTCAATTATTAATTTATATTTAGATACTACACAGCAATTTTTTAATTTTAACTATTACAGACTTTTATATTACTTTTGAGGTAATACATATAATTATAATACCTATCTATATAGTAGCATTGAAATTTACAAAATGTTTTGGGTATATTGTTATTACACTGTATATTACTAAGTAATGATAGTATGATAGTACATGATACCTCTCTTGCATGACATCCTTTATTTGATAGAACAGTATTTAAAAAGAAAAACTCGGACATACTTCGCATGATGGGTGGGTCACTGTTGTAGGTGAAAGGAAAAAGTATGTATATCTGTACGCAACGATTAACCATTGCTAATGAAAAATGATTCTGAGTGGAGTTTGGTTAATAGTACTTTGTCAACATTATATATGTGAAATAATATGGTATAAAATTACATAATATGCATTATATATTTTCTTAATAATATTTGTTTAATATTGTACCTATTTCACACCAATATGACAGTACAATATGCTACAAATGTTTCGAACATTTTTCCACATCTAAAAAAGGCAAATCTAAGTTTTCTGTCCAAACCTCACGTCTCTACAAATATGTTTAAATGAATCAAAACAAAACAAAAAATTTTAAATGTAAATTTTCCCAATTATTATGAAAACAGCTAAAAGTAAACTAATAAACTGGTAAGAGCCAAATTATATACTGAAAGTACAATATCTAAAAACATTCAAGGGGCTCATCTGATTTTCCTATTATAACCAGTTGGTGTTGCTACTTATTCAGTTCATTACCTTTATCAATAACACCTTTTTCACATAACTTGTCAATTATGAGTTTCAAATTATTCACTCATTTTATTGGTATTCTCTTAGCAGAAATCATTATTTCGGCATTTGCTATATGTATAATATTTTTTTATTTATTTTGATTTTAACCTTATCTAGAAATTGTTCTTAACCAGTAAATGTATCATAATTGTTTTTTCCAAGACTTAAGAAAACAACACACCCGTATTTACTGTCAGATCAACTACGGAACATCATGCAAAAACAATGCTTACACAGACTAAGTAAAACCAGCATAATTTTGATGTTTGAGTAAAATGTACCTATTGTGAAATATATAGAAAAGAATATTTTGAAAGGAATCTCGTCAAATTTTTGTATTATACTAAATATACAGCTCAGTATAAAAGGCACAAAAACTTTTTTTTTAGTTTTTACATAACTACATTTTTTAATAGTTAATAATTCAAAAAACAACTAAGAGATTCCCTCCAAAATATTGTTTTCTATAAATTGCATAATAGGTATTTTTATTTTAAAATCAAAATTAAGCTAATTTTACTTATTCTGAGTAAGTATTATTTTTGTATGTTCCCCGGTAGTTAGACTGAGACAGTAAATGCGAGTGTGGCGTCCTCTTAAGAACTGTATTATAAATATTATAAATTATAATATAGACATGGTCTATGGTCAAATATTTACACTATTTACAATATAAACAAATATTGTCATTATAAAAAACAATAGTTAATGCATTACCATAACCAGAAAATATTTCAGGGGTAGGGGAGACACTAATAATTTTTACTATTAATATGAAAGATAAAATTCACCAACATAACCTAGATTAATTATCAAATTAAAATTTTTTTTATGAATATACATATTAAATATTCATAAAATAGATAACTGGGATGAATGCAGTTACTGTTTTATATATGTAATATTATCACTAAAATAACTTGAGTTTCATTTTTTTTTCCTAATAAAAGGAACGGAAGTGTTCACATTCCACATAAATAGGAACTCTTTCTCGCTTCTCTTTCCTATATTTGAAAAGGAATGCGTTCCAAGCTCCGTTCCTATAAAAGGATTAGGTTAGGTTAGGTTAAGAACCTAACCTAACTGTTCCAGGAACTTCCTTCCCAACACCAATCGTAATATATATATAAAAGTACCAAAACCTTAAAATTATAAATTTGGTAAGTATGAGTTTGTAAGGTTTTTTGTCAACAATAATATTATCTTCATTGATTTTATTATTTTAAAAACACTTAATTTAAATATTTACCAATATGTTAAATTTTTACTTAATCAGCATCACATATCACTAAGTAAAAAAATTGCTGATTAGTATGTATACATCCATCTATAATAAAAATTTAATTTATTTGCATAATATTCACTTACAATAAATACTAAAATTTATTTTTTAGTCAAATAGTAAAGCAGAATCAGTGTGGTTTGAAGTTAAAGGCCCGAGAGGTACCATTTTACTAATTCATGGTTTATCTGAAAATCCAAGATTATTTAAACAAAATTTAAATACTTTGGTCCGAAAATCAAAGTAAGTGTAATTTTTTTAATCTTTTTTTCTAAATCTATATTTTATTAAAATTTGAATGATTTATATGATGTGCATAGTACCCATAGTATTTATCAATGTATTTACCTATTTAAATTAAACTATTAACTTAATATTAAGATGTGTTCAAGACTTTTTGTATTTGTTCTCTACTATTTAAAAGTTAACTTGATAGGCAATGTATTAAATAGGAAATATTTGTATTGAAATTTAATTTTTTTATAACCAAAAATATAATTTCTTTTAATTTTCATTCTATTATAAGTTTAGCATATTGTGATTCTGGTGCCAAGCATTTATTCATTCACAAAGGTATTATTATAGTTAAACCACCTACAGATTTAATAAATGCAGATGAAGAATGTATTGAACATGCTATTAATGCAGGTGCTGAAGAAGTTGAAACTGAAAGTGATGATTTGGAACCTGGCCATTATAAGGTAAATTTTTAAATATTTGAATGCATATTTTAATATAGTAAAACATTTTGCACATCAATTTATTACTTAAATTTAAGTAGATACATGTATAATTAAATGAATAAGTATGAATTCAAAAATATATTTTTCACTCTGTTGAGAATGGACAACATAGAATATGAGGGACATATTATATTATTATTATTTAAGGGAAGGGCCAAAAGGAAAGCCTTGGTATAATATAATATAGGTACTATATGGTATGTATTTATTTATTTTTATTAATGTAAATCAATGCTTATCAATTCTATATTATTATTTTTATTAGTAAACATTTTTTTTTTTTTTTACTTTTTAGTTTATTTGTGAACCAAATAATATGAATAAAGTGCGTAAAAATTTGGAAAAATTTAATTATGACATTGTGCAAGCTGAAGAAGAACATGTAGCCCTAAAAAAAGTATCATTAAGTGAAACAGAATATGAGTATATAGTTAAATTTATAAACAATGTTCGGGGAATACCAGATACTATTGAAGTGTATGATAATATAGCTTAGAGTCTAATAATAAAATGTTTTGTTGATTATGATTAATTAAAATTGTGTTTTATCATTTTTTAATGAAAATTCTTTTATTTCTACACATTTTACTTATATTTATTCTGGTGGTCCTTTTATTCTAATGACATTAAATCACTTTCTACACTCACTAATATTTTCTATCTAAAACTTATAATGAGCTTATTTTAACTTTACATTTTAGTTTGGTAAAAAAATTATATCCACATAGTACTTATCAAATAAAAACTAAGTAAAAGAAAACTTGCAAATATAAAATGCCTATAAATAGTTAAAAATCGTTAACAATTTTTGAAAATTGTACTACGTCGTGAAAACGGAAATATGAAATTTCTGTTAAAATATCAAGTCTCTACGAATGTTTTTCACTGAATCATATCATAAAAATAAAATTGAAAATAAGAAAACCATTATTTTCGTCATACAGTGTGTTCCACCATGTTCGACGGATTTTTCTAGCACTGTTAATATTAAACATTTTTTTTTTTCACTCGGTTTGTCTTCGAGAGAGACAAATTATTATTTATTCACTTTAGAAAATGTTCAAAATAGTAATTTTGTAAAAAATATTATTCTAAAAATTTTAAAGTATCATACATTCATATCAGATTAATAGTTTCTTAATTATATCCGTTGTACTGTTTAAACTGATGTGATAAAACAATAAAGACGTTACCACACACTAACGAAAACAATGTTGTTTAATTGCATCAAATCTGGAAAACCACAACCAATAAGAGGTAGCCTTCGCACAGGTCTGAGAGTATAATCCATACCGGAGCGGCAACTGTACCTAATTCATTTCACGTCTAGTAAACCAAATCTTCAACCTATTACACAACAGAAAAATTGGGTACAATGAAGTCCCCGGAAAAAAAAAAAATCATAATATATTTCGTAATTTTCCCATTTTCCTCCGTTTTTTCAGCTTTTCACATGTGATGAGAAAATCGAAAAATGACCTCCCTAATGAACCACCCCAAGGAAATTTCCTTTTAAAAGGGTCTACATCGTATACATCGGAGTTAGCTTTTTGGTAGAAAAATTATTGTTCACATAAAAATAAATAAACATCTTTGTAAAACCAATATATTTTTCGCTCCACTCAGAATATAAAAATATGAAAACAAATTCTAACTGTTTAAAATAAAACAAAAATCAGCTCTGCTATACTACATTTCTATTTGAATTTCGGTAATTCCATATCTAATATCAAATGAATGTTTCCTTATCTAAGTGTGCTTAATTACAGATGATTGTTTTAATAGAAATGGCAAAAATTAAATAAATAATTATTTTTATTTTATTTTATATTTAATTAAATAAATAAACTTTTAAACTTAAACTTAATTAAATCAAATATAAATATTTTAAATTTTAAATAACCATAAAAATGACTTGATAATTAATACAAATTATAATCTTGTTTACTATTATTTATATTAACAGTGGCAATATTATCTACTATCTACATATGATGTATTAAGTACTGCAGAAAAAAAGTTTTTAATACACAAACAAAATGCAGCTGATGAGAAAATAATGTAAATTAATATAATATTTTAAAGTATATTAATTGTTTTATCTATTGAATGTGTTAAATAGAATTGTATTTTTTTGGCACATATTTTAACAAATTATTCTTCTGAAAAAAATGTTTAGATTTAGATCTATGGTGTGTTACAAAGATCTGTTTCATAAAATTAAAGAATTTCATATTAGAACAGGACATGGAGGTAATGTGAAATTATGAAATACATTACATGATACATATTATGTACTCAGACCATCAATTGAAATTTTTTTTAACAGTGTTTGAAACGTGTAATTGTAAAAAACCAATGAATTACAAACTTGTAATAAAACCTATCACAACTGCAGATTTCAACCAGATGGCAAATATAAATGGATACTAAATTACTAAGATTATACAACAAATTTTGTAATTCTTAGACCATTAGTGAATAAAAGAGCAACTGAAGTCATTAATGAGTTACTCCAAAAATATTACAGCGTAATAATGGCCGCGAATTTGTAAATCTTTTAATCAATGAACTTAAAGATCTTTGGCCAAAATATTATTGTGTATGGTCGCCCTAGACACCCTCAAAGTCAGGGAGTACAGAGAGGTCTAATCAGGATGTAGAACACATGTTATAAGTATGAATGGCTTAATAAATAATAAATCCAAAAAGTGGAGCATTGGATTAAATTTTGTTCAATTCCAAAAAAATAGTTAATTTTACAATTGGACGTAACCCTTATAAAGCTAAGTACATCAAATTTGCTATCTGTTGAAGAAATTAACAATAGAAGAAGACCTCAAACAAAGAAAAATATATAGGTATAGTTTATTAATTATTGTTTAAATCAAATTAAATATCAAATACAAAAATTAATTTAATAGTATGGTTATATAATTTATTGTTTAACAAAAATGTTGTTTTATAATAATTACACACAAAGTGTACAATAGGTGTAGGTATTGTCCATATAATGTATTTTCTTCAAAATTCACAATCTGGACGAATTTCACTATAGATATCTAGTTCATGAAAATAGCAATTTCACTAAGTAGATGTGACATATACATATGGCGTGGAACTAATATTATTGTTATGACAAAGATATGTATGTATTCTATGTACCACTAAACTTCAGGTTAAACCAAAATAATAGCAATTGATTATAAACTAATAAATATAGATATAGATTTATTGATAAATTTCTTTGGGTTTTGCTGGGACATAATCATAATGGCAGTTGTAGCGATTTCATAGTTTATTTGTATAAACTATAAATTGTATAATATTGTTATTAATTAATAAATAATTTACCCTGGGAAGAACAAAACCATTATCAAATGAAGAACTTATAAACATTATAGCATTTAAGGAATGCAGTCTTTCAAATCGTGAAATATCCTAATGGATTTCCACGGTTATCAATAATTTTGTTAAACTTTGCCAAAATTACAATTTAAAAAAGTCTACAGGTCGACCCCAGATATTAACTGATCACGAAAAAAGAGCAATTTTAAGAGTTGCATCAAATTTTGCTTTGTCTGCACGTGGTAATTTCGATCAAAGTGTGAAAACTGGTATTCTGGTACAGACTATTAAAACAAAATAAAAAACCAAAAATGAACTTTTCAAAAAACAAAATGAATTGGGCAAAAAAATTAAGAAATGTAATTATGGACTATACAGACAAAAAATTAAAAATTGCCGTTTGTGATTTGGATCACTTGCATTTCATATAGATTGCTCACCTTCGTATAACAACAAAAATTGTACAATTATTACACTGGACCATTCTATATTAGTGTAGGAATAAACCATAGGCATGTGCAAACTTTTTTCGCAGGGGATGGCAGTTTTATTATATATATTTTTAAAAATAGATGAATTTTTTAACTACCTTCATAAAGACATAAATCAGAATTTGTTTTTTAAAATTATTTTCACCCAACTAGATCTCAAACTATAGCGTATTAAACTGCTCTTCAGAGTAATCTTTTAGTGAGCTAAAACTAATTAAAAGTTATTTGCGGTCAAAGATCACTGGTGATCGAATAAACAGTATTGCTATATTAAACATTGAATCAGACATCACAAAAATTTGAATTGTAAATAAGTATCGTTTTGTAATTTTATTAGTGGATAATAACTAAACCTACTTTATATTAATTCTAAATAATTTGTAAAGATATCAGTATAACTGTATTAGCCGAGCCGTAGTCCGATGTAGTCGTCTATTTGTTGTGCTCCGTTATCGCATTCTTAGTGCGACAAATCGCCGTGAGATTGGAACGTTTATCATCAGTCATTATACAATACATTGATTCTAAATTGCTTTCATAATCTTCACAAGACCGCTGAAGAAACGTAATTTTTAATTAATTTTCATAAACCTTAAGTTTATATATTTATTTTTATCGAACCCACCGTTATCGTTCCGATAACAACCCAGTGCCAGTCTACCTGCCTGCCTTATCGCCACCGAGCTTATCCGCCGTGGTATAACCGTACAGCCGAGTGATGACCGTCGATTAATCGAAATATTACTTTTTTCCTATTCGCATAAAAACTGTATTCGAAAATTTTAAACTCTAATATTGTTAACTGTTCAATGGCCACTTGCCGGCTTTGCTCATTAACAATAAAGCGTAATCAAGGCGACTCTATATCTTGTGCTATTTGTAAAAATATTTTCCGCACGGATTGTGCTTCTTTGAAACCTGACATTGTCGAATACTTCAATAATTCTAAAACCACTTGGTCATGTGCTACCTGCCAGAAAACTACAAAAGAGAAAGCGATTGGGAGTCATCAGGTTACAACTGCTTCTAAAAGTGATTCTCCTGGCTCATTTGATCTTAAAATAATTATCAAAATAATTAGATTCTCTACGTACAGAGCAATCCAAACTTGTCGATATTTTTAATAAACAGGGAGACAAGTTATATTCGTTTGAACTAAGATTCACCGAAATTCTTTCCGAACTTTCTCTAATCAAAAACAAAAAATGTACTCGTCGTAACGATCTACTGAATTTAACCAAGTGCGTTTGAAGCAAATAATTCTCAGAATCCCATATCTAATATTTATGCGTTCTCAGACTTCGCGAACCAACAAGCTAGATCCAAAAATATCATAATTTTCAATACGTGGAAACCAGCTGATAATAATGTTAATAGCTCTGATATTCCGACTGTAAACGTTATTAATGAAAAACTTGGAGTTGACGTCAAACCTATTTCCATTACTATTAAACACCTAAAAACTATACGTTATAATACACATTATACATTTACAACGAATACATAACTATTTATAAATTATATCATTCAATATTCAAATTATAAACTCATAACTCTTCATATCATAATTAATAATGTATTAATACAATAATCAATAATAAAAATTAATTTTTCAAACATTTTGTCAGATAGGTTAGATCTACTGGGCGAAAGCACAAAACTAACAAATGCAAATAAACGCTCAACAGTAGCAGATAAACACAGACTAGTATTATATTTTATATACAGTTTTTTTATAAACGGATAGTTATATTTGTATGGCTAGCGCATCGTAAATAATGAGGAAGAAAAAATGCCTGCATATTACTTCCATCATTTCCAATATCTTAAAAATTTCCTGTAAAGTTTGTAAAGTTTTCAGCTTTACGGTTACACTCATATATCTAGATAGTGGAAGATTCATATTTTAAGTGAACAAAAAATCCAGTTTAATTCTTATCTGTATGAATGGAAGAGTAAAAAGGTATACGGCTGTATACCTATTTTATATTCGGAGATTAATATGTTTTTTAAATTATCTTACAAGTCATAAGTTTATAACATTGTTACGTTTATTTTAAGTTTTGAGTTGTTGTATACGTCACGCAAAGGCTTAACGCATACAACAGATACTTTTCGGTTTCCAAAATCCTCTAGCCGTCAAACAAGCAATTAATGAAACCTGTTATAAAGAAACCTTATCAATTCTCCTTTTGGTGATCACGTTAATGAATACTGCACAAAAGAATTTCTGACTTTAGAATCCTCAGGAATTAATCCTAATTACTCTAAGGCTGCTTCACTCTCGAAATAACTGACCACGTTAACGAGTACTGAATGTTTCGAGGGTGAGGTCTTTTTTCACTTAGACAATGTAGTGCTATTTCTCAACTAACCACGGTAACGAGTACTGGATGAGATATAGGTACGACACCGTCTTTCCTACCTTTCTTTTTAAATTTGGGTTTGTTCGCCATAAAAGACTTTAGAAACGTACACCCGAAAACTTCACTAATAAGAAACGTACGTATGAAAAAAATAAAGAATAACTCGATAAAATCTAAAGAAAGTATCTAGAAAATATAATAAAATAAAACATTAATAATTATAAGTACAAAATAATCGTCGAACGAATAAGCAACCTTCGCAGTTCGTACCACACACACGAGACGAAAAAAGACAACCCCCGGTCTTGTTGTCGCCGACTTAAATAAGCGTCTTGTTTTCTGACACTCAGCATATTTGCATGCGTCCGTGTGAACAAGTCATTTCCTTCTTTTTTACACGGTATATTATTACACAAAAAAACCTTATTATTTAAATTACTTAAATTATTATTAATATTAATCCTATATACCCTTACAACAGAGTGTTCTGCAAATCGAAATCAAATTTTTTGGTATTATTCAGCAAACATTTTTACAATAAAAGTATCTTGTATCTATTGGCAAAATAAGATTCATGCCGAGATAAGAGACGTGCCGGAGTATACATTTTTACTGAGAGTATACAACTCCAATTGTATGCGCTTTCTCAACGATTCATTTTATTATAAACTGATATAAAAATATTTACAACACAATATTTTGGATATTTTGTTATTTTATTTTTAAATTATTTTTATTTTATACAATATTTTGGCCTATCATGTAGTATTTTGGATAATATATTATTTTATTTTTTAATAAACCATACCTAATAGCAATTTAAATATGTGAAATGTAGATTAAATTAATCTTAGGGATGGATACTAAGTTCCTAAATTTTGTTCGATTATTTTACACTTATGTAAGTCTACATATTGGTAATTTCATATATATTTTTAGGTTGGTATACTTGTTTAAAATTACTATGTTTAACAAATAAATTGTAGTTGTACGTGTGTAAAATGTTATTAGTGAAAAAGAAATTGTTTTCATATTATCAAAATAATAATTATTTACAATTTTAAAAAGTGGATTTATCTGGTTCTTACAGGGAGCCCTTCAATTGAGGTGGTCTGCGGTCTATTAAAAATTATCGAGATGGTCCATGGTGGTAAAAAGGTTAGGAAACACTACTCTAATAAGTAATAATTATGCTGTATCTGTGATCAATGTGTCGTGTTATAGAAGGCAATTTATTACCCTTTCCTACTCCTCCGGTCTTAACTTTTAATTGCTATAACTCATAAACGGTAAATCTGATATTAGTGTTATACATATCAACATTTCTAGAAAAATATTTTCTATTCCAATCTCTGTTCAAACGGGGGACAGGGTTCCTTTTGAAAATCAAAAGTATGTATTTATTTAAGATTTTTGGAGTAAGGGTAAAAATTAAAAATGATTTTAAAATAAAGCTTAAATGATTCCATAATGATTAGAAAAAGCAGAAATAAAATTTACTTAAAATCCTCTGAGATAATTGCTGGTTCATGATATAAAAATCACTCTGTGTAGGTACTCTAATAATTACCCTATGTGTGTGATCAATGTTTCGTACGACACATCGATATGTCATACAATGTATAGATACTACGTGTATGTGTATGTGAGAGCAATGGCGTAGCCACGATTTTTTTAGTGGGGTGTTTAGATGCAACTTATCTGTTACTTTATTGTGCACATAATAGAACATACGTAACATATTCTTATAATTTTCTATGCGTAACACAACACATCTTGTAGAAATCTGATGCATAGCAGCATATTTTAAAAATTTTAATTTTTGACATAAATATTTCTAAGGGGGGGGAGGTGTTTGAATATCAAAACACCCTCCCCCCTCCACCTAGCTACATCACTGTTTCTAGAAGTAAGTATAGTGTGATATTTGATCATAGTGGTGATATAGTGGAAAAAATTAATATATTGTATATGGTAGCACATGTGTGTAATATTTCATCGATTGCGAGATGGCGAGGATGCCCGATGTTTCCCGAAGTAGCGACGAGTTTCGAAAAAATGTATAAAAAGTGGGTCGGTAATATTCTGGTAAGATCCTGGTCGTGGAGTAGCTCCCGCACTCACATCCGCACCTGAGCATAATTGTGCAGGATGGGCTTATAGTCATGATCGTGGTTGAACGACTATGTTGTAAGTATAGCACAAGATTTGTGCATAAAAAATATTATAAAAAAATATTTTGAAAAAAAGGGACACGCCCCTAATACATAAAATAAGGGGAAAACGCCCGCACAAGAACAGGATTAAAGCATGATCGAGCACGAGATCGTAGTTGGGCGGCCATGTTATATGTATAGCGCCTGCGCAAGATAGTGGCTTAGAACCGCTCTTTTTATACTACTCACACAGCATAACGATATAAACCAGTGTACCCTAAACTTTTTATCCGTCGGATCCCTTTACAGATAGTAAAAATGATCACGAACCCCCCTTCCCCCTCTTAAATCCTATTATACATCAGTATTTTAGTTTCTATAATACATATTATATAGTATTTTCAATTTACGTTCGCGGACCCCTATTATAGATGATATGCGGGTAACTCGTAATTGTACGTTTAAAATTATGGACAAATTATGATAAATTTCTTTTTACCTAAATCTGATATCACTGCAAAGTGTATATCATTTTTTTTTGGTGGCTAGTGTACTATTATAATGTTTTGAGTACAATTTTTTTTATCGAGAAAATTGTTAACGATCCGTATGATACTAAATCTACGATACACACAAATTTCAATATATCGAAAATCATAGAATTTTTGGCATCCCTACGTGTATATTATAATATACATATATAATCAATGGTGTTAGGTATCTAAAAAAATTTTGGGGTACTTATGCAACTTTTTAAATCAATAGCATTACAATATCAGAGAAGTTGAATAGGTAACATAGTATACAAATTTGAGAACCACTGGACTTTCTTATCAAATATAGTCAGAATGTCAGCGGAACACACGTTGATAATTTGATATTTGTTAAATATTAATGATATATGCACAACTTTTACCAAGTTTTTATTTGAAACTAGAAAGTTTAGAAATCTTTTATCAACAAAATGGAATCATAATTATTTAAATAGTATACAAAATGGCAGATGACACAGATAAAAAAAAACAATTTGGTAATAGATTTTTAAAAAATGAAAATGATGTTTTTAAACACAATGCATGGTAAGAAATGTTTCCATTTATTTCTAACATGAATTTACTTAAACGTTGGTAGAATTATAGTACCTATAATTATGTCATAGGGATAATGTGGAATGGGATGAAACACAAGAAAACAATGCGTTGTTACAAGTATGTGAACATATAAAAACTAAAATGCCTTCAGAAAAAGCAGTTGATTTAGAAAATAATGCAGATCAGTATTGGGATAAATTTTACACTATTCATCAAGAAAAGTATGTGTCTACTTAAATGTTTAAAGTACCTATTGCAAAATTAACAGAATCGCCCAGCACAAATATTACTTTTACTTTTATAAAATATTTTAGAATTATGTTTTCTACTTTTATAACTACCACATCCACATGAGAATCAAATCAATTGAGGTTAATTATTTTTAGCACTTATTATACAGATTTGTTTGCTGCCATCAACTATTTTAAATGTTAATCATATTATAAATTAGGTACATATTTGTTTTAACATTTAAGATGGAGTAAAAAGTAATTTAAGTTGACTCTCAGTTGTCTAACCAATTTATCATATTATGATAATAAAATTGTTTTTATTAATTTTTTTTAAAAATTCCTGATGTGTTGATTTAATAGTTTATATTTTGTTTTTTTTTCAGATTTTTTAAAAACAGGTGTTGGTTATTTACTGAATTTCCTGAAATAACTTCATTACAAAATGATAAATCCAACAGCATATTAGAAGTTGGCTGTGGAGTCGGTAACTCAGTTTTCCCTATATTATCACACAGCGCCAGTAATAATATCCATATCTATTGTTGTGATTTTTCTTCAAATGCTATAAACATATTAAAAGAAAACTCAGAATACAACGAAGAACATTGTACAGCATTTGTATGTGATATAACTAGTGATGATTGGAATTCACCATTTGCCTTGGAAAGTTTAGATGTTATTTTATTGGTTTTTGTTCTTTCAGCCATACAGCCTGAAAAGTAAGGTACAATTTTAATTTGTTTAAAGGTTTCATAATTTTTTTACACATTTTAAATTGATTATTTTTCAGATTGAAACATGTTGTTCGTAAGTTTTATGAGTACTTAAAACCTGGAGGTATAATATTGTTTCGTGATTATGGTAGATATGATATGGCACAGCTCAGGTTTAAAGAAGGAAGATGTATATCAGATAATTACTATAGTAGAGGTGATGGCACGTTGGTGTATTTTTTCACTCAAGGTATAGTTTTATACCTACAATTTTCAGAATATAATTATTATTTCCTATTAGAAACATTAGATTTTAACTGAAGTGAATTTCAAATAAAATAGTAACACTATAGTCTGTTCTATACAAAAGAACGGGCCATGTACTGACCAAAATCAGTTGCCACTGGAGGCAAGAGTTCAGTATGTATGAACAGAAATGGCCCGTTCTCTTGTGGGAAATAACTTTTAAAATTTGGTTTCTTATGAACATATGTATTTATATTTAGCTTTTTATTAGAGTCTATTTAAGTAATATGACTTATTATATTAATAAATTAATTTGTTTTTCTTTAGATGAAGTAAAACAGCTATTTATTAATTCAGGTTTTGAGGAAGTTCAGAATTTAGTTGATCGTCGTATGCAAGTGAATAGAGGTAAACAATTGAAAATGTATCGGGTTTGGATTCAATGTAAATATAGAAAACCTACATTATAATGCAATTATTCAATTATTGTAATATATATTTTGTTAAAATCATTTTGTCATATTGTATTTAAAAATGTCTTATATTAAAATTTCTGAAGTTTTCCTTGTGTTATTATTTTAACTTATAGGCTATTTTATTTTACTTTAAACTTATAATGCCAAAACTGGTAATTGTGAGATTTTATACTATTTTTAAGGACTTTACTTAAGAATATTAATTTTTTTATTTTGTAACAATTCTTTTTAAATATTTTAAAAATGTTAAAATTCTGGAAAACAAGGTAATTTTTTTTATAGTCTCTAACAAAAAAAGAGTACATCTTTTATCTCATGCATGAACATGAGTTTAGAAATGCTCAGTCCATTTATAATGGGTCAATGGCCAATAGCCACTGAGCGGTGAAAATTAAAGTGGTTTGAAGTTCAGCATTTACATTAGATGTTAATGTTCACCGGTCGTAACTGATATATCACTACTTTCTCACAAAATCATATTATATTTGATTTAATCAGCAAATTTGATGTTCACCATTCAGCAGAAAACCCTTATCAACATTGTTACCACTGTCCAATTCAATAATAATGTAGTACTATTGTTTTTTAGGACTCGAGGAAAAAATCCCTGGATCAAACAATATTAGGAAATAATGACCCATTGTAAATTAATACATCAATTACATTGACCAACAAAGGTTTTGTGGTAAATTGATGAATTTTGTATAGAATTTCACTATTGATTCTGAATCTAATCAGATTAGTAAGAGTAAAATTCGAAAATTATATACTTAGTTCAATTCAATTCAATTAAATATATATTTCTTGTTAAATTGAACCAGTTTTCCCGGGGCTCTAAAATTAAGCTTGATATCTAGTTATTTATCAAAACACTAAGCTAAACTTTTCACTATAGATTTTTTTTACGTTTAATTTACAATTACAAATGAATAACCATTTAAAACCTAATTTTTTAAGAATTTTCCTTTTTCAAATAAATCTTTCATAATAATAGTGTCTAGGAATATTATTTAATTGATAATCAATATATATTTACCTACCCAAATAAAACAAGTAATAATTTATGAACTTATGAGTGAAAACAATTTTCCTACAGGTATCGTATGCATTGTTTGTTGTAAACAAATATTTAAATTTGAGTTTACAACTTCATGTGTATTTCACAACTGATTAATGGTTTTTAGATTCTGTAGAATACATTGTTCCTAAATCCTAGACATAAAAAATAAAAAAAAACAAAATAATTTGAACGAAAAATGCTGGATTTTCAATTAACCTATAATTTATTAAAAAGTTTTAACTGAATTTCGTTCAGAATTGTATTTTGTTAGCCACGATTTATTGTTTATCCTACCTCCTTGCAATCCCAGCTTCCAAAGTGACCTATTTAAGAGCAATACTCCCCGGAATCTCGACCCTCTTTTGATCCTGGAAATCCAGGGATTTTCAGAATAAGTATTTAATGTGGTAACATAGAAAAAAATATATACCTATTTTTTTTATACCTAATAATTATTATAAATAAATTTAAACAATAAACATAATATTATATAAAATAGAATATCTTGTGAGTATCAGTGAATGTATGGTTCTACCCGTTCATATATTTTAACACCAAATTTTTTATTTATGTAGCATTTGGGCATATTTGTTATCTATGAGTTTATGCGGACCCGGCTATCACGCCGCCACAGACTCGCCACTTATAATATATCAGGGGTATCTCCAGATCTCGACTATGGGGGGAGATCCATTTTTACTCTTGAATACCACCTTTTTGGTCAACAAAAACTTAAAACCTTTATGTCTGATGTCAATTTCAACTTACACTTAGCTTAGAAGACTGCAGATATATCATATAAATGCAATAAAATAGTACAATTTATATTTTTCATATTAAATAAATAATAATTAAAATAATGATAATATGAATAACAAAAAAAAAAAAATAATAATTAATAAAAGTTATATGATCAAGTCCCAATTATTTTAATTTTAAGAAGCGTTTACAACTGGTTTGATAAACAATATTTTCTATATTAATGTTTTTATTTTGATGAATATTTAAAAGTGATAAGCCAGTTGGCCTCTGCTCAATTTTTTTTTTCCACAAAGTATTTCTTTTAATTAAACTTATGTTAAATTTTCAAGTATTTCTGTTTGGTCTAACAATTGTATTCACAGCGTACCTACCAAATAAAAACTACGTATAAATCCAGCATTAAAATGTCTGAATTACTCAAAAATCGTTGCTTACAGATATAAATTAAATAACCTTGTGTACCCTATTTTCTCAACTTCCCATCTACAACAATGGGCAATGGTCACACCCGTCTACAGCATCGTACTTGTTTATATTTGTCCATTTAGTTGAATAAAATAACTAATAAAAAAAATTAGGAGGGGGATACGTGCCCTGGCAACTACGGCCGAATTTTGATTTTCGGATGCCTGGGGCAAATATTTTTTTGAGGCCCTTAGCAGTAAATAAAATACAAATTTAAAATACCCAATATATGAGTAGTTAAGGAAAACACAAAATGTATAAACTTGCATGTTATAACTATCTACCAAAAATGTGTTAATTTAAAGTTTGAAGTACTGCTGTTTATGTATCAAAAATTTAAAAATTTAATTTAAATATATCAATGTGTTAAGAGTAAAAATAGGTATATTAATCCCATAACATTTTATTTATTTTATTTAACACCTCAAAGAGGTAATATGTACAGAATATAGTATATAATATACTATATAATACATAAATACTTAAAACTATTGAAATATACAATCACTTTGCTTTTTTATTAACATTTTGAAATCAAATCTTTACACTGTTACATGAATAATTTTAAAACCAAAATGACAGACATATTTTGCATGATGGATACAGCCACTGTTGTTGGTGAGAAATTGGAAAGGTAGGATATAGAGGGAAAAATAATTTATATCTATAAGCAACGATAAACCATTGGTTATTAAAAACGATTCAGAGCGAGAGTTCAGTTAATCGAGATGCTTTGTTAACAATATATACGTCATATTATGGTAATATAATTAAATAGGCATTATATATATTTTCTTTAATAATATTTGTTTCTTATTGTACCGATTTTCCTGTTTTTCACATTTGCAGGGAAAATCTAAAAATTATCACTCTAAAGTAGCTCCCCAATCAGATTTCCTTTTAGAAAAAGTGCTATCATTGTAAATCGGATCAAAATTGCTGGTAGAAAAGTTGTCTACAAAAAAAAATTGTAATATTTTGCTAATATATTTCGTAAATTTTCCGTTTTTTTTTCTTTTTCGATTTTCCACATTTGATGAGAAAACTTCTCACTAAAGGGTCTACATCGTATACATCGCGAAGTAAGCTTTATGATATAAAGTGTTTACGAAAAAAAAAAAAAAAATAAACATCTTTGTAAAACCAAACCAATACATTCTTTGCTATATCTATTACTTGAATCTAAAAAGTGAATGTAATTACGTATACACATAACGAAATACATGTATGCGCGTAACAGTCTGAATTGGCTATTAAGTGTTTATTCATTTTAGTCAAAAATAAATCATATTACCACTGGAACGTTTATATCTATATACTAAAATATTTTGTGTTCGGTGGATGTCCTATTGCCATTGTCTATTGTCACGTGCAATCTTGACATATTAAATTGCAGACCGAATCATATAAATACAAATCAATCTTTATTTTTTTTCCATAAATTTCCCAAGTAAAGTAAAAAGTTTTAAATTGTTTAACAGGTCGTCTCATTTTGGATGTGCACTGGGAAAATAGATGAGAGAAGGTAACATGATGGTTGATGTATGCAGATGATATAGTCTTTTTAGGAACAAATTTGTTACAAGTTTGCAATAGGCTTAAGGAATGAAGAGTAGCACTTGAAGGAAAGGGACTAAGGATAAGTAGAAGTAAAACAGAGTATGAAATTTGAAGTAACAGGACAACACAGCTAACGAAAATAAGTGAGTATAGTTAAGGTTAAGTTTTGAGTACCTAGTATCTTTTGTACAAAAGAATTATGATTTTCATGAGAATGTGATACATAGAAACAAATGTGGTTAGATTAAATGGAGAAAAGAGTCAGGTATTTTATGTGACAAAAAAATTCTAATGAGAATTAAAAATTTGTTCTACAAAAGTGTGGTGAGATTGATTATATTGTATCGGTTCGATTGTTGGATGGAATAGCGAGAGAAGATAAGATAAGGAATGAGTACAAAAGAGGTAGTTAAAACTTTGATAATAGATAAAATAGGAGAAAATAGACCAAGATGGTTTGGGCATGTCTCAGGAAAGAGGAATCTGTGAAGCAGTAAAAAAGTATAATCAAAATAAATATAGAAGGAAAGAGGTTTTCACCTCAGACCTAAAAAGAGATGGGACTTAAGTGGAAGTTTAGAATAAGGGAGGTCAACCCTAACTAAATAGTAGGGATGAAAGAGGAGAAATAATTTTATTGATTGTATCAAATTTCACTGTTAAGTAAGTGTTGACAAGACAGTTAATAGTTATTTGATAAGTTAAAATATTTGTACATAAATAAATACTAGTGAATCAGTTTGAACTATTATGTTAAGTTTAATCAACAACAAATTATCTGTAAAATAAATTATGGCTACAGTTAATTTACCTAGTTATGTGTTTTGTGATAGGTATAATAATAAACTTAATGAAATCAATAAAATAAGACTACACTTTATAACACTAAAATTTGCATGAATTGTACTTGTATTATTGTTAACTGTTTAATAATATTGACATGTCCTTTGTCTTTTTTTTTTACATATATAGCCAATAAACAAATTGTTTTCCATTTTTATAAATTTTAATTAAAAAAATATTTAAAATTAATTAAGCATTAATTGAGTACAAGTCAATGTTCTTAAACAGTAACCATACAATTAATAATTAAACATAAAGTTGGAATAAAATACAATAATTAAGGTCTACAATAATTATAATAGTTATGAAATTGGTACAGCTTAAAAAAAGCAATTACAATACAAAATAAACATTTTTTTAACTTTTTTTTAAAACACGCGAGGAGAAAATTTAGTGTAACATGAATTATCACAGTAGTGAGTATAAAACTAGAAATATAATTTACTTATTTTGGTAGTTTAAATATTATTTTGTGCCCAATTGGGGTAAAACTCATTTATAAAATGTGTCTGAAAAGGCACTATGATTCGTATCAAAATTAAGTTCAACCCATTACAAGTTTACTAAAAGCAAAACTATGTAAAAATAATACACATACAAATTAATTTATAAAAAATTAGAATAATTTAATATATCAATTTAATTTATCATAATGAACTATTTATGTTCAATACAAATAATATCCTTATTGCAGCATTTATTTTAAATTTCCAAAATTTAACCTATAATATTTCTAAAGATTTATTAATTAGTGATTAAGATTGGGCTATGTGAATTTTTACTTCTATTTTATACATCTGAATCTAAACCTATTTGTATTATTCTTATATCTTCATTTTGGAGTAGATATGTGTGTAAGTTACATTTAAACTTATTTGGCATGCTATTAATGACACCCTTCCACCGGTTAATCCAAAAAACAAATTAATAAAATTCACAATATTTTAAAGCCAATAAATAATTTGTAGGGGAAAAATAAAAATCACATTAGTTGTCTTATTATTTGTAGATTATAACATGTTACTCAGTTCATTTAATAATAACAATAATAATATAATAAAAATAAAATAATAAATAATAAAAATATGTCACTTTTTGGTTAATTACTCTGTATGACAAGTAAAAACTTTAAGAGTCATAAGCTATTAAATTAATAATATTGGGAGCTTTTCATTACTATTGGAAAAATAAATTCTCAATGCAATATGAAATCAAATTCATTAGTACTGACTTAATCAGTTGACTGAAACTGAAAAAACGTTTAGATTTTATAAAGTTCCTATGAAGTGTGTACAAAAGCGGAAAAAAATTCACGGGTCATCCATTGTGGACATAAACGCACCATCATTTTCCATTGCAGCCATTATTTCGCTAATATAAGATGCTACATCTACACTTTCAGCATCACTACGTTTAATAAATACATGTTCTAGTAGTTTATTGTATTTGGGCCTCTGATTTTCTTCTTTAATTAAACTAGAAAAAACAATTTAAATATACATGAGAGACAAGGTTCAAGATTTATAATATTATTTAATTACCAAGTATTTACGAAATTCACAAAATGTTGAGAAAAATTATTGGACGTTTGCAGACGCGGAGGATCTCCTTGAACGACTTGACACAATTGTTCAAAAACAGAGCTCCATCTAGGATACGGAAACCTTCCAGTGGCAACTTCTACAAGTGTGATGCCCAAAGACCAAACATCTGACCGAACATCATAACCTCCACGGCCACGAACTGGATCAATTCTCTCAGGCTAAAATTTAATTTACTTACATCACATATTCTTTGAAAATAAATACATTCGTCAAAACATACAGCCATATAAGGACGACAACCAGCATCTCTAGTCTTAGCAATAGAATCGACTAATTGACCAGAGATACCAAAATCACATAATTTAATATTGCCTCGAGAATCCAGTAAAATGTTGCTAGGCTTAACGTCTCTATGTATGATTTTCAATTTTTCTTTAAGGTAATTTAGTGCTTTTACGGTCTGAAATAATTAAAAATGTTTAATTGTTTATTTAATATAATAAAAAAAATGGGCATATTATATTTTTTACCGCTACTGTTATTTTTCCTAATATACTTTCTGGTATTCGTTGATCTAACTTCTTATATATGTACTTGTAGAATTTATCCAAAGATGTATCCATGAGTTCCATACAAATCCAACAATCTCCCTAGACACAAAATATTATTATTTTTAAATATTCATTAAAAAAAAAATAAAAAAATAAAAATACTTCTTTGAAAAGAGCTCCGTAAAATTGTACAATATAGGGACATTCATTGGATTTCATCACAACATCTAAGTCCATTAATAATTGTTTTTGTTCATTTTCATCAACAGTAGACCTTATCCTCTAAAAAAAAAAAAAAATTTATAATCAAATGACAAATTATATACATAGAAATATTAATATAATATTTGATTTTAGATGAAACTATAAAATACCTTAACGGCCATTACTGTATCACTACTACGATGCAACATTTTGTTCACGGTTCCAAACCCACCTCGACCAATTTCCCCTAAATCTTGTAAGTCATCAGATGTGAAGTCATAGACCTTTAAAACAAATTAAATGTATTGGTAATAAAAAAAATGTATTAACTAGTAGTCTTTTTAACCTTATTTCCAGAAAGCTGCAATTTTCCAGTGGACTGTATAGTTTGACATATTTTGAGTCTTTCCCTAAAAAAAAAAAAAAAAAATACTAATAAAGATATGTAAATTTAATTTTGAATTATTAGTACATATTCATCATCAATCTAGTAAATGATAATGCTAGTTCAAATGGGTTTGTTATAGCTTAATATTTATTTAGTTTATTATTTATAATAACTCTAAAATAATATATTATTATATTTTAATGGCAAAAATCATTATATAAATTTAGTATTTCATTATATCCAAACATTTTAAATTAGTATACAATTTTTTTAGACTTAAGGAGATGGAAGCGATTATTTTCTGTCTTTGACACACGTGTAACATAGAAATATAGACATGTTCTAATTCCAGCATACTGAACAGTCTAGTGAAGTGAAACAAATTCTGAAAGTAGATTTGAATTATTTGTCAAGTCTTCTTGACATCAACTTTCAAATTTTTTTTTTTAAAATTAGTCCTTTTTTTATTATGACTTATTTTGAGATTCAAGAGGGATAAAATCAAAAATGTGGAAAAATGAACTTCAAGTAGACTCGACAAATAATTCAAATCTGTTTTAAAATGTTTGCTTCACTGCATCAATCGGTACATGCATTTAAATTCTTATGTTACACGTGTGTAAGACAAATACAAACAATCACTGCTTTTGATCCTCTTAACAGATTTTTTGATAATAACAAAATTAACAGAATTGAGGAATATACCAAACTGCTTTAATAGTCAACTAAAATAAATAGTTGGGTAGTCTATTGTATTTTTAAAAAGTAAAAACTAGCACAAATTTTACATTGTATTTATGGAGTAAAAATACTTATATATAACACAAATGATATGTTATTATAACCAATAGGTTATACTTGCTGTAAGCAAAACACTTTTAATTAATTTAGTTTAAAATTATCACCATATTAAAAATATTATAATAATTTAAAATTACATTTTAGATATTGAGTGTAGCAAAGAACCTATTAGTTTTACTTAGATGGTTTACAAAGATAATTTTCTCAGAATACACTTTTTTGGAAAAAAATGATCCATTATTGATTCATGTTGTACCTTAAAAGATGTGGATTTTTTTTGTTTAGTAAAAAATATTTACATAAATTTATTCGTTAAGCATTCAATCACTCAGTATTATGTAAATATAATCTTTGTTATATCAGATTTATTTAATTGTAATACATTTTTTACGTATAATATGTTCAATTAGTAATATTATCAAGGCTCGGAACTATAGACATTTTCATATTTGTTTTAAAAATACATATTTAACTATTGGTTTGATAAAATTGTTTTTTTTTTTTTTTTATATAATAATACCCATGTTAAAAAAATATAAATATATATTATATACAAATAATATATAATTTTGTTAAATTAAATTTTAAGAAAAATGATGATTTATATATTAAATGCCGAAAATTTGGAAAGATAAATTACTCTACAGTATGCAATTTTTAAACTTCATTCAAGAAGACAAAAGTTTGATATAACCTAAATAGGTAAATGACAAACACATTTAAAATAACACTTGTTCCCTTTAAATATTATATTATCAATTATTTTATATATTTTTTTTTAGTTTTTACTGTATATTATACTGCATATTTTGTTTTTTTTTTTAAATATATATATATTTCAATATTTGTAAGCATTTCATTCTGAGCCTTGATAATTATATTAGTTCTAAAATTTGTATTTAATAAGTTACATTTTAAATCTCAAGATTAGTTTCAATATGAAATGATTAGTTATAAAATAAGTAAATAAATCAAAATTAATTGAGTTAATTATTTAATTAATTTAAAATTGTATGGGCTTTATAAACAAATAATATTAGAAAAAACCTTTTATTATTTTGCTTACCGACTTACCGTAATTTAATACGTTCAACGGATCTGTATCTATATGCATAAAAAAAATACTTTTATAATAAAAATTTAATAATAAGCTTTATATTAATGTATTTTGAACAATTATTAATATTTGTGTAAATAATATTTTTTTTATTTAACATAACAATGTTTTTATGATCATTTGAATAAGTTAAAACTATCCCAATTTACCAAGGCTGCAATCCGTAAGCATAGAACTATTTTAGTTATATTATAATTATATGTATGTACATATATATATGTACTATGTGTATAGGTTTATCCTAACATGTATTTTTAAAAACAAAATCATATAAATTTGATTTGTTTAATTACATTAAAATAAAAATTTAATTATATTAACATTTGAAAATATATTGCATTTAGTTTGAAAAAAGCTATCCCAGGATAATGGAGAGAGGTGCAATCAATTTGTATCTGTAAGTAATGATAAACCATTGATTACTAAAAACGATTCTGAGCGGAGTTCAGTTGATAGTGATGCTTTGTCAACAATATATATACCATATTATGGTAAAATCGAAAAAAATGGCCCCCCTAAAGGATCTTCCCAGTCAGATTTGCTTTCAGAAAAGCAAATTTCTATCATTGTAAATTGGAGCAAAATTGCTGGTAGAAAAGTTGTTTACAGAAAAAAAAAATCATAATATTTTACGAATATATTTTGTACATTTTCCTGTTTTTTCTTTGGCTTTTCACATTTGATGAGAAAATCAAAAAATGACCTAAAGTACCACTTAACGAAAATTGTCTACATCATACATTGGAGTAATCTTTCTGGTAGAAAAAGTGTTCACATAAAAAAATACATCTTTGTAAAACCAATACATTCTTTGCTCCACTCAAAATCTAAAATGATTATTTATAAAATTAGTTGAATTAGATTCAATAACAAAATAAATATATGCCACATATGAATAGTTAAATTAAAAAATCATAATGATCATCAATTAAAATTATATATATATATATATATATATAAGTATTTACAAATATGTATAATGTATATTATATGTTAAGAAATACAGTTTTCAACTACTTTTAAATATTTAAATTTCAGATTTTTATTAATTATTTCATATAATTATAAGTCTAAATAACATATAAAAAGTAGGTCTCAGCTCATTAGTTATTGACAAGTTTAATAGCATACATTTGGTGAGAATGTACTCACTTAAATTTATCACCCAGTACATTTTTAAATTTGAATCAATCAATATTCATAAAAGAAAAGAAATTTAAAAATTTTCAATGGTTAAAATATTATTTTTACAGTTAAAATCATCCATATAAAATTAATATTGGTGTGCCTTACTCATTGTAGGTTTCATTATTAGAAAAATAATATGGTCTTGGGATATCTTAGTATGTGGTAGGTTAAAAGAACAAAAATATCACAAAAATGAACGTATAAACAAAGATAATGTTGTTATCTTACGTTTGGCAATAAGTCAATTCACTCTAATATTAAAACCAAGAGTACAAAATTAGTTCTGCTATATTCCACTCCACAAAAGAAGGAACTAGTTTTGCACATGTGACTAATAGTGTTTAATATCTCAAGGCATTATTTTCCCTACTCAAATATTTTGAGTGACAGCATACTGTTCAAATGACTGCGTGAACTTGGACAGTATTTGTTAAGCTACAAATTTCTTCTTTCATAGAATAAAATGTGTACATAAATTTAGTATGCCATTTATTTGTAAGACAGAGATTTCACAACACATTTGAGTGTAGTGTTAACAAATTTAACAAATCTGCAAAGTTATAATAATACATAAGGTATCTGTATATAATAAGTATATAATTGATATTTTTAGTTTTTCAGTATAATTATAATTCAGTAGTAGACACAATGTCATTAATACATGAGTTTTAGATAGGTATACAAAATGCGGGACAAATGTATACAATATTATCACCACAATAATATATTTATATATATATATAAAATATATAATTTAATGATAACAAACAAATTATGTAATACATATAATATAAATATAATTTAAATTGAAAACCTCATGTATTGACCCTTTTATTTTAGACATTAAAATTATAAAATTAATTACACAGAATTAACTTTTAAGTATACATTTCACAAAAAAAAGTATCTCATTTATAAAGTGTAAAATATATGTTACTTATCTAAAATGAATAAAATTAAACCAATAAATTGGCAATTTAATATTAAAAGATTGAACAAAGATACATTTTATTTGAAAAGTATGTTTATGTTATTTATGTTATTAGCTATCTAATACTATTTAACGATGAAGGCCTTAACCTATGCTTCCTTTCCAAGCTCATATCCAATAAAATTGATTCTCCTTCTCTACTCATTAATATTAATTTTAGAGTTCCTTCACATTATAACTGCTCCTTAGTTTCCTTTAATATTACTCATCTTCCTTCTACATAGCATATTGGACAAGTACTGGAATTCCAAACTACATTAAAACTATAAATTATATACTATAGTTGCATGTTTCATGGAGATTAATTTTGAGTTTATATTTATGTTTATAGACTTATACATTTAGACGGAACATACACTCTGAGCACTGAGAGGCGTGGTCAGTCTGAACGGATCTAGAGATAAACTGATATAAAGTCTAGTGCAAAATATAAAATTTTCACTTTGACGACAACCAATTAAAACACTCTATTTATTATCTCATGTGTTTCTGTCCTTGAAATGAAATTCCACCCACCGGAATGTGTTTTTATGTCTAGATGTATAAGTCTATGTTTAAATTACGCCAACAACTCTAAATTTTTTCAGGGCCCCAAAATAGTGTATTAATTAATTATTTTAAGTAACTTATATATTTCTACTTATTGCATGTTTTTCATTATATTTATATATTTAGTAATAAAATATATTCAATGTAAAAATAAGTGATTAACATACCTAGACGACTTTTCACTCATTGCTTCAGTATTAGGCAACCGTACCCTTTGTAAATTTGGTTGTTTTGGTGTCAATCCATTGCATTTACTATCTTCTTCACATCTAAACAATTATTTAAAAAATTTGATAGTTTATATGAAGTTAACATAATATTAAAACATTTTATAAACTTAAAATACATACTTTGTATTCTAAGCACAGAGAGGAATATATTAGTTTTACAATATGTGCTACATGTTTTTTTTGTTTTAGTTACAAATTGTTTTGTCCAAGTAGAAATATTTGTAAATTTTAGATGAGATCTGTTGCTGTACATAGTTCTTTTTTTTTTAAAGAAAGGGAGCCTATTATTACAGTTTTTTTTTTTTTATAAATGTTGGAAGTTCTAATTAAAATGAAAAATCTTAAAAATCACAGCATTTCAAAACATTTTACTTGAACTTCCTTAGATTTATGTTTAGTTGTTAGTAATGATATATTTTTATGTACAGAGAGAAATTAAATAATAAAGTTCATTAAATAATGTACTTTAGTTTACTAATTTTTTTTATACATATGGGTAAATCTAACATTGAAACAAATCTTATTTAATCATAAAGTGTTTTTAGAGAAAAAACAAGTTATTTAAGTTATTTAAACCAAAACTATTTTTACTTAAAAATATGAAAACAATTTCTGTCTATAGGTAGATAAGATAATAGCTTATATTATACAAAATAATTTTTAAGTAAAATTGTAATAATTTACCTTAATGATTGTAGAGTGGGTATTGGAGAATTGAATCCAAATGGGGAACCAGATGGATCTATAGCTAGTTTTAATTGTCTTTTTTTTTCTAAAAATAAATAGATATATACTAAATAAAATGAGTTCCACTAAACTAATAGGTAGTAATATAGATACCTGTTGCCACAACATCTTGGCGCATGCCTAACTGAGGAAGAGATGGTCTTGCTGTACCTAAAAACCAAATAAAATAAAAATGTTTATATAGTGATATAATGACATAGTACTTACAGACATATCTATACAAAAAATGTTTACATAACATTACTTACCAGACGACGAACTTCCATTACTGTCATTGTTAGACATTTTTCTATGAAGAGTATACTGCTAACATACATGGGAATATGTGGTGCGATTTAAAATTGTTAGTCGAATAACTAAAAATTGAAAATACTAAGCAAACAACAAAACCGACTTTTTGCCAATGCTTCTAATACTATAAGTGAACACGACAGGAAAATATTGCAGACATTAACTGATAAAAAAAAAATAGTAGATAATATATTGAAATTTAGTGGATTCTTAAAATATCTTATTTGGCCACACTGAAATCGACATATTTCTTTATCACAATTTGACGTACACATTTATATTTAATAGATAACAATATAACATGTTATAAATTATAAAGATAATTATAAAATTTTTTATAACATTATTATTCAATAAAAAGTTAATTAAGTTCATTGGTTTTCTCTCAAATTTTTGAAATAATCTCATAATTAATATGTCGATTTGTTTATAACATTAAATAACTATGCATATGGATCCTAATTTTGTAAATATTTTGTTAATAATGTAAACATTACCTTTTTGATAATTGTAAAAGATGAATAGTAGTGTAAGTAGTTATTTTGATGTTATATATTAGAAGAAATTCATCAACCTTTCTTAAATTTAATTTTTAGATAGTGCTCAATTTAAATGATGTAAAAAGTTCAGACCATAACACAAAAATGTTGAAAGAACTCCGTCAATCTTTGAGTTCATCTCAAGCGTATCGCATTTCAAATTCCACTATACGCTTTCAAACACATTTTGTTATTCTAGTTTCATTAATTGGTATTCTCTTCTTAGTAGTTTTGTATAATATAACATATACAGCGCCAAAACTTGTTAGTTATGGATTTAATCGGCCATCTGATCAATTTGTGTATAAATTAAACACCAAATCAAACTATCCATTGTCTTCACCAATTCATATTGAAAATGTGGGTATAAAGTACCGTATTGCAATTGTTAGTGACTTAGACAAAGCTTCTAAAAGTCAGACTGAGAAAAACATGTGGTACAGTTACTATAAAAAGGGATATCTTACTTGGTTCTCCAGTAGCAATTCTATAGAACTACTCTGGGATGACAACGAGCCTAAAATATTGAAATCTTCTATATCTATGGGTGGTCGAGGAATGGAACTTTCAGAATTGGTCACATTCAATGGCAAAATTTATTCGTTTGATGATCGAACTGGTATAGTTTATAGTATTGGTAAAGATGACACCGTTTTACCTTGGATTATACTTATGGATGGCAATGGAACTGATTTTAAAGGTGAAATTTGTATTTCATATTACCTATTTGTTGTGTTCATATAAATATTTGTTTAATATTCATATAGGTTCACACTTCTTCCTACTACTTGTGCTATTTGTGTATCTATTCATATGAAATGGTTAATATATATATATTCAAATATATATTGCAATAGGTTTTTTTTTTATAAATTTGTCTTTTTAATAGCCTGAGCTATTATTAAGTAAATAAGTAGATTAAGGTAGAATATATCTTTGAAAACAACTCTGTAGCAGAAAAAGAATAATTTATTTGTTATGATATAACAATCTATAAACAAAAATAAGAACATTATTCTTTAGGGGGTATTTCCCATACTTCTAAAAGTAGGACAACAGTAGACTTCTAAAAATTAATAATTATATTGCATTCCATAGTCCTAGTATGTATATAAGAAAATATTTTGGGGGGAGGGGAGCGAATCCCTCCATTGTATACGTGTCTGCTATAATAATCTAGCTAACATTGTTTTTTCAGGATTTAAAAGCGAATGGGCAACTATACATAACTCAGATTTATATATAGGTAGCATGGGTAAAGAATGGACCACATCATCAGGAGAATTTGTTAATTATAATCCAATGTGGGTAAAAGTAATAAATAAATTTGGTCATGTTACTCATGTTAATTGGACAGACAACTATATTGCCATTCGTAAAGCAGTAAATATACAATTTCCTGGATACATGATACACGAGTCGTGTGCATGGAGTCAAATACATAAACGATGGTTCTTTTTACCGCGTAGAAGTTCAAATAAACGGTATGATGAAAATACCGACGAGTATATGGCTACAAATATATTAATATCAGCTGATGGTAACTTTAACAATATAAAGGTAATTTATTATAATGATATAGTGTTTACGAGTGTATAATATAATCATATTTTAATACAATTTTATTTGTTAAATAGGTGGTACATATTGGTAAAATAGTACCTACCCATGGATATTCTAGTTTTAAATTCCTACCCGGCACAAATGATAAAATTATTGTAGCACTCAAGTCTGAAGAAGTTGGATCTATAACTGCTAGTTACATTACAGCATTTAAAATCGATGGAACAATTATACTGCCAGAAATTAAAGTAGCCAATCATAAATATGAAGGAATAGAATTTATATGACCCATATCAAAATGTTGTGATTTAAATTATTTTCAATAACTTGTTTTTAGTTTATGATATAAACATTTATTATTGCATAATATTACTTATAAAGACTGTTTAAGTTTTTCTATAAATAATAAAAGTTCTTCTTTAGAAAATTCCCAAAAAACCTTTTTAAAAAATTCAGGATTTTCCATGTTTGTTGACCTAGGTCCTTCCTTCAAATGTAATACAACTTGTAGTAACGGTTCTTCAAGTTTGCTTAATGAACTGCTCCCCATTATATACTAAAAAGAAAATTTTTAAATATTTATTGCTCAAATAGATAAATAATTATTTTAAGTACCTACCTAAATTATAACTTCAATTTAATAAAATTTGTATAATATTATACAATTCTATAATTTTATTTCTTACAAATCTACAAATAATTTAATAAGATAAATTAAACCTTATTAACTATAGTACTATATGACAGGTAAAATAAAGTAGTGTATTAGTTACTAAAAAATCAAATATAAAGTTTGTAGGTAAACTAACATGAAACTACAATTATTTTTAATATTTAAGGAATATTAAAGGTTTTCTTAATAAGGAGAAAAAAAATACACTGAGGTCATTAAATGTAAATTCTCATAAATATAATTACTATATTTTTTTATTTTAATAAAAAAAAAAAATTAGAGCAATATTTACATTAGATGTAATAAAACAACGGAAAAATAATTGAATGTACATTTATCTAAAATCTTTGCTCAATTCAATTTCAGCTTTAGGTATTAAACTAATTAATTCATCGACATTCGTTTTGAAATCATCATCAGCCCAATATTCAATAAGTTTTCTCATAATAAGTCCAACTTTCTTTCCAGTCACACCGTGATTTTTGATTATGTTACCTGTAATAGGAAACTTTAATGGTGTCCATTGTTTAAATTCTTCAAGAATTATTCTTTCATTGTTATACATCAATAACTGTGCAATATAGGTTTTCAAAGCATCTTGTTTGGTAGGATTTTGTATAATTTTGATTTTATATTTTTTCACTCTATCTAAAGTCCATTTTTCATGTCTAGACTCAATTAAAAACAGCCCTAAGTCTCTATCAAATACGCGAAACTTCAATCTATTATTAAATTCAATCATATCTTGTGAATCTTTTAAGAATGCTATTAACATTGTAATTGGATTTAATTTTAAACCCTTGCTTCGATTAATAATATTGTCAAACTCATCCACATTAGGTTGTTCAGGAAGACCAATATATGAACCAAGACCTAAATTTAAAATGGTTTTCATAAGTTCTGGGCCAAAAGTCCCTTCCAAAATTTTACTGAGTTCAGACCAAATCCGTTCTCCAGATATTTGTTTTAGTCCACTACCTTTTTCTCGTATTGATTCAAGTATATATTCATCATGAAGATCAGGTGCACTAGCTAAACGGCCATAAAATCTAAAATACCGTAGAATTCTTAAATAATCCTCAGATATACGTTGTTTAGCATCGCCAACAAATCGTATTTGACGTTTCTTCAAGTCTTCATATCCATTAAAATAATCATATACAGTGCCATCCATCCCCAAGAACATGGAATTAACCGTTAAATCTCGACGACCAGCATCTAATTTCCAATCTTTAGTGAATTCAACATCGGCATGACGGCCATCGGTGACAACATCGATTCTCAGTGTAGTAATTTCGAAGTTAACGCCATCAACATGAGAAGTTACAGTTCCATGTTTCAACCCACCTTTATTGACTAGTCTAATATTTTCTTTTTCTAATATTTCTACCATTTCGTCAGGAGTAGCTGTAGTAGCAAAATCCAGATCAGTAGGTGTTTTACCCAAAAGTATATCGCGCACTGCTCCTCCGCATAATCTGACTTCGTATTTGTATTTGTCGAATATATTTAACACCGTGGTAAGTTGAGGAGAGAATATAAAACTATACTGTGAATGTTCGAGTTTCATGATTTCAGGTATTAATCGGGGTTTTAGATTATAATTAACGATGGGATTTACAAAACTAACAGAACGAAAGATATATTGGCGTATTAGAAATCTTTGAAATAAAACCATCATTTGAACAGGAAATGTTTTTAAAAAAATTGCTCATTTTACAATCAACAAAAAAAATCAATAGTTTACCTTCAATTTCCAGTCAAAATCTACTAAGTGCTTATCCAAGTTTTCCATTGCAAAGTTGCAAAGTTAGTTTGTTTTGACCACTGAGTAACAGACACAAATTAATCGTGAAAAAAATTAAATTTTCATAAATTTATCTATGTTTGGATTTTGTATTTCCATATTTGATAATATTATGTTTACATTTAAGATATAGCTTTGTGGATTTAACTTTTTCGAAAGTAGTCAACACTGATCTGATTTTCTAGGTTATAATACTGAATAATAATCGATATTTTTATTATTTATGGAAAATATTAATTAATTGAAGAAAAAGCATGTAACTAATTTATATTTTACTCAAAATAAAATATAAATTGTTTTTATTTAAAAATTTATAATCATATTATATATAATACATTATAATACATTTATAAATAATAAAATAAAATATTTAAAACATCTACTAGTATCGATATCTTATCATACATACGAATGTTCCGATTGTTTTTGATATCACTAAATACGCGTTGCAATTTGTTTTCTTTCCGTCGTTGAACATTTCAGAATATATACTGTTCAAGTCTAAGTGACATATCATTTTTTTTTTCATAACTTATTCGCCAAATTCATCATGGTAAGTATCATTTTATGCAATATAATTAAGTTGCTTTAATTTAATACCTATAATATTACAATCATTGTTCTCTTTAGTCATTGTACTGCATTTTTCTAACCTCCATCCCTTTCTTGCCACATGGTTCATGTTCCAAATCCAAACAACGTTACTCGTTGGTATCTGTTACGAAGAGACTAAATATTTTTTACATTTATACAATATTCCATCAATACTAACTATAATGATTATTCAAATATTGTGGTTAGTGGTCTGACATTTTATTCCTACCTATGGTTAAAATTAATATTGATTTTATCTGAGAATTCTGTAAAATTCAATACTTTAGATGTTATTAGTTTAATTTCAATTAAAATAGTGTCAATTATACAATATTCACTATGATTTGTTATAAATATTATTTTCTTAATTTTTAAACTACTACTAAGCAATTAGTATCTAGCTGTAATTTCTAAGTGGTTAAAAAAGAAAAAACTTAATATTGAATTTAATGATGAATCTTATGTTCTGATCATTTTAATGAATGAATATTAAGGGACGTAATTCTGAAAAAGTACAATGTTAAAATAAATTTAATTTAATGATGAATCTTATGTTCTGATCTTTTTAATGAATGGCTATTAAGGGACGTAATTCTGAAAAAAAAAAAATTGGTTATCTATTTTAAAATTTATTTTGTGTTCTAGTATCAGGATTTAAAATTAAATAACTTTCAAGTAATCTATTATATCGGCTGTTTTTAGCAAAAATGTGTAGATATATATTTAATTTTTTAAAATTGGGTAATGGTTTAACATTTTTTATTTTGTAGCCCCAAGAAATCAAAGAAATCAAAGATTTTCTGCTGAAGGCCAGAAGGAAGGATGCTAAATGTAATTATTTGTTTTATATTCTATACAATTTATATGTTATATTTATGCACTTATTTAATCTAAACTTTAAAATATATTTAAATATATTACACAGTATATTTTGAACTTTTGAATAGTAAAAACAATTTGTTTAAGTAAGAAAGTGACGAATAATAAAATCTTTATTTCATCATTTTAAAGTTTTATTTTTCAATATTATTACCTATTTATTTTTAAATTAAACCAGATTCCTTGTTAAAAATTCTATTAATTAACTAATTTTTTGTTTGAATGTATAGCTGTCAAGATCAAGAAGAACATTGAAAATGTCAAATTCAAGGTTCGTTGTTCTCGATTCCTTTACACCTTAGTCATCACAGACAAAGAAAAGGCAGAGAAACTTAAACAATCACTACCGCCTGGTAAGAAATTAAAATCAATTTTAAATTTGACTGGTTCAAAAATTGATTAAATTTTTTATATTATAGGTCTTCAAGTAAAGGAGATTAAATGTAAAAAAATGAATGTCGATGATAAAGAGAAAAAATGATAAGGTTGCTGTGAATATACATTATAAAATATAATTAAACTTATTTACATGTAAATTGTGTTTTCATTTTTGTCAAATTGCTACCTGAAACTCAAGTATCCCCTACAAAATTAAAAGATACAATTTACTTGTTATATCTAATTTAATTGTTCTAATAATCTATAATAATTGAAATAAGACTAAGTGATGTATAAACTAATTTATATGACTGATTTGAAATTCTAAACCCATGCAGATCTTGGATTATGATTTTAAATTTAAATTTCTGTATCGGTATGTTTCTATTCACACTTGAATTTTGGACTTTCTTTTCTTGTTTATTTCTCTTTTGTTCATAGAAAAATAAATGTGTCAGTTATCACGGCCAACCTCTATGTAATAACCTATTAAGTATTAATTTGACTTTCTTAGGCCTGGAACAATTTTAACTAAATTTGGCACACATATTATGAATTATGATATAGCAAAAATACTATAGAATTAAAATTTTAATTATATAACTAATCAAATCTTAAAGGATAATCTATATATTATGATGTATTACCAAATCTGCAGACTAAAGTATCTTAAAAAAAAAAATAACTACAAGTTGTACATTTTCTTATTATTTTGCATTCTTGCGTATGGCTTTGGTATGAAGATATTAAATTATTCTTTTAAAAAATTAAAATATTATACTTTCACATGTTAAATTGAATTTACTAATATTCATGAAAATGTATTTTTTGATTATCTACTCTTCAAAAAATTACAATATTAAATTTGATAAGATGTTTTAGATGGTCTAAGCTTTACTCGGAGGTGTATACTATTTTCCATTATTATAGAGATTTTTGTTTTTTATATTTTCCCAGTTTTCCATATTGATTTTACGTTTTTGTCCAATAATTAGATGGTCAACATCACTACTGGATAAATTAATATTATTTGTACTTGCCATCATGTAAAAATAATATATTGTTTTATAGTAAAAATATATATAATCGCGATGTCAGTACATTGTACTCATACATAGTATGTTTTAATTATCAACAAATCGCCGGTTACTAAGTTTTTACACAATGATTATGTACGATAAGAGTATTCTGGAATTTATCTGAAATATAATGAGTTAGGTTCATAGTATATTATTCCACAAATAAATGAAATGGGAAAAATTGTTACATATTATGTTATTCCAGCCAACCCTACAATTATTGAATAAAAGGAAGTTCTCTGTTTAGTGTTATTTAAAGCTGCTGTATAAATTAAACAAAATTTAAAATTAATTTACAATTATCATTTGTACAACTTACAGAATTGTCCATTGAAACTATACATTATTATACAAATTAACTCCAAATAAAATCTGAATCTAAATCATTTTATATCATTAAATAATAGATGCTGTGCTTACATTTAATTCATGAGATCATTATTGATTATGTATTATTTCTGAGTAAAATATATTTATTAAATTAAAGTGTCTATTGTTCAAGAGGTTTAAATTATAATGTATCTAGTATCTACTTGTACTACTACATTTGGATAGAACATATCTAAAGGAAAACCATAACTTTAGAAACATCTTAAAATACATTATTATTAAATATTTACTAAGTAAATAACAATATTTTTTTTGCTCCGAGGATTAAGTCTAGAAGTGGCAGCCTGGCCTAATGAAAGTAACGGTATTTAAATTATATCAATTCCATAGAAAATGTAACAAGAAATTATTAAACCAACAAAAACCATAATTTTTATTTTTAACTGAAAGTTTTTCCTGAAATTTATTTTATAAGAAGCAATTTTTCTCAAGCGACTAACAGTACCAGTTGCTCATGATTAATTAGTTACTTTCATTGTGCCGGTGGGATTTCCATGATAATATAACCCATATTTTATAAAACTATTATTATGCAATATTTATTTAAAATCTCATTGCTTTAGTATGACAAGGGCCTAACTAATGACCACACTTAGATCAAGTCACAATCTGCTGTTTGTCTTTCTAACAAGTGATATAGCAACAATTTATTTTTGGATTTCCAATATTACTCTGGTTCTAATAGACTTATGACTAACATTATTTCACCGAATTAAAGATAACATTTAATATGTTTTCAGTGATATTTCAGTGATTATTTCCAATTCACTAATCTATGTGTACTTGAACATTTTAAAGAAATTTGAATATTTGTTTTTTATCATAACATAAAACTTAATAATGAAAATAAAAAAAAAATATTTCTGTGAAAATGTAGTAATTTGATAGTCTTTAATTGGTAAAATAACTTTAGTGTCAAATTAATTGGCCAAAGGACAATTAAAACTGAAAACACAATTTTGCCTGTTAATAATACAGGTTAGGTAGTGAGGTAGAATATTTTACTGTAGGGTCCTAAAACTTAGTTGGTAGATACTTGTAGGGGACAACTTATAGTTTATTACAAGTATTAACAATTTGTACGTATAAATTATAGTAATAAAATATATTATTCAAACACAACAAATAACAAATGTATATTAAACCAAAAACAATTAACATACAAATTATAAGTGTGCTTAAATTTAATCAATTCACAAGTGAAGTATTATAATATTTTTTTTTATATAAATAACATAAAACATAATCAATTATTTAATTAACCTATAGAATGATAGTATCCAATGGCAGTCATTCATATATACATTAAATAATTAAAAAACATTAAGATTAACATTATTTACAAAAGCATTTTTTTTTTTTTTTTTTAATGTATATATATATATTTATATATTAAATAATTCAATTTAAAAAAAAAGTAAATACTTATTTAATACATTTACTATTGTTGAGTTAAAATTACAATAGCCTTTTTGATGGTAAAAAAAGCATAGACAAAAAGTAGAATAAATAAATAAAAGTAATTTCAAATTTAAAATTCTTATAAATAATTGTGAATGATCATTTAAAAAAAGTATAATTAAATTTGTATTGCTCCTAATTAATATACCTATGTAAAAAATGGCTTTGCTTATTAATCAAATACATTTATAATTATTTAGCAGAATTAATGATTTTTGGATCAATTTTAACATACAATTTTTCTTTAGAAAATAGTTTCATACCTAATTGTAACTTATCCAATTCTTTTTCTAAATGTTTACGTTTCTCTTTTATTTTGTATGAATCTGAACTCACAGGTAACATATTCAATTCCAAAATCAGATGACTATAATCTGAAATATATTATACAAACACGTAATATATTTAGAATATAATTATTAATTACAATAATATATTTATAGTGTAACAACTTGCCTTTTTTTATTTTAGCAAGATGGTCTAAACGCTCAAATGTTGGTAATAATATATGGCCAGGGGGACATGCTGGATCATCGAGACCCAATTCGTGACGAATTGCTAATTTTTTTTGCTCTTCCTTTTCATTCTTTTCTTTTAATATTTTCCGATTTTTCAGGTATCTATTAAGAAATAATTATTACAGAAAAACAAAAATAATGTTTTGTATTAAAATTTTTTATTTTTTTTACACATAGTAAACACGGATAATATATAATTAAATTATAAGTTTAAAGAAAACTTGTCAACCAATTGTTTCATAATTAATTTCTATTGTATGTAATAAAAAATAATAAATTCTTAATGGGCATACTTTGGTATTTCTCCAGGCTGATGGTAGCTTATTGCATTTTCTTTAAGTTCTACTAAATTTGGTTGCTTTTTATTTGAATTTTCATCACTTTGTATAGATTTTAAAGTGTCTTTAGATCTAACAATAGAATATTCAGATTCAGAACTATCAGTTTGTATAGCAATAGTATTTGTAATCTTAGTCGGAATAATTTGATTGAAATATAAATTTTCTAATTTTGGATATCTTATGATACTATCTTTAAGAATACTTTCTTCATTGTATGGATTTATTGTTTGTGTACCTATAATAAAATAAATTTGTTACAATTTACTTTTTAATATAAAGATTGTAATTTATTAATATTTATAAAAAAAATCGACATTGAAAAATAACAGTATAAAACAAATCTTAAAAGATAATGTTTTTTTTTTAGCTGACAATAAAATGGCCTTCTATGTATAAAATAATATTTAATTTCAGAAATATTAAGCTCAAAAATCATTATTGTAAGTTACACAATAAATAAAAACATGTGAAAGTATTATGAATTAAATAGAAAATACTACCTTGATCTCTAAAAGCCAACGATACTTTGCAATGACTTGTGGTATTTAATTTTTCTTGGGTAATTTTAGTTTGAGCAAGTGCAGATCGAATTGATTTGATACTAGCATCAATCTTATCTAAATGTACAGATTTTGACTGCTTTTTGGAGTTTTCAGGAATTGAGCTGTTATTTGTTATGCGTCTTAATTTGAGTCCCTTTAAAAATATAAAAATTACAGTTGTTGTGACCTAATTCTGCTTATAAAAGAAAATACACAGATTTCGTTATTACAATATATAATAATGCATATAATTCAATTAATTATATAATTTTTAGTTACCTAATAATATAAAATAAAATGCATCTTGATATATATTTTTAATACCTACCTATTACTTAAACAACATTTTCAACATTCAAAATTAATACTGCATTAAATTCTAAAATATTTTAGATTCTGAGCGAAGTAAAAAATATTGGTTTTATAATGATGTTTTATTTTTTTTCTGTAAACAACTCTTCTCTCAGAAAGTTTGCTCTGATTTTCAAATGAATCACTTTTTTTGAAAGTAAATTTGACTGAGGTGGTACCATACAATGATGAGCATATTATTATCTCAATGGTTTTTTCAAATCTTAAATTTGTTATGGTCTTTCAAAACATGTATAAATGAATTGTGTTCAGTATCGTTTTTTGTTAGCAATGGTTAATTGTTACGTACAGATATACGTTAAATTTTCCCTCTACTTTCCCAACATTTTACCTACAACAGTGGCCCACCCACCGTGGGAAATATGTCAGTTTATTTTTTGATTTATATTTTTCCGAAAATGCACACATTGTAAATTAATTATGATTACAGTTTAATTTAAATTAGATACAAATAATAAAAATTTTCAAATTATCTATAAAATAATAATATTTTTAAAAATATAAAAACTTTTTTGGAATCATGTCTAAAATTTTGCATTTTTCTTATTTATTTCACCATTACTTTTGAGTGTACATTTATTTTTACTCACTTATAATAATATATTTTTTTCTAATTTCTATTTTGTATTACAATACTATTCTGACTACATTGTGAAATTAGGTAAATATAAATCCTATAAACAGTAAATGATCAAACACAATGACTAGTATGTTGCCAGGATACGAATATAAACAAATATAATAGATAGCCAACTAGAATATTATATTCTAGTCACAAATGTCTAATTAAATCTATTACATTAATAAAAGAATAAAATAAACAATTCTTCAATCAATTACCCCTACCAAGGTAAAAATATCATTTTTAATAAATTATATTAGTTTACATTATTATTATTTGTACCCATAGATAGGTAATCTGTTTTTTTATAAATATTTTAGTGAGTTATAAAATCTAGTAAATTTATAAATAAATTATCATATATAGTCTCAAATAGAATACTTAGTACAAGGGTTACCATACATTTGGATTTCAAACACCTGTCCATAATTGGGAAACAAAAGTAAACAAAAAACAAGGCTATATCAGTCCAAAAGTTATATTATGTATCAGATCTATGTGTTACACTCTGTATAAATATAAATGTATAATTTGTAATTTCTATTTTTGTTCATATTTTTCCGAGGACTTCATCCATTATTATTATTGTTGCCATTAAATAAATGATTATAATGTATTATTAAATGCAATCTTACTAATATTATTTCTATTTGTGTGAAAATTTGTTCACGTCATGAACAGTGGTGCACAGTACATTTTTCACAAGGGTATCGGAAATATAAATATCTAGTTACCCACTCACCTCAACCAGTCAAATGTAAGTTAAGGCATCATAAAAATCAATAACAAATTAATACTATTAATATTAAACAAATATACATACAAATAATATCTAAATTCACCTGGCACCAGGCGGCATTCACCAATTTTCTGAGGGGTGTTAGTTGACACCATAGACCCCCTCCCCCCGATGTGCGCCACTGATCATGTAATACTTAGCTCTAGATGACTTGAAAGTTTCTCTGAAGAAAATGACCATATCATTTATTTTCAAACTAGTGCCCGGATTTGGTCTAAAGACATCATGGTAACCCTACCTAGTATTCATATTTAGATGTTCATTCTACACTTATTTATTGTTGCTAAACAAATGATAAATCATTTTTAATATTAGTTAATAATCTAAGATAAGTACTCATTATTTAAATATATACTAAACATATAATCAAAAATAGTGATGATATTATACCTCGTTATTTTTTGACAGTTGAGTAGTTTTTGTTAGTTTAGTAACATACTTCCGATTTTCTAAAATAAAATTCTTTTTGGGCTTGGTTCCACCAACTCCTGTAATAATTAAAAATGAGGAAGAATTATCTATTTATTAAATTGTATGAATGAATCGTTATAGAATTTACTATATTGAATCGGAAAATAATCTCTAATTGAACTCATCGTTTTCGACCGCTTTTGTCCTTCGTTCTGTTAATCTATTGAAAAATGTAAAAACTATAATAGGAATATTAACTTAATTTTCTCAATAAATTGTTGATTGTTATTACATAGTCAATATCACTATAATATCCGTATTCTACTATTCAATATTGATCCGTTAAAATTAATTTTAAAAATTCATCAAACTACGTTTATATTGTAAAGATATCAATATCTCTAATTCATTGTTGTGTTATCATGGTCAAATTCCAAAGAAATTATAACTCCATAATGTAACCGGCAAAATTAATTTTAAAAAATCTCGTTTAACTTGTTATCGATGTACAATATTAATGAATAATATTTTCGTATTTGTGTAATATGTATAAACTATTATTATGTGTGCGTTATTAATTTATTACAGATCTAGATAAGATCTGAACAAAAACCTGTGAGTGACTTTATATAAAAACCTCGGTGTCACATGCAATTTATTAAGATAAACACTAAACACTGGCTTATAAGCTGTTGATATTTCCATAACGGTTTGATGGACTAGTCCCATTTTTACATAACATATTCAAGGTGAATAAATATAAATCCGATAATTATTCAATTTTGTCAGAAATTTGACATGTCCTCTTTCTACAATTAATGAGTCATATATATGATATATCATATTTACATAAAATAATAATATAATAACGAAAAAGTAACTCATAATATATCGTTGAAATTTGTATACTACTAGGAACACCTTCAGTAATACAGTCCGATACAGTGCCGTAGCTAGGGGGCACTAGGGGTACGTCCCCCCCTCTCTAAATCTTTTTTGTTTGCAGTACTGCAGAGCAATTTCTAATGACTTTAATATTATAAACTTTGTCAGAGAATCTTGATAAACTTTTAATGTGGATTATCTCGTCAACGGATTGACGGAAATAAAAAATGCAAACACTCAAATGTTTTTAAACTAAATGTTTAAATGTATTTGTGGATCCTATCGTGAGTAATATTTAAGCGTTTCAGTTTCATCCAGACATGGACAATATTTCTATTTGTGGGTTCGCAGACGATACTATAATAATAGGTAAAAATATGGAAAACGCAGCAGCTCTAGTCGATATGGTGGTCGATAATCACAGTTGCCACACGGTAATTCCTTATCGCAACAGTGGTTTATTGAATAGGTATTAATTGTTTTCACACTTAATTTCTAGAAATTAAAACGGTTATTATTAAGAAACTATTCATCGAATATGAATGTGTGATACATTAAAATTTTTAGAATGATCTCTTTTACAAAATGGCTATTTTGAAAATTTTGTAAAGTGAATAATTAAAAAATTATTTTTTTGCGTGTTTAGGGAATGAAAATAAAAAATTTAATTTCTTTTCAAATCGATGTCTTCCTCGAAAACAAACCAATTGATAAAAAAAAAAAAATTGAATATTAATAGCTCTAGAAAACTCCGTCGAACATGGTGGGACACACTGTATATATTGTTAACAAAGCAACACCATCAATTGAACTTCGCTCAGAATCATTTTTCGTTAGCAATGGTTTATCGTTACCTACAGATATACATTAAATTTCCGTCTGTATCTTACTTTTCCAACTTCCCATCTACAAAAGTGGCTGCACTCATATTTATCAATACAAGAATGTTGGCGAGGTTGGTTGGTCAAACAAATTTTATACTCGTCATAGTGCATTTTTTATAGTTCGGTGCCATATGCCTAGTTGAATGTGACACCGGACATGCCATCGTATATTTATACTTATTTATATTTATATTTGTTAGAAGTATTATAATTTAATACATTTATTATATTGTCCGACAGTTTGCGTATCCTTATCCCTTATCCATACCGGTGATACGGCGAACAGTCGCATTTATTTGCAAGTCCACCAGCTCAAAGTTAACGAATTGTTTATTTATTTCATTTTTGGTTCACATAAGAAGGGGTGCCCAATATCAAATCAGTGCCAAAAGCAGTGACGATCAATAATGAACCGTCGCCGTCGCCGAAAATCGGTATTTTGTGAAACACTATTGCTACTGTGCATAAGAAAGTACTGAGAATAAAGAATCGTTGAAGATTAACGTACCACCGAAAAAGCCGATGAAGGTAATGAAGAGCGCGGTGGCGTCGGTGAAGACGTCCTCCTTGTCCGTCGTTATGAAACGTTTTGCTCAGCCTTCGGCCACCAAACTCCGTGATGATCCTTCGGAAAACAGACGTGACGTGCAAAAATTAAATTAGCTGGTTAGGTAAGGTTTTAGATAGTATGTAAATTGATGTCAGATAATATAAAATAAATAAAAATTGTGTTATTGGCGTAGCGCCGAATTGATCAGTTACCAAAATGGACGTCGTCGAATTGACATTTCGTCGAATCACTTGCGCCGTACCGTTCTAAATCCGTTCTTCTCAGTTTGCAGTTTCCAATCTCTCTAGGTCTTGTATGCCATTTATCCAACGCTTCTTCGGTCTCTCTGTCGGCCTCTTCTGTTTGCCGTTCCATAATTTTGCTCTACCTTAATTACGTGTTTTACGTATCTGAACCGTTTTAGTCTTAGTCATTTCACGTAACTTGTTATTACGGGTATTTTTGTCATTTCCTTTATCTTTTCGTCTCGTCGTCGTAAATAAAATTCAATTGGCAAATATTTAGATTGGAATAAATTTGGATTCAAGAATTTTTAAATATTCGATTAAAATTATTTAATTATTTATGAATCGATCATATAAACTTATTAAAATGTAATGAAATATTTTTATTATTAACTAGAGTGTGGTTCTAAATGATAATCCGATTTTAGATAAATGTATGCGTTATTGTTCGTACTACCGCCGAATTTTTAAGTGTCAATCAAAAGTGTACAGTTCTGAACGGTCGACCCTTTAAGAATACTTACTAAACAATAAAAAAAACTAAAAAGTGTGCAGGAAATGACTAATGGAAAATGTGAAGTTATTAACGACACTCAGGTATGCTAACCTGCAGTTATGTTTATTGAGCCATTGAATTTGAAATTTTTTGGTATGATCTATTCGTAAACATAATCAAAAATGTAACAAAATAATACATACTTCGCACGATGGGTGAGCTACTGTTGTAGGTGAGAATTTGAGATGTAGAGGATAAATTTAATGTATATCTGTACGGAACGATCAACCATAGCTAACGAAAAAACGATTCTGAGTGGAGTTCGGTTAATAGTATTGCTTTCAAATTTTGATATTAAAATTATTTATAAAAAAAAATTCTATATTGCACTCAATTTTAGACTCTGAGTGGACCTAAAAAGCTTATGGTTTTACTAAGATATTTATTTTTTTTATCTGTGGACAACTTTTTTATCAGAAATATTGTTCCGATTTACTATGATAACAATTTTTCTGAAAGAAAATCGGACTGGTGAGGTACTTTAAAGAGGTCATTTTTCCATTTTTCTAGAAGTTTTCCCAACAAATTAGAAAAATGCCACTATGCAAGTAAAATTACCAATACTACACATTCACTTGAATTTTCTTATCATATTCTTTTATTTCATTCAATACGTTTGTAATAGTTATAAACTCAAAGAATTTGTTATATATAAACTTTTTATCTCGAAATTTAATAATTTAATATAATTAGATAGGTATGTTAAGTTCATAAAACAATGAAACTACTTTCTTAGACTATTATTCAATTTACCACGGGCATGGGAAGTCATGATCAAATTTAATCAAAATTGATTTTTATAATCGAGGAAAAAGTGAGGGAATGTTAGCTACGTTAAAATTATCGATAATTTTTCTTTTTTTCAAAAAATAAGAGGATTTAGGAAAAAAAACCAAAAGCTATAGCTGTTGCAGAGTGTAAATTTCGTCCTTCGTTTAATGGTAATACAATGATTGTATTATTATTGTATTGCACGCTCGACGTAGTCGATTCGGTGAGGTTTGTGCGCACTGACGTATAGAATGGCGCACTGATATGTGCGGGGACTAAATATATAATAACAAAAAATATTCCAGCAGCGCTAAAACATACCACGGACATTTATCATATTATATTAATATAATATTCGGTGTAGATACTGCATATAAACTGGCGATAATATAGACAATAGTACGGTTATAGCGAGGGAGAACGGAATAACTTTTAATAAAATACGTTCTATTGTTAGCGGTCTTTCGGTTCATCGAGCACCGCGGAGGGCGTCGTAAAAATAATATAAACGGCTTGTGTGTGCGAGCGTTATAATAACTGATATTACTGAATTTCTACTATTCCTCTCCTATTGTATAGTATACAATACTGTATGGGATTATGGGAGCCGATACGCATTAAGTGCATTACCGAGCGAATCGGAAATGAAAAACCGCATTATAATATACGTAGTTATAATATTTTACTGACACTAGCCACGATATTTCGGTTCAGATTTTTTATGAAATGTGCGAGCGCTCGTTTATTAGGTATGTACCACGATATAGGTAGGCTCAGTGGCACATCCAGGGTCTTTCAAACGGGAAGTGGTTTTCAAATGGATTGGACCAGTGTTTCTTAAACTGTGTTCCACGGAACCCTAGGGTTCCTAAATCATTTAAGGGCGAAATTTTTTTTTTTTTTTAGAACACCATTTCGAATTAAAATATCGATTACTCGGTGAATTTGGCCACTTAAAATTACTTACATAAAGGTGGCCACACAGTACGGTTTTATTTGTCCGTGTACGGTGTACGGTGTAGTTCGAACAACGTTCTCCGATAGTGTGTGGGCAATAAAACGGATGAAAAACACCGTACATGGAAACGGAATGATATCAAATGAGTTTGATTTTCTGTCCATGTTCGGTGTTCGAAATGAATAAAACCGAAGGTGTGTGTCCACATGCGTTGTTCGAACTAAAACCGTACAGTTTTAAAAACTGAAACACAACAAAATCTCATTTTAATTTAAATTTTAAATTTAATTGAATGCAACTAAGTATATATATATATAATTATAAATATAACTAAATAAATAAATGTAAACAATTATAATGGAATTTAGCCTAGAGTATTATTGATTAGAATATTTTCATATTGCCATATCGTTAACATATCTAAAATATGCTTTGATATATGGATTATAAATTTCGTTGTTGATAATATTATTGGTTTCAAATAAACTTGACGGCATAATATGCAGAACTGTGTACCATATATTCTAACCTAACACCTTTAACTAGGTAACTAGAATGTTGCGATCTTTAGAAAAACTGAGAAAAAATAAATATAGTGTGTGGTCGATTTCGTTGTTCGGTGATTGTTTTTAAAAAACGGTCCGTTTTGTTCGAACACCGTACAACGATACAAAATGGATAGTGTGTGTCGTTCATCGGTGTACGAACTATAAATGTTCGAACTACACCGTACACCGTATACGGACAAATAAAACCGTAGTGTGGGCCACCTTAAGAGATATTTTTACAAAGATTAATGAACTTGATTTCACCCTTCAGGACAAACAAGTATATGTATTTACTCTTTACCAACAAATTCTTGCTTTCAAGAAAATGTTGTTTTTGAAAATTTGAATTCGTTCCAACGAGTTTGATTTTTTCTAACAATAAAAGGCTTTTTAGAAGAGGAAATGGTTGAAATAGAAGAGATATTTACTGAAGAAATTATTATTCGGCACCTGAATGGTTTGAATGAAGCTTTTAATCAGTCCAAATCAACTAAATTAATCCAAATTTACAATACGTTAAATATCAAAATGAAAATTGTGGATTAAAAACACCTTTATTGTCAATAAGTGACCTTCGACTATGCCAATAAAAAAAATATTATTAAAGTTCTATTGAAATGACATCTGATTCATCATTGCAAGAGAAATTTAAGCTAATGAGAATTTTGGTGTAGCTTAAAATCTGAATATTCAGTTTTTCAACAGTCTATTATAGGCCACGCTAACACTTTTACCATTTGCAACCACTTATACGTGTGAAACAGAGTTCTTAATTTATGTATCGATAATAACGAAATACTGCAACAAACTTGATGTCGAACCTGATATGAGACTTCAATGTTCATCCATAAAGCCTTGGTAATATTAAGTATATCTGTAACAATAATGTGATTGAAATCATTCATCTCATTAAAATAAAAATTTAAAAGTCCGATTCGTCTGTTATTTTAAGAACTTTTAGTTAATTTTTAATTAAATACATAATAATATCATTATTTGAAGTAATTGTGATTTTTGTTGCAAATGATCTTTACATAGAATGTTGCATTATAACTATTGAAACAAAGTACGAGTTCTACGATAAATACGGACATTAAAAATAGTTTCAGTGATAAAAAACATTAAGAAACGCCGGGCTAGACAGTAAAATTTAAATGACATCTATAATAATGTAAGCAAAATATGTCAAAATCTATTAAGGATAGTGAGGTTATTACTACTGAGGTTATTTTGACAAGTCAGTAGGTATATAATTGGGTAGTACCTACTATTTTTTGTACTTGGTTGATTTATATAGTGCAGTGTAAAAGTAAAAAGATTATTATTTTATTAGTGTAACAGTTATACATTTGCAATGCTGAATAGAATAGGGCGGAGGTAGAAGTTTCTTAGCCTTCCTGTCAAGCCTCTGTCAGTATATTATTTATTGATTTATTTTTATTCTTTCAAAAATATAATGAGCCCCGCTGAACATGGTCGTGTGGGGGCCCATGAGATCTTAATCTAACATAATTGTAATCCATAATATATTATTCTATTAAATAGAATAGAACTTTACAAAATACACAAATACATATCGATTCTAGAAGACGAGAATATTACAGAGAAATTAAAAATAAATACGGCTAATACGCCACATTTTAAATATTAAGACTTATAGTTAATAAGCCTTACAATGACGTCTGACCAAAGCACAGAATAAAAAAACAATAAAATATGGTTTGTTGACAACTAAAAATATCGTCCAGGGGCTCAAAGTTGTTAGACGAAAATAGCATACAACTATTAAGACTATCAGACGATCAGATATCCATACTCCCATTAATAAATACCTAGTTGGATAGAGAATCTCAACGACACAGATAACAACATTCTTAGAAAAAGATTAGCGTACCTACAGTTTAGATCCTTTAATACCGTATGTGCAACTATTGGCCATATCTCTTTCTACTATTGTTGGTATTATACACATTAGGAAACCATCAATTATAATAGGCAGGGTATGGTGGACGGGCAGTACTTGTACAATTTTACTAATATTAAGTCTATGAGCGAAAAGCCTGGATGACGTCGAAATATCTATTTCGAGGTCCCGATACTCGATATAATATAATATGATATGCGTGAGCGTATTTTCCCCCGTCGTCGATCGGAAACCCGTCTAAATCATCGTACTTATATTATAGCCAAGGATTCGGGCGCCACGGGGTTTGGCGCCAGAACGTTCCGTCGCGATCATATTCGATAAAAACCTATACGCACTTATGTATAATATAATACGTTTTTGTCTCTCCCAC